GCGTTATTGCTGGAGCGTGGGTCGGATACGGTGGAATCGATGCTGGAGCAGGGGGCGGGACGGCTATCAGTGCCGACGCGACGGCCGATGCGCTGACCGGCGCAGATGCGGGTTACGCTGCGCTGATTGGCGCTGACGTAGGGAGCGCAGGCGGCTGTGAGGCTGAGGGGCTGAGGGGCTGCGGACATCCCAGTGGGGGCCAGCAAGGAGGCGAGGTTGCCCCGAACATGGAGATTGACCATGGAGGCGGTACTGAGTATGCAGAGCGTCTGCACCCTGCAGAGAGGAGCCACGGGCTCGAGCAGGGGGGACTTCGGGAGGACGTTTGGTTAACGGAATTTGTCACTGACGGATTTGCTGGAGCCGTTTTTAGAGGCCTGTAAGGATCCGGAGTCTGTTTTCTGGTTCTTCTTCTTTACAGTCTTCTGCTTTTCAGCCAGCAAACCCCGTGGAGGTCGTAGGAGCATTTCGGATGAAGCTAGACAGATACGAGGGTAGAATGATTGATATGCTGCTCAGGAGGACTGCTTCACGAACGGTTGTCTTTCCGCGCCCGTTCTGATCCCGCGAAATATCCTTGTCGGTGTTGGCTCGTAGAGGGTGTCCTTCTTGGCACCCACACGTAATCAAAATCTCAAAGCAGGCGCACCTTGCCAATCTACCTTGTGCTTGTAACCATTTTCTCGACGACGTCCGATCCTCTACCTTTTCCGTCTGAAAAAGACATTACAGTTGTTGATGCGGAAGGCTTGTTGCAAAGTATTTTGATCCTTCTTCGACTCCAAATCTGCCAGAGGCTTTTCCCGTTCTCCGAATCACTGCTGCTAAAGAGGATGTGGTGCTGCCAGCAAGCATCTGCACCGTAAACTAGTTTAAAGCAAAGAGTCTTGCCGACAACTCGATTCAAGACCAGCGCCGCAATCATTCTTCTGGTGTATGTTTTCGTACTGCAGTTCGTGAAGTTTCACGAAGTGCGAAGCTTCTGTTGCCACGCGCGCGTGGGCCCCTTTGCCTGACTTACGATTGGCGCGTGCCACACATGTGCTCAATTGCGCCAGACTCGCAATCATCAAATCTCCGCAGGATCTGACTTTCTTCCGACCTTCTTTTATCCTCTGCAGATTCGGTGGAAAAGCAGTTGCGGTGAAAACGCTCGACATGAGCCGATCGACGTCCAGATTGGGGTACCTGCTCAACGAGGCCACGGTTCTGATGGAGCTTAGCCCTCTGTGGGACGTGACAGTGCCCCGGCTGCTGGCTTATGGCCCGTACACTGATTCCACGTATGCTGTGATTCTGTCCTGGATCGAGGGTCGACCTCTGATGGTTCACGACAAAGGGCTTCTAAGAAGTGCGGCTGAAGCGCTCCGGTCGGTTCATCGGCGTGGTTACCTCCACGGAGATGTACGGTTGTCCAACTTCATCGTTGATGGTCAGAACAAAGTCTCTTGCATCGACTTTGGCTTTGCGCAAAAGTCCTTAGATGACCAGGCTTTTAGGAAGGAGGAGCGGCAACTAAAAGCCTGCTTTGGAAAGGAATAGGAACCGTTATGCAGACAGACATGCATCTCGTGCGATAAACACGCGATACTATGCTGAACCAACTTGGAGAACCTGAAATGGGCAAACGTTAGTTGGAGAAGACTTTTGCAGACTACGTTCTTCAAATTGTCTGTCTAGCGCTAGCTTGATGCGTTGATGTATAGCCCGTACTGAATCAATCAGCATATTTGCGCATTTGCTGATTTTCATTACATCAAAACTGGCATCCATCGTTTATGTCTGTCACGTACCATGTTACAATCTAGTCCAATGTATACATTGATGATTGCAAAGAATGGTACTACGTGATGGTAACTTCTATATTTCATTAACGTCCTTAGCCACCATGGCCGTGGAGCACGGCGATCTCAGTCAACAAACTATCCCGGGTATGCCGGAGACTCAAAAACTCCTCAAATAGAGAAGAAAAAGGTACCGTTGAGTCACGAGCGGTGCCGCATTTCTGGCAAGCAGGTCACTTCAGTGCTTCAACACGTGCTGAAACTTTACAAAAACAGTGGGTTGTTCAGAACCCTAAAGGAACATCCATACTTTGTTGCATGTCGTGTGGGGTTATGAGCCTTCACCATTGTCGGGAATTGATGGTTGCTTTCGTGCAAGCCTGTTTATAGGTTTGTCTTGGCCAGTGGTAATGACCAGATTGACTTACACAACGCAGAGCGATGCGAGGCGGCAGCAGAAGAGCAGAGCGAGAGCCAGGCTTTTGAGTTTTGCATGCTTATGATATTTCAATAACGGAAAGCCTATTAACATTCAAACTAGTACTTGCATCTTATGCACTCATGCCTGGATTGCTTAGCGATTTGGATGGGTAATCAGAATCAATGCCCAGGGCTCAGCAATACAATCATAAAACTAGAAGCAAGAGGAGATAATGCATGATCTAGTGCATGATCCTAAGATGTGCTTGCGCAATTGACGGGCACATGATTCACCTCAACTATATATTGATTACATGCAAGCATTGGCAATACCGAAGTGTATTTAGGCGTCCCTTCCAATCGCGTTGGTTGACGCTCTACAAATTACCTCATACTAAGCTACGAATAGAATTCGAGGGCAGGGATTTCCATTCAGGGGCTCTCGGATCGGACGGCATCAAGTCTTTGAGTTGGCTTGGCCATCGACCAATGTTTGTATTGGTATTGTTATTATTATTGCTGTAGTCTGCATTGTGCTGATCAACGCTTTTCGTACGCACGGCTATGTCATCGTTCTGTGGCAAAGGTGAACCGTCGCTGCTAGCTCGTGTGTGCATGATCGAGTCTTGCCCCTCGACGTACTTCGATTCAATTGGGTAATCATCCAATCTCCGCTAACGTCAAGTCCGTTAACGGCCAGGCTGCTGCTTGCAAGAGGACCATCAACGACAATTGCAGGGGCCGCCGCGGATTTGCACGTGTGGCTCTGTCCATGCGTCTCTTTCCAAGTCGAGTCTTCAACCAAATTACGATTGCATTCTCATGTTGCAAGTGTTGATATTCGTGGCGTGCAAAATCGTCTCCTTCAAGCTGATCCGATACTTCACGATGCAATCATGCGGTTAATTGCATGTTATGGTCACGAGGTACCACTAGCTGGGATTCCTACTAATACGGAGTTGGGGCCGGAAAGACGAGGCAGCTTGACCATCATTTGGATCTAAAAAGCTTCTGCACATGCAATGTCACCGCAAGCATTCATGTAACGCCTCATCCTTGCTTCCCGAGAATCTACTCCAGCAGAGTCTGTGCATTGTATGGCTGACATGGCAAAGATGCATCTTCTTGATTCAGCTAGAACAAGAGCCAACAGAAACTTCTCTGTAACTGGAGGAACAAGGTGAGGAGCTCCAAAGCACTGTCTATATATCCGCTGCGGTCCCGACTCAATGTCATCCCTATTCTACCAGATCTACAGTTCATTTTACGTATTTTGAAGTATGAAAATGCTTGCTTTACCTAGCCTGCTGCCTAGCCCTCGCAAGAGCCGTCACAACACGACCCGCCACTCTAGATCCTCGCTAAACGCGGAATACTGCGAGTCGAGCCCCTCCGGGAACTGCCGGTCCAGGTCCCCCATCCCGAGCAGCGACAGCTCCGCGATCCGCCCCACCGCCTCCGCAATATCGTCGTCCCCCTCCTCATACTCCCCCTCTTCCCCCCCCCCTCCGTGACCGTCCAATCGTCCCCCCCGTGCCGCACATACCGCGGCACCATCTCCGACCCCGCCCCCCGGTACGCGTCTCGCTGCAAACAGTACCGCAACAGCTGGCTCCAGTTCTCGTCTTCTAACAAGACCACCGGATGACCCACCACGACCAGCAGCGCTTTCGCCCGCGTGATCGCCACGTTGAACCGCTTCGCGTTGCCCAGGAAGCCGATGCTCCCGTCGGGCCCCGTTTTCGCGCCCGCGTGCGCCGCGCGCGGCCGCGTGAGCACGGTGGAGATGAAGATGACGCGCTCCTCCTGGCCCTGGTAGTCGTCCACCGTGCCCACGCGCACCGCGCCCAGCCCGCGCGCGCGCAGCAGCAGCCGCAACTTCTGGACCTGGCACGAAGAAAACGGGTGCGCGATTGGTGCGCGCATTGGAAAGAAGAGGGAATAAGGGGGGTCATGGCAGGGTCAAGAGAGTGATGAGCATATCCTTTTGGAGAAAGGAAACATAAAGGAAGACCTTCATGCTCCATAGCTCGACCCCCAAACTTTACAAATGTTTAAGCCTTTTTTGGGCAGTTTGGTAATCAAGTGCTGCGTCGACTTATTGGGAAACGGTCGGTCTTAAATTGCCGTTGTCCCAGCGCATTGAATCACACAGACTACGAAACGCGCTTGACAAACTTCTTTCCCGCTGTCATTCTAGTCTGTCTGAGACTGCCGCGCGCGCACCTGCTTGCGGTAGGGCGCCATGACCCCGACGTCGGCGGTGGTGATGTTGCCCCGCTGCAGCAGGCCCGCCAGCAGGTTCACCAGCCGCTCCGCCTCCAGCGGGTTGAAGTACGAGGGGGCCTCGCCCTCGCGCATCTGCTGCCCCCGCACGCCTGCACGCACAGCGGGTAAAGGCGAGAGTCAGGATCCACGGGGCCTTCCCATGAAGCGGCCAAATATGTGCAGATAGAAGAGCATTGAGCAGGCAGAAGAAACTTTCTGTTGTTTTCGTAAAAAGCCTACGAAAGATGCAGATGGCGTGTCACCGTCAGGCCCCTCTTCGCGGTCACTTCTCAGAGGAATTCTCAGCCTCGGGCGCCTGGCACCGTGTTGCTATGCAACGACCCCACTGCCCGCGGCCACATGACTCGTACGGGTTTGTGTTAACCTCGCTCGTGTGACAGCTGGATACCTGAATTGCGCAAGCTCCTTGTGCTTTCCAGGATCATCTTATCTCCATCAAGCCCAAGGCAACATGACAAGGATCATATGGAGGTGTGTAGCAAAGGTGTTTGGACCAGACTCTGTCAAGCGAGAAATGTTTCGAGGTTCAACGGCCCGCAGCCGGCTCACCGTAGAAGAGCATCGGAAAGTCGCTGCCCTGCATTTCGTCCCAGTTGCGAGGCGGTTCAACCATTGCCTCCTGCGGACGGGAAAAGCACATACTGAGGTCAGACGGCAATTCTTGGTCGATCTGGCCGCCAAAAGAGATCAAAGGCGAAGCAGCCATTGACTTCTGGCCGCTTTGCCGTGTTAGGGCCTCGGGAAACTTTGCACAGTTCTCAAGCTCCTCGTCGAGAGAGGTACTTTGAGCCGCGCGTATTATCGCCAAGTAAGAAGAGCCCAGCTTCAAGCGGCAAGCGAACACCAACTGCGACGGCGACCAGCGGACGGGCCCGCCCACCTCCGCGGTCGCCACGAGCTCGTCCTTGTAGAACATGCGCGACGGCAGCTCCAGCAGCTTGCGGTGCGACCGGTAGTTGTGCACCAGCTTCACCACGTGCGTCCGGTGTGAATACTCCGCGCTACCCGCACCTTCCGAAGTTTCCGCACTGGCAGGGCCATTGTTTTCTTTAGGGAACATTCGTTGGAGGATGTCGGTGTGGCCGGCCGCGGGGGCGGGCTCCTCGGGGTTTGAAGGGTTCGGGGTAGGTGTCTCGGCTTCTCTTTCGGCTGCCTTCATGTACCACTCGAGGAGCGACTGCGCCAGGCCGTGCTGGGCGGCAACCGGGGAATGTACCTGCGGCGAAAGCGGCAGCCCGGTTTGCACGAGAGAAGAGACTGAGAGCTAGCTCCTCAACGGGCCGAATCGGTGTTTCTAAGCATAAAGGAGTCCGCGAAACAGTCTTCCCTTGCTTCCAAGAAGCCCCGCCTGGCTGCGCACGGGCAGGCTGCAACCCAAGTGTTGATCATGTGAAAGGTGCCTCAAACCCTCGAGCCTACACTCAAGTCCACCGTTCTTTCCGGCCACTTGCGGGCTTCGATATGGCGCCTGTTATACAAAGCCCTTCATCACCAACACCGGTCTCAGACAAAGGGGTCAGCGTGAACAAAGGTCTCCTATGGGTCGCACCTGATAGTGTGACTATTTTCAAAATTTAAGATTTCCCAAACAGTTTAGGTCTCCTGGATATCAGAATACAGTATGATAAATCTTTTTCCCGTTAAGGCGACCTTACCACTGGCCCCAGCTGGCGGGGGTCGCCGCAGAGCACGAGCTCGGTGTCCTCGCGCGCGAGCCCAAACGCGATGAGCGTCTCCGCGACAAGCGCCTGGCCCGCCTCGTCGATCAGGATGTGCGTAAAAGCGCCGGCGGTGTCCGCGAGGGGCGGCTCCTGCAGCAGCGCGGCCGCGCCGCACGTGCACACGATCACACGGTACGACGAGGGCGCAGCCGCCAGCGCGAACAGGCCCGTTGCGGCGTCGTACTTGCAGTAGCTGAAATAGGGCGGACGGGAGGGCGTTATAGGGAGGAGATGAACGGGCAAGATGTGGAGGGGTCAAGAGAAATTTGGCGAGCAAGATGTGGAGGGTATTAGCGAGGGGATCCGAGAGCAAGATGTGGTCAGTGTCTAGTCTCGATAAGTCTATCAGCTCAAGCGGCAACCGAGTGTCTGCACTGCATCATGCTCTTTCTGCTATAGAGCGCCTAAACCTTTCTCAGAGGACGAGGTATTCCAGAGCCGACAATATAAACCTTTCCGGACTGCTCAGATCGTGCGACCAGCTCACCTGACGACGTCCGCCTTGACCGAGGCGAGCGTGCGCCGGGGGTCGTTCAGGCGCCACATGACGTCAGTGCCGATGCCGCCGGCCGCGATGCCGCTGCAGACCAGGTCCGCCGCAAAATTGGAGGGGGCGCACACGCACAGCCGGGCCTTGCGGCGCGGCGCGGGGAAGCCCTTCTGGAGCAACTGCATTTTGGCACACGATTCATCAGAGGTGCAAGACGAGACAGCCGTGACAGTCAGCACCCCTGCTGTGCTAAGCCCAACTGCGTCAATCATCAAAGGAGTTTGGGAGATAAGTGACGTGAAGCGAGGCTATAGCGCGCGTTTGGTTTGACTCCTCGGTACACCGGACTTATGGATTTAGCATAACTAACACAACAAAGATCGACATCAGATACAAGAGCAATCCACCGGATGCTTCCTAGAGCCAGCAGTATCTGAATCTCTTTCCTTGCCTTGCGAGGCTGTATCACACACGAGAAAAGTGCAGCCTACGCGTGACGTCGCTAGCTGACCTGGAGGCACATTTCGACCATGGTGACGGTTTTGCCCGTCCCGGGGGGCCCGAAGATGATGTACGGGCCCCTCCCACCGGCCCCCTCTAGCAGGCTGCCCACCGCCTGCCGCTGCTGCCGGTTCAGCTTTACGTTGATTGGGGCGAACGAGTCGGCCCAGTCTGGGTCTGGCCCGCCATCTCTAGTTTCTTGCAGCCCATTAGGGCTGGACGACTTCAAAGCGGGGGGAGGCGACCATTTTCGTCGGTCCGCATCTGGGGCGTTGTCTAGGTTTCGAGGTGAGATGGACTGACGGGGAGAGTCGCGCGAGCAGACGCAGGGGAGGAGGGGAAAAGGCGCGAGCGCGGCCTTGGCGAGGGCGAGGTGCATCCGCTGCGGCGGGAACGGGAAGCCAAGAGATGAACCAGTGGGTCAAATTTTGGGGTTTCGACATAAGCGTGATTGACATAAGGATGTTACGCACGAGGTGCCTCAAGCAAAGGTGCTGCGAGGAGAAGCTTCACCAGCGGCTGTTGACCGGCCGTTCGAAATAGCAAAGACGCCCAGTACCTCACTCCGGGTTAGCTTACGGGGGGACAATCTTGAAAGGGGCCGTGCCAAATGTAGAGACAGGACCTCACGAAGGCTCAAATTGCATTTTGAATTGCGAAAGCCCAGATTCCGCAATTGCCAGGTCCTTTCCTTGGAAAAACATGCGGTCCTTCCTATGGAGAAGCATACCTTGAGCAGTAGCCGGTCAAAAGTGAACCGGGCATGCACGGCCTCCTCCGCCAGCGCCCGCGCCCAGGCCGGGGTCTTCTCCCCGCCCGTTTTCTTGACCGGGAGCTTGGCGGCGGTGGGCAGGTCCTTGGCGATGGCCAGCAGGACGTGCGGGGACGGCCGCATCTCTACGGCCCACACAAAGGCGGCGTACTCGACCTGCGGCGCGGACGCTACGCGCAGGTACACAACGTCCGCGTACAGCACGGACGGCCGGTTCTCGGGCAAGCCGGGGACCTGGGGGGCCGAAGGAACTTTCTCATGCGATCGCATCGAGACAGAAAGTGCAAGCAACCTATGACGGAACATGACGGAAGACATTCTGAGCACGTGAGTGACGAGCCATGACAAAGCGCTAAAGAGGCGTCAAAAAGAGGAGACGGTGAATGTTGGAAATTTCACCAAGAATGACGCCTGACTCATGTTCTTGAGGGTGCTGTTCCAGAACAGACCCTTAGGTGCGTTTCACTTTGAAGACAAAACCGTATCCACTTTCACTTACAACCGCTGAAAGCAACGCCAATTGAACATTCCCCGTTAGAAAACAAGTCCGCGTGAGCGCCACAAGCGGCTTATGCTTCGGGCTCCCACTCAGCCTCTTTCAAAGCATGAAAGTGACACCCCTTCAATCAACCTTTCCTTTAACCAGCACAACCTACAACCGTGGGCCATCTTCTCAAAAAGCTGGTCCCTCACGCCTGGCGCACCCTCCCGTAATTGCCAGCTTTGTTCCTTACCTCGAGCGCAAACAGCTGCAGCGCGGGCTCCCCCGGCGCGGCCTTGGCCTGCAGCGTCAGCCGCACGTTGTATAGGTCGTGCGCCTTGATGTGCTTCTCCATCGCCGTCTCCTCCATCGCCAGCAACCGCGACAGCTGCCGCAGCTGCCGCTCCCCGCACCCGCAACCCCCCCCAAAGCCCCAGTGTCTTTCGACCCCCCCCTGAGGTGCTCGGCGTCGTTCCGTCGGCTGTTCTCTTCTTTCGCCATTTTAAGCTTTTTGGCGGCTGCGCTGTGCCGTCCAAAGAATGTAGTGCTGAGCCGTCGTGCGTGTTGCCGTCTTCAGAGCGTATGCGGAGGGGCACCGGTTCCGGCGAGAGGTCGTGCGGTAGGCCCAGCTCAGACGCGAGGTCCGGTCCCCCTGGACCGGATACACTCTTCCGGTCCCCTGTTTGTTGTGGAGAGGGGGTCCTGAGGCCCCCAGAAGATGCCACCCCACTACCAGGCTTGGGGATACTGGACGGGGATGCCGGGAGCGGGGTTGGGAAGGGTACGGGTTGAGCAGGGAGCGCCCCCAGCCCCAAGCCAGGTGTGAATTGCCCCTCCCCTAAGACCGGTGTGAACGGGCCCGGCATCGAGCTCGGTGGGAACGGGCCCTGCCCGGGAGAGAAGTGAGGCGGCGGCAGTGGGCGGGGGGGCGCGCCGCCGCGCATCTGGAGCTGCCTCTCGCGGACGTAGTTGTCGAAGTAGGCGTGAGCGCTCGCGCGCAGCGTCTCCTGCACGTGCCACGCGTGCTGCGGCCCGGAGAAGCGGAACTGCTCGAGCGTGTGCGCGATCTGGGCGTTGAGCCAGAACGTCAGCTGCTGGATCTCCATGGCGGGGACGAGTTGCGGGGGCGACATCGGCGGCGCTCGGGGGGAGAAACCAAGGGCGGCAGACGGGCTGTGCGGTGGGTTAGGGAGAGAACCAAGTGGGGGGAACTGCTGGTTATAAGAAGGGTTAAGAGGCTGGTTAGCGGCGGCGGTCATCTGCGAGGGGAACTGGGGCCCAAAGGCCTGGTTAAGAGGGGGGATGAAGGGTTGGTGAACGGCGGTGTTTGGAGGGGGATTTGGCTGGTGGAAAAACGGGTTGAAGAACTGGTTTTGTTGGGGGTTAAGGGGCTGAGGCGGGTTGGCAAGAAAGTTCATCGGCTGGTTCATGAAGGGGGCGGGTTGCTGGTTAGGTAACTGGCCGAAATCGGGGGCCGGAAAACTTCCAAAGAAAGGGTTAGGTTGCTGGTTAAAGGCGGGGTTAGTGGGCATGGAGAAGGGCGTCACGGGTTGATTGGAAGCGTCGCCTACGGCACCTGTGGGGAAACCCGGGGGAGTTTGCCCAGATGGAAATATGCCGTTCTCGCGAATTGTGCTCTTATCCCCCTTCGACCTCGTTTTCGAGTCTTCTCCGGAGGTCTTCGCACTCAGCGGCTGCCAGAGTGCCACGTCCTGCGTGGGCCCCGGTGCGAACAGGCTCTCCGGTTCGTATGAGAGCGCGCCTGACTGCTTATAGGCGGGGGGAGGGGACATCGTCGCTAAGAGGTTGAAGAGGCGCGTCGAGGCCAGCAGCGCGGGCTTTTGCCCGACGAGGAACGTGGTGGGGGGGGTATCGAACAACGTGCGGAGGGAAGCAGGGAAGAACGGGATTGCTTCCACGCTTAGAAGGGTCTGGATGTCGGCCAGGCTTTTGGCGATGACGGCGGAGATACGGCGGCCAATGACAAAGACGTGCTTTGCGGGTTCGAGGGCTGCGCTGGCGATTGAGGCGGGGACGAAAGAGAGGAGCAGCCACTGCTGCAGGTGCGCGGCGTCCTGGGGGATGCACCGCAGCTCCTGGAGGCGAGCGGGCGAGAGGCACTGGAGAGAATCAGTTTCTAGGCACTCTATTTGAGAATCAGCTGAGTTCTTGAATGCCCTTATCTTAGAAGTCTGTCGTGGACGCAATATATAAAAGGTGGGGGAAGGAGATTGGTTACGGAAATGAACAGCCCAAGAGGACTCGAGCACTCGACATGCAAGGAGGTCTGATGAGAGGTGTTGTCGGCATGAAGACGATCCTAGAAAGATCTTTTTTAAAATTCAGTTGTCACAGAGAATGCTTAGACGCCTACTCATCAAAAAGCTGGTCCATCGAGTGGAACAAAGTCTGATGAGAGGTGTTGTCGAAGAAAGATACTTCCAAGATATACAATTCTGACATTCAGAGACTCCACTGCGACTGCCTACCCGTCAAAAGCTAGTCACAGGAGTCGTAAAGTTTCTCTAAGAGCACCCTGCATAAATCATTAGTCTGTGCTTCTGTTGAAGCAACCAAAAGGAGGGACTGCGGACCCATGGCGTAACGAAAGACCAACGCTACCATGCCAAACCCCCACCAACATCTTGTACGGCCAATTCAAGAGTGTGATATACGCCTTGCAATTGAGACTCACCACGGCCACTTGGTACTCCGCCCCTGGTGCCAAGCTCACTCCCATGCCTTTCTCGAGCTTTCCGTCCTTGGCAGACTTCTCCGAGTTGTTTCCCGCCAGGTCAAAGTCGTCGTGGAGCCGCAGCTTGTCCTTCATCTCGGGCAGGGCACGAATGTCGAAAAGGATGACCTCACTGGAGCCCTGGTTCGAAATGAGCACCGTGCGGAAGTAGCGGGGCACGTTGGGGGCGATTGGGAGCCCTGAGAGGAGGTGAATTTTACCATGAGCGGGATGCGCGGAGGAGCAAGGTCTGATCTTCAGCAATCATACTTTCATTCTCTGACAATCCTTCTATCTTGCAATCGGCTGACCCGACCGGACACATAAGGGACTCCCCCTAGTTCGAAGCTGAGGGACTCGTGGAAAACCAAAAAACGCCCTCTGGTGATATGTCCAATGAGGTACAGTTCCACTTTCAAGGCCCTGAATATTGTTGAGTCGCTGAGAATCTCACCATAGTCGTTTTGTTCAGGGCTCGTCTGCGGCGCCGCCCTTTGGATCCCAAAGTCCACATCCCTGCTCACAGCAATTCTCCCCTGGTTCTGCCCCAGCTTGCGCGCCCCGCCCTTGATCTCGTCCGCCAAGCGCGCCTCGTGCTGGCTAGGCTTCCCGTGCAGATACCCCACACACCAAGGGGGCAGCGTTTTGCTCTTGCCCTGCGGTGGGGCCGGTGGGAACAGGCTGGCGTTCCCCGCATCAAAGCCATCACTTTTAGCTTCTTCCGAATTCCTCTTGCCCAAAGCTGGGTTTGACACCACGTTGCAGAGGGCAAACGAGACTTCTGAGAGGGCTGGGAAACCGCCACTTTGGTCGGATCCAAAGGCGAGATCGTCTCCAGCGATGTACGTGGAGATCAGATCAGAGAGGAGACTGGTGGCGCACTCCTGAAGTGTGTCTTCTGGAGCGTCGGGGTCGATCAACCGAGGGGGGTCGGAAAGTGCGGCGGCGAGGGCTGTCACCTGGCAGCGGACCAAGGAGACAGGGCATCAGAGGCAGAAAGCAATTGATCGCTCCATTGCTTCTTCCAGATGTGATGCAGTAGCCAGAGTCTCCAAAAGCAGGGTACTTGAAGCAGCGACGCAGAGCATCAATCTCCTTAGAAGGTTAAGATGAAGCCTGGTGGACTGAAGTGTGAGCATACTGAACTGAAAATGTCACCAGCAATTTGCAATTGTGCACCAACAGTGAGTGTCACATCATGGCCACTCGGATACAATGACCGGAACAGGGCACGTCACAATGCTGTAGCAAAGTGGGCCAAGGGCAGGCTTCAATGATGCATCTAGTACTCCTAGTTGGGCACATGAATGAACAAACAATGCCACTAGCGCTCATTTGCAGTGCAATCCAGGGTGTTGACATGGCTACACAGACTGCAGACGCGTCAGATGAACTGTGCTCAGTCTCACCAGCGCTGCGGGCAATTGCGTGTAGATTGCCGCAAGCCTGTCTCTGAGTTGTCCAAGGTGACCGTCCAACCCCTCCGAGGGCCCCTGCGCCATCGTGTGTACTCCTTGCAAAAGTCTGACAACAGCTCCACGTCATGGCATCAGCCACAGTTGCAGCCCCAGGCGCCTGCAATGGGCATGCCACTGCCAGTTTTCTAAAGCAGTGATTTCTAAAACCCATGCTTCGATGTGGGGGATCCCGGAATTGGTCCAGCAGAAAATTGGGGTTAGAAACGTCCAGGTTGTTGGTTTAGGCAGGTTTAGACCTTACAAAATGGGGGTTCGGGGTCTGATAACCCTCGTTCCTTGCCCCTACAATCTGCAAACTTGCATGCTCATGCAACCCGCATTGCTTGGCCCCTTGAATTTGAGCTGCGGCACAGATGTTCTTTGAGGATGTCCAACAGCAAAGCATTTGAGGACATGGGGCCCTCGAAACAGCATGTGTTCGCTGGCTCGAGATGGCAGCGCCCCGCTGCGCACGCAAGCTGGAGCTAAAATGGCACACTTTCAGCAGCGAGGCCGTTTATGACCCGGTTCAAAAGATGCACTGCGAGGCAGCTGATTGCATTGCTGCATGCTGCCCTTCTGGCAAGATGCCTTTCCAAGCGATTGCGCTGCGGAGCTAGAACTTCTGTCTGCAGCTCAAGCTTGAGGCGTAAGGCAGAGTCACTGTGCACCAACACAAACCTCTCCAAAAGGTCCCTGCTTCTCGCAATTGCAGCCGGCAGTAGGCGCCTCCTTTCACCAGCAGAAGCTGAGCATAATTCTCCCACAGACTTTGACAGCAGAGAGGCGCACTCAATAGAGACGATGAGCGGGACTGCCACTAAAGCGGAAGAACCGCCAGGTGGTGGCAGTGGGGCGTCGGAGCTGCTGAAAGTCCTGGTCGTGGGAGATGTCATGCTGGGGCGGCTCGTCGATCAGATCTTTCCAACGCACAATGAGGAGCCTGAGAACAGGCTCCATGCTCAGACGCTGGTGAGCTGGCCCTTTTTGGAGAAGTTTGACGGGGGAGGTTCTGGTTCCTGAGTTTCAGCTAATTGTGGTGAAGCAGGGGAATAAGCGCTGGGGCTAGGCAGGAATGAAGTCAGCATTCTGGAGATTGCTTCCGTCTCCACTGAACAAGGCTTACATGGCAATCTTAAGAAGTTACATTTGGAGCTTGTTGAACCCCACATCACTTTTTTTGCGCTGCAATCCCCCTTCTACGTGAAGAGCTTGACGTTGTTATGCCACTTGATCGGGTCTGTTCTCTAGTTTCCATTCTTGCATTCAGATGAAACAATCACGCTGCATTCAAATAGCTCCTCAAATAGATTCGTGCTGTGATGAGTTCCGTTGCAAGAGGAACTTGTAGTTGGGCAAAAGGTTTTGAAGGTTCATGACGCAAAAACGTTTCAGACCAGAAAGAAGCAAATATAGAAAATTGTGCTTTCAACAAGCTTTTGATGCAACGCGAAAATCTTGAAGGTCCTCTGGTTCGTTGTCACTCTACGTCTGCTTCAAAACCGAACGTACGTAGGCACCGTTGCTCTTGCGGCTCTCACGTCACACACAATTCGCCCCCTGCAGTTGACGCGAGATCCTCAGTCCCTCAACCAGTACCACTCCCTGGGCCCCTACCGCTACGTGTGGGGCGACACTCTGCCGCTGTTCCATGATGCTGACCTGCGGCTGGCCAATCTGGAAACGTCCCTCACTGACCACCCAGAGAAGTGGCCCCGCCAGGCGTTCAACTTCCGGGCCCATCCAGACAACGTGCGAGCCCTGCAGGAGGCCAGGTGAGGCCGTATGCTGCCGCCACTTCGACTCACTGGCGGGTTGTGAAGGGGCACCGAAATCATTGTCGGATGGTCCGTTTCAAGGCCTACTCCCGAACAATTGTCGTTCTAGAAACCTCACTACTTCGGAAGGGGTTTCCTCCCGTCTATATTTAGGAAGCTTTTCGAGTCAGACCAATCAACCTGCTCGCTTCTGCGATCAACCTCAGCGAAGCATGTCCCTTGTGCAACATTGACAGCGGTCGTTTTGCTGCATTTGCAGCCAGTCCCGGGTCGGTCGCCGCCTTGCGGTCAATTGATTGTGCAATCGAGACCCTTCTGAAATCCACCTTCATACCCGTAACCCAGCACATCTTTCAGACATGTACTCCGTCTTGCAGGTTCGGATTGGTTGCGAGGCCTCTCTGACCGTCTGCAAAGTCTCTCTTGCAGGATCGACTTCTTGTCCTTGGCCAACAACCACATCCTGGACTTCAAGGAGGCCGGGATGCACGAAACGCAGCGCACGCTGGATGCGGCAGGCATCCGCTGGGCGGGGGCGGGGGACAACCTCGAAGATGCGGCCCGCCCTGCCATGCTTCAGGTACGTGCATAAGTCCCCCCAAATCTTTGTTCGTATTCTCGTGCACATTTATGAAAGACTTGGCCGAGGAAATGCTCGAGTGGTAGTTCGCTAGCCTTTGTCAACTGTACGTGTCTGTTGCACTCCACCTTCTGTGCCATATGTATCTGCTCTAGCGCCCTGCGGACGAGCTTCAACACATCTTCTTTTCTCAGGCACACTCCCAAGTCAGTGAAGCACCCTCAATGTTCCGCCCATTCCTCCTGAAGTTTTCTCCCCGGTTTCTCCCCGCCCTCCGTCCTGCGCAGCTCAGTGACAAGCGCGTTGCCTGCTTCTCCCTCTCCGACCACTTCGACTACTGGGCAGCGGGGCCCGACCGCCCGGGCATCTGGCTCGTCGACCCGGGGCGGCACCGCGGCGCGCCGCTCGACTTCATTTGTCGGCAGACTGTGCGGGCGCGAGAGGAGGGCGGGGCGGACATGGTGTTTGTGAGCATCCACTGGGGCCCCAACTGGGGCTGGAAGCCCAGGTGGGCAGGCAACGCCAGGCTCGTATGCAAACGGAGAGTCGGTCGGTGAGGTAGGGACTGCATTTCCAGGGGCTCGCCAATGACTGCTTCAGCTGTTGATGTCAAATCGTTTTATTGCCGAACCACCTTCTTTTCGAGTCGTAGACCGATCATCAAAGCCGAGAGCACGAATATTCCTGCTGAAATCGTGGAAGGGGAACGGGGACTCGAATTGAGCTTCTACAGTCGAGGACCCTCTGCGTGCACGAAGATCCACGTCGTTGAGCCCGGCCGCTGTTCCGCTGCAGACAGTGTGAATCGTGACACTCAAGATACTGGCCCCTGAGTCCGGTTAGCGGACATGGCGTACAAAGCCCGTGATCATTGATAACGTCATCTGCCGCACTCCAAGGGTCCTGGACTGTAGGGGGGTCAAGGAAGCTCGATTCGATTCCACGTTGGCTTTCCACAAGTTCTGGCCGTTTGTGCGAAGCGACCGAAGGGCTATATGCGCCTTCCCTCTGGTTTCGCTCTAAATGGCTCTCTATCATGCTCTCGATCTTAAATTCCATCCCGTTCTTATTGCCCACAAGAAAAATGAGCGCCAAGCGCGCTTTCAACAAAAACTGCGACATGCTTGTCCATGGCAACTAGATTGAACTGAAAACGGGCACCATTTGATGCTGCCCTTCTGCGCACCGCAGCCCTGGGATCCGCCAGCTGGCGCACGACTTGGTGGACACGTGTGGGGTGAATCTCGTCCACGGAACGTCAGCCCACCACATCCAGGTAACGAGAGCGCCGCAGCACGAAGCTGATATTTTCGTTTTCAGATTGCAGCCCAGTCCATTAGTTTGCACGCAAGAAGCTCGCCTCCCTTGCCCTTGGTTTTCTTTTAACGCAGACTAAAGTCATTGAGGGATGGAGTGGACTTAGATCTGAGTTCGCAACAATGCATGCTTCTCCCCTTGCTTTTGTTGGAACTCATACGGTCTAGTTGGGCAAACCCCAAAACTACGAAAGCTGCCAGAACGGACGCAGGGAGAACATAGACTTCCGACCACCCTTGCGAGCCCCCTTGGCTATAACCCGGTGGAATCGACGGTTGATTCGACGGTACTCCGCGTTCTCCTTCCAGTAGTTGTCATTCCGAAAACGAGCTGCTTCTCTTTTGTTGCCAGGGGATCGAACACTACGGCGGCGCAGTAGTTTTGTACGGCTGCGGCGACTTCGTGGACGATTACGCCGTCGACGAGAGCTTCCGCAGCAACCTCAGCTTCGCGTACGTCCTGCACTGGGATCCGGACGCTGCCACGTGGCACCACGTGGAGCTGGTGCCCACCAAGATCAGAAACCTGGGGGTGACCCGTGCCGTGGACGAGGACGACCGGGAGTGGCTCGCCCGGGCGTTGGCCAAGCTGAGCGAAGAGTACGGGACGAGGGTGGAAAAGCATCCCGAGGGTGAGGGTAGATTGTTGATAAACCTAACCGACAAGGCGAGGGCAAGGGCAGCAGGCTCGTGAGCCCTCTTAGAAGGTCGTAGTCCTGTATCCCTTCAGAGACGCTTGGCTACCTTGGCAATATACCGCCTCTTTGTCAGAGTCCAAACAGCTGGTGCGACAACGGAAGGCCGCCGCACGCAATTGTGCGGCACTGGTGGTGGCCTTGGTTTGGTCAGCGGCACACTTGACATGATTTAGTCAAGGTTTTATAGTAATAGTCGAGATCAATCGATGGAACGCGGTAAAATAGTTACATCAATCCAATTTACTGCGAGGAATCGGAGCTAGACACCTGTCTCCTCGGGGGCCTTGGCCCACCCGCGACCGGGCCTAGTTAGAGCAGCTCAGCTACAGCTGCGCCGCGCCGGCGATGGCGGCGCGCGGCCGTCCCTTGCGATTTGCGGATGCTCTCAAACATAGATATATCATGTCATGTTACGACATCTGATATGGTCCGAGAGCCTGGCATGTTAAGCTGATTGCATACAAATCGTGCGATCACTTATGCTTAAAAACATACATGCTGAGCCGATGATGTCGAGGTGGTCTGGAGGTAATTGAGTTTACTGCCTTCAACTTACAAATGTCCGACAATAACATAAAACGATTATATTGAATCAACAATTTGACGCACAAATGCATGCAGATCCGTGCAGCTATGACTATAAGGCTCGCTGCAGAATTGGAGGTGTATAAGTTAATGCTGATTTGACTACATGGCACTCTTGTTCATCCTAAATTGAACTCAGGCTCTCGTGCCTTCAATTGTACATAACGCCAATCTACCAAGTTGCCGGCCTTAAATCGCGTGAAAAGCAGTCTTGAAAAACCAAAGCGCAACACCCTGACGACTTGTGGTCGTGTCGATCTCGCTTATCTAAAACGTCAGTATGTCAAGTGAGCAGAGAAGGAAAACCCTCAAGCGGGTTCACCGGTCAGCAACGATGCTAATATACTCAAAATCCTTCTGCAAGGGAGTTCTTCACCAAGCCGTTCTATAACGAGAAGCCTACCTTCCTTAGCCTGTTAGCCTATTTCAACCGAGTTATCCCGCCGCCCACTTTCCTTTCTAGAAATCTACCGGGCTTTTTGTGTGCTCATCTCACTATTTGCAGAAACGTCAATCATCGAAGGGGAACCCCATCGTCTTAGAACGGCGGCGGAGGGTCGAGTCATCCAGCGGGACGTCCTGTTGCAGGGCCCCATCCGAAAAGTCCTCGGAATACCGTTCCTGAGCTGCTGAAGAGAGGGTGGCTTCTCTCTTTGGTGATATCGGGTGAGTGTTCAATCCTTCCAGGGGGCCATCATCGCCTGTTTGGTATACCCCCCCAGCGTCTTCTTCCTCGGCCACATACTCCGTCTCTCCTTCAGGCCCCGCCTCGTAAGCGGCCGCAGAGCTCTCGCCCCGTTCCAACGGAGCCTGCTCGGGCGCCGGGAACTCGAAGGGTGCGTCCGCCTCAAGGGGCCCTTGGGACGAGTCATCAGCGGGAGCAACTAGGGGCGGCGAGCCGCCCGGGGCCGCCTCGGCCGCCTCCGCGCGCACCTTGATGACGTACGCGAGCGCGGCCGCAACGAACATGGCGCCGCCGACGCCGATGGCAAGCCCCATGCCGAGCGTCGTGGCGTTGTCCGCGCCTCCGATCGCTACCCCAGGAGGGGGCGAACCAGTGCTCGGGGGATCGGTCGGGGCCGGAGTTGCAGTCGGGGTGGGTGTCGGGGTTTTAGTTTGTTGAGGGGGGGGAGCATCCGCCACTGGGATGACATGCAACAGGTAGAGTCCGTTCCACTGCGCCGAGGTGGCCGGGGCAAAGGTGACCTTTCCCCGGGCGGCATCGTATGTGACTGCCAGGTTCCGGAATACGGTCCACGAGCAGCCGAAGAAGGCGGTGGCGTTCACCGGGGGCATGGCCGGGGTGCAGCCGGTCGCTGCGTAAAAGTCCACCGTGTATTGCAGCTGGTTTGCGAAAACGACAAGCAGGGCCCGCCGTTTCGGCGTCAGCGGTGAGACGTTGTTGAAGGAAACGGTCCCAGACGGAGGGGTATATGCGCTTGTGCCCTGGGCGAGGTATAAACCGACCGCGCCCACGACCGGAGAGGAGGGCAGGTTGTTGAAGGCGACCGGGACGTGGTCCCCGTAAGAGACGCTTGTAACGGTGATGAGGTCCGTTCCGGTCGCCGCGAAGCCGTAGCTCCAGGTGGTGTCCACAGCCGCCGAAACGAAGCTGGTTAGCTTTGGGTCGTACCCGGTTATGCCTGAAGTGACCGGGACAGACGGGGCGGGGGTTGGCACGCCAGACTCGTCTACCGTGTAGAGAACGAAGACGCCGTTCCACTCGGACTGCGCCGGGCTATACGTCCCGGTCCGCGCCCCCGGGCTGAAATCCACCGGGTTTTTCTGAGAAACGAACGTCCAGGAGCAACCGGAGAGGGAGTCGGTTGGCAGGGGCGGCGCGGGCAGAGTGCACCCGTCAGCCTGGTACACGTCGATGACGTAAGCCGTGCCCGAGGCCGGGGCGGGGAGGGCTTGGAACACAACCGAGCCCGTGAACGGGTAGAACGCGCCCGCGGCTTGGGTGAAGTAAACGGCCGCGGCCGCGGCCGGGGTGACGTCAGCTGACCACGCAGTGACAGGTTGAGTGGCCCCGGTGTAATACACGATCACTCCGGTGATCGGGTCAGTGGCCGGGGCGTCAACGATGGAAACGCCCACGACGGAAGCGGAAGCGGCGGCTCTGCCCGGAACAACTAGGCTGAGCGTGTCTTGGGACTGGGCGGGGTTCGTGTCGGCGATCGCCCAGTTCTGGGTGGGCGGGGGAAGACTCTGGGTGCGCAGTACGAAGACGGCGTTCCACACGGCGATCGCAGCGATGCCGATTTTGGCGGTGCTGTCGTAAGCGACGCTGACGTTTGCCGCGACGGCCGTCCAGGCGCAGGCCGTGTAGTCGGGGACCCCAACCGAGTCACCCGGGAAGAGAGTCCACAGGTTGCACCCGGTTGCCCGGTAGACGTCCACCATGTACTCGGTGTTGGTCGGGGGGGCGGCCAGGCTGGTGAAGATGACGGTGCCCGGGCCGGCTGAGAAGGAAGCTGCAACGAAAGAGCACAAAAGAGTGGTTGGCTCAGACTGGAATCGTCGAAAAGCAACCTGGAGGGCGTTCCGCTTGAGGTCGGTTTATTAAAGGCACTTCTTGATGAAACGAAAGGAAGGTGCACTGGTTAATATAGCGCTATAAAAAGGGCTGTTTCTGGTGTGAGTAAACGGTGTAGCTAAATGGATTAGGAGTGGAGAGGCTCCCACCGCTTTCATTGCATGACCGAAAAACGTTCCCTTGGCAAGACTTTTGCCATTCGTTCGTTCGAAGAGACTCATTTCTAAATACGAGACTAGAAAGTCGAAGAAGCAAGCGCTTGATACAAGAGCACGCTCAGACGGGCATTCTAGTACCAGCGAACTGGATAAGATGATTGCTCCAAAAATCTGCTTGTTGTAGCCGAGCTTTTGTAAAGTTTCTGCCAACCTCGTCTTCAGGTCTCGGGACAGAGACTTCGGAAAGTCGTAATGTTCAAGTCCGACCTTATTAGCACTCAACTCATTGGCCTAATCTTATCCCGAATCACGGGGTCAGAAGCTTTTGGCAAATCTCTCCAACCCTTCAGGCGGATAACAAAAGCCGGATGCACCTTCAATCGCCTCCTCCAAAGCTACCTTGGTTTCACCCGACAGAGCTTTCCAATTGCAATGAACACAAGTCGCCATCCCAATCGCAATGAGCACAAGTCGCCATCTACGGGCAAAGTGACGCTAATTGTCTCACCACCATTACTGGCCAGGAAGAGCGCGGCCGCCTTGACCGGCCCGCCGCCGCTCGTCTCCGCGGCCGCGGGGGGGACCACGATGCCGTCCGCGTAAGCCACCGCATACGCCGTCACGCCCCCACCGGAAACAGGAACCGAGAAGCCAAACTTGCCCGCAGTCGCTCGTATGAAAGAATCGCTGGGAGCCGCCTGGATCACAGTCCAGTCAAACGTGCGGCCCTGCATGCTGGTGCGCAATCCAGGCTTCGAGACCGTCGGATCGTCGCCGTATATCTTGGCCAGCAGGACGGGCGCGAACGCGGCCGCGTCGGCCCACCAGGGGTTGGGCAGGGTTTGGGCCCCGCAGTGCGCCGCGACCGCGTTGAGCAGCGCGTCGGCGGCCGCGGTGAAGCACTGGTAGTTATCGCACGTGACGGTGGTGCCGTTGGCGGCGCTCCGCAGGGTGACGTGGCGAGCCCGTATTGGGCAATCATCTGAAGCTTGGGCAGGAACGTAACGATCGCGCTTTGGATGGCGGGCTGCGTTTCGGCGACCGAGGCGGAGAGGCTGTTGTTGCTCGCGCCAGGGGGGAGGACCGCGAGCGCGACCTCGTCAGGGACGGAAAGCAGAGACGCGAGCGCGCACGCGTGCTGGACCGCGATCGTGGCGCCGGGCGAGCTGTCGATGCCTGGAAAGGGGAGTGCATTGTTCGATCAGTCAAAATGCGCCCGGGGCCGCTTCGAGCAAGACGAACAGTAGCCAAGCGTTCGAACCCGCTTGATTGAAAGCAGATACAAAATGTCTGGATCAAATGCAACACATACCTGACAACAAGCCACTTTGAAACACATGTCAAGTTGACTGCCGTTAGCATGCTTGTTGACCATCATCTCTTTCTAAAACTTTCTTTCCCGCCGCTCAATGCTCAGCCTTCTTCCTATTACAACCAAAGTTCAACCCCGCTCTCAAATCTCACTTGGAGTAAACGCCGGCGGCGCGGACTGGTCGAGCGCCGCAATGATTTTGAGGACGTCCGCCTTCTGCAACCGCATCTGCTGGCTGCCACCGCCGCAGCCCGTCGCGAGCGGCTGCGCGGGCGCGAACTCGCCGGCCCACGCGGCCGCCCACGTCAGCACGCCGGCGTAATTGACGGGCTGGTAGGCCGCCGGGAGGTAGACGGACTCGTAACTGGTTTCGGCGACGGTGTGATTGACGGAGGAAAAGTCGAGGAGAGAGCGGCCCCAAGGGGAGAAGCGAGCGGACTGGTCTTTTAAGGAGAGGAGGCGCCGCGAGGGGGCAGATAGGGACTCCAGTACGGTGAGGGAGCCGTAGACAAACCTGGGGAGAATAAGTGAGGAAGCTTCAGCATTGGTTAGCCAGAGGATTTGGTCAAGCTGAAGAGTTGGGGCTGTGAATCTGCAGTTCGGGTTTGCAGGGCCGCTTGGAAAGAGCTACACAGCGCGCGCCATTGCTAAAGCGAATTTGGGGCTTCAACCGCAGAAGGCGTGCACCTCCTTCTTCTGAGTGCCGCCTTCATGATCCACTTCTTCTTTGATTCAATCTAAGAATTGATAGGCTGCTGTAAACGACAGTCAAGCCGATCCTCACACCGAAAGCGCCTTTTGTCGATTTTGGATTTTAAGATTGCTTGTTTCCTCGCGAGCTGCAGTTGCTTAACTCCGCCATCGATCACGTAAGCTTTCGCTCCTCCGCACGACAAGAATAGGAGTCGTTCTATCTTCTTTGCAGTGTACGAGACGAGCAAAAGCAAATCAGTAATCATTAGATCCTCTTCCACAGTCCTCTCAAAGGCAAGCCTGCGAGGTGAACCTGAAAATAGACTGGACACTTTCCTCTCACCTCGCTCCAGTGGGCTGGTCCCCAGGCGAGGCGGCCGCGACCGTCCCCGGGTTGTTGATATATGCGATGAGCGTGATCTGGCCTGCCGGCAGAATGAAGCTGGCGGTGCTGCTGGCTCCCGCGTACACGATGGTCTCGTAGATGCTTGAGGCGACGCTGTACCGAAACTGGTACTGCAGGCTGCCCGACTGCGCGTCGGCGCTGGGCACCCAGTTGAGCGCGGCCGCCTGGAAGACGCTCAGGCCCGCGAAGAAGGGCTGCGCAGGAAGATATGTCAGAAGATTAGCAGATAATCAGAAGGGCACAAACAGACGGAGACTTTTTGGAAGAAGTCAGGAAAGTGAGATTTGGTGCCGTACTCAAATGTTGGTGGGCGGTAAAACGAAAGAAGTAAGTAGATGGTTAGAATGAAATGCACATACAGACTGCAACTGTGTGAGAAGACCAGAAGAGGGAGACATTGTGCCGTATTCGCTGATGTGCATTGGGTCAAGCGTCTCGGACCGCTGCCAAAACGAAAGAGGCATCGTTTAAAACCATTTGCGCTAGCAATCTGAAGAACGGATGTGAAACCTCTGGAACTACTGTGATTGCAGTCAGCTGTCTGAGCGCACTCTGACGCTTCACCTGCGAATAGGTGCCGGAGATGGTTCCGCCCGAAGGAATGTCCAGGACCGAGACCGGGAGTGACGCGAAACCGGTCGCCCCAACGCCGAACGTGCTGTTTCCCGAGCACGTCACGACGTACGTGTGGCCGGAAGAGAAGCTGTTGGGCGGAATGGTGATCTGAGAACCATCTTGGCTGGCAACGTATCCAATTGCGCGTGGATCGTCTGCTGACGTAATTGCCCAAGAGAAGACGGTGTTGGCGATGTCAGCAGTGCACGTCAGCTGCAGGTTGCGGGACGCGCTGATTCCGGCGGAGATGTCGTTCCCCTGAACGGAAACGCCCATCTTGATGACGGCAGCGGAAACGACCGTGACGGTGGCGGAAGCAGCCACGTTGATGCGGCCGCTCGAGAGGGGCTCTTTGGAGACCTGGAGTAAGGGGGACACTCTAATTCTGAGAAAGTGAAACAGCAATTTGGCAACAGCTTTGAAAACAGAAAAGTAGATCTCGATTCTCGTGCCTACTTAACATTTTAAGACCTCTGATTTCTTCCTTGGTCCAAATCCACTGATTCAACTGGAGAAAATTGGAGCATCAATCCAAGAGGAGAGGAAGTGGTTGACTCTTGTAAACGGCCTAGAAGCTGCTACCAAAGCTCATAATTCGCGTCCATCGTTGACAGAATGAAACTCACTTGAACACTGAATGTGTACACTCCGTTGGGCAGAACCCCTCCCGGGATGATTAGCTGCTGGCCAAAATTGTTAGCCGCGTCGTTCTCGAAGAGCGCGGCCGCGGCCGCGTCAGGCAGGGTTTGGGCGCAGCTCCATTCGTACTGGAAGGGGATGGGCCGCCCGCTGACGTCGACCGAGTGGTCGGGATCTTTGGCGGCGACCGCCAAGACCAGCGGGTTAGCGGCGTTAACCACGGTGATACCGCCAGGGATGGTAACCGTGATGGGCTGTGCTTGCAGGCTGAGCGTGACCTGCACCGTGGAGGCCGTCGTGGTGGTCGTGTTGTCCACCTGGGCGCACGACAGCTGCAAGAAGGAAAGAAGCAGAGAGCTGTGAGAAAATGGTAGGGAGCAGATCATGGGAACCTTCACCACTTAGAGTAGCGCGCTTTGTCTCGGCTTTGTGGAGGCTTGAGCTTCAGCATCGCAAGAGGTTTCGAGAAGGCACTGTCGAGCAAAGGGAATATATCGATGACATACCAGAAGGATGAAGAAGAAACGTTATTTTGAAAGTTCGAAATTTTCTTGCGAGCAAACAAGGACCCCAAATTCCGCGGACCACGAATCTGCATGATATCTACGTGCACGGCAATCTCAAAGCTGCGCGAGCATGATGGACCCATGTGCCAACAAGCCCCGCGCGCGCGCTCACCTGGAAGCTGTAGTCGAAGCCGACCTGGAGCAGGCTCCCGGGCATGACCAGCGTGGGCGACGCAAAGGACGCCGTCGTCACTTGCGCGACCATATTGCCTCCCAGCGTGCTCAGATCGATGATCGGACCGCTCAGCTGCTGCCACGTGTACTTCAGCGGCAGGTTCCCGCCGCCCGGGACGCACTGGCCGTTGACCCATACCCACTTCCCGGGCACTCTCCCGGTCGCTGACACGCGAATCATGTTGCTAGACGTCCACGTGATGCGGCGCTCGGGGCCCGTGGTCGGGTTGGCCAGAGTGAGAATGGGCACCGGAACGCTCTGCTTGGCGACGGTGACGGCGACCGGCGTGCTGGCGACGCCTAGGAAGTTGGTCGCCGTGACGGTGAAGGTGTACGTTAAGCCGGGGCCAAGGTCGTTGGACGCTAGCGTGATGGAAGAGTAACTTCCGGCAGCCGTGAAGCTTGCGAGTTTGGTGGTCAGGGCTGCGGTGTACTCGTCATTGGGGCCCTGTCAAGAGCGGAGGCTTGAGAAGAAAGCAGACGAAGTCCGACGGGGAATATTTTCCGCTGTGCACGTGTGACTTTGCTAATTAAATACGAGAATGGGTCATTGTAAGGAAGAGATCATGCTGCCGTTCTGCAGCAATAGCAAAACTTGCGAATTGAAGTATGCTGAACCAGCAACAATTAGCATGGGTCTTGGAGCAGATCGGTGGAGCCTATCCTTTCATGTCCAGGCTCAGGAATATGATAATTGGTCCATTTCGTTCGAGTTGCTCTTGATTCACATACTCGTTTCAAAGTCTGTCGAAAAGTGAATTTTGAACAAGAGTTTCGGCCACTTTTTACCACAGGCGGTCAATCAGCTGAAAGACATTCGGAGGGCAAATCTGTGCAAAATTTCGACGTTTGTCGAAGTACATACGAGCCTGCACAAACTTCCTTTCTGTTTGTTCTTCTTTCCGCTCAGAACACAGCAAAAATTTTACTTGCTTCTGACGCGAAATGATTTGATTGCTCCTCAAAATAGCAATATCCTACCTGCACGTAGTAGCTGTAATGCAGCGGCCGCCCGCCGCCGCCCGTCGCGGCCGCGCTGAGCGTGACCGGGTCGCACACCCCGACCGCGGCCGGGGCCACCACGCTCGCCACGGGCACCGGCGCCGTGTCCGGGCCCTTGAGCGGAACGGAACCGGACGCGTCGTACGAGTTGGACGCCGCGTTCGCGATCGCGTCCGAACGGATCGTCACCGCGTCCGGCGCCGCGCTGCCGACCGGGAGAATCGTGGAGTTATATCCGAGCGTAATGAGGAGATTCCGCCGGTTCTGCCAGGTGCAGTAAACGGTGCCGGAACCGAGCTTGGGGATGACTACCGGATCGAGCAGCTTCTGGCACGTGCCTTGGAGGCCGGCTGTCGTGGTGGAGTATTGTAAGCGGCCGCCGTTGGTGTCTTGGTCGAAGATAAGCACGATGCCGCCCAGGCTGGGAGTCAACTGGGCGAGCAGCAGCTGGGGGGCGGGTGCGGGGGAAATGACCGGGGAGAAGGTCCCCACCACTGCACCGGATGCAAATGAGTCAAGCAAAGTGCGTTTGGAGGAAGCACGGCTCGGCAGGCCTACTGAAAGAAAGTGTCAGTCAATGTGCATTTTGAGGAAGCTTCCTATCCAAGATGCACGGAACGAGGTCAGCAGAGCCTTTCAGCAGCTTCTTGGATTCAAAGTATGGGGGTTGCTCAGGTGTTCAAGTACCTTCTAAATCACCTGGAACCATCCAGTAAGCCATTTTCTGGATATAGGCCGGCTTTATGGAAGTACGAGGCCCCCAATACCAAGTTCAATACCCGTTGTCAGCCTCTTGATTGGCCTTCTAAAATTTTGCCCTCGCTCCGAAGGACGGCTTCTGATCAATTATTGTTTAAAGTTTCGAGAGACTCACCGATGGTCCCGTACGAGATTATGACTTTGATGTCCCCATATTGCACCGGTGTGTATGTAACGGTCGCCTGGCAGTTCGTCCCGTCGTTTGCACAACCGGTGAGTGCAATCTGCAGACTGGTGGCGTCTGCGGCGGTCTTGGGCACGAAAGAAACGGTCGGCAGGCTGCTGACGATGTTGCCGGCGTCATCTCTTGCCGTCACGGCGAAAGCTGCCGGTTTTCCGGCGGAGCCGACAGAAAGACCGGTTCCGGTGGCGCTGCTCGTGGCGGCGGAAACGGCTCCCGGAATGACTTGTACCTGCAGGGAAGAGAGTTAGAGAGGGAGTGAGCGGCCGCGAAGCACGTTCACTATGCACCTTAGAATACAGCTAATAAACGGCTAGCTTAAGCAAGCTAGACAAAGGCAAACTCTGCGCCCACGTGCAAGCGTGCAGCCTTGAAGCGATCGTCTGCTTGATCAAAAAGAGAACTGATAGAAGCTGGTGACATCCTCTTGTGATTCTAAACAAAACCAAGATTTCAAATTTCAAATCAGAGCCGGCGGATGACAGAAGCGGGTTGGCAAAGCCAACAAATTTGAAGCAAAAGGCGCCAATCCAAAACGTTCTTGCATCTACCGAAACAAGGGACAGAATATTACAAATCGAGAGAGCCAAGATGGTAGAAAAAGCAGCGCTGCGCGTCACCTGGAAGGGAGTGCCGGGCACCGTCGCGCTGGCATCGCTGGCGTCAGCCACGGTCAGCTGGTACGTACCCACCGGGCCGGCGGTGCAGGATGCCTGGAATTCGGACGGGACACTCGTGGGCGCCACAGTGCACTGGAGAGCCGCGGGGCCGCTCGAAGGGACCGCAAACGACTTGTCGCCCGTCGTGTAAGGGTTGCCGTAGCCGTCCCTGATACATTATTTGGATCAGAAGATGTACATGAGATAGTGAAAGCAGATGCAGGAGTGTGCGAATGACGCTGTAGAAGATGTTTTCTGCTTGGCATGGCGGCTTCCAAGGCAATGTTGGATGCGCGAACGGAACTTGAAAAATCTTAAGGTCTGGTGATCACGAGTTGTTGCAATCTGGTTGATTCCGTGATCTTGGAATTAGTATGTAGAGTTATCCATACAGCTAGTTTGTGCTCAGTCATTTGCTCAATACGTTCCTGGCTCTGTTTGGCACCATCTTCGTTTGGCTGATGTATCCTTTTTGAGACTCTTTGCTGCGTCTTTGAATCAAGGCGGCGCAATACGATTCAATATTTTAATAGCTGCCGTAGAACCTACCTGGCCAAGATCGTGAACACCAAGGGCACCCCCGAAGCCGCCGTGGTCACCAGCGCAGGCGTTGGCCGGACGGAGCACTGCGCTATGCTGAAAGCGGAGTTGGTCACGCTAATCTGCAGCGGCTGAGCGTTGACGGGGGCCCACACCCCGCCAGTTCGCAGCGACACGGTGAGGCTGTACGTGCCGGTAACAGTCGCCGTGTAGCGCAGCGCGTACGTGCCGTCCTGGTTGTCCGTCATGCTGGCGCTGACGTTCGCGGGGCCCGTCAGCGCGGCCGCGTACACGTCACCTCCCGCGAGCGCGTTGTAAACCTGCGCGTTGCGCTGTGCGTCGTAAGACTTGACAACGATGACGTCATCCACTCCGGCCACCCGGGGGGTGGCGGAGGAGAACGGCTGGGAGCCCCCGGCCTGGAGGAGCTGCGCGGTCGCGGCCGCGGTCGGCCCCGGGGCGATCTGCGCCATCACGGGGCTGTTCGCGAGCGTTTCAGAGGACACCGTGTAACTCGTGATCTGAACTGCGATGAGGCCGGCGCGGGGGGGCGTGAACGTGAGCACGTAGCGCCCGGTTCCGTCGGTGAGCGGGACCGGAACGAGCACCCCCAGGTCCGGAACGGTCGCGCTGAACACATTCGCCGCGGCCGCGCTGCGGATGTCGAGCCCCGACGCGTCGCGCGGCTGGATGTACAGCTGGAGTGGCGTTCCGACGACGCCCTTGACAGCGGAACCGACCGGAATTCCGCTCAAGTCGACGGCCCGAGAGGCGGCAACGGACACGGGGCCGGGCTGCGGCCAGACCTTGACGGCGTTCGTGGCGATATTGGTTCCGTTGTAACCCACGGTAACGGTTAGAGTTGGGTTTGCTGTAACCTGGGCAACAGTGGGCGTGTAAGTAGCCAGGTAGACCCCGCTGCCTTGCAAGCTGACGGGAGCGCTCAGGCTGAGAGTTGGGTCCGAGAAAGTGACGTCGAAGGAAGTGCCCGGGGGTAAGGAAGCCACGCTGTTGTCAAAGGCGTCATTTGCCGAAATGAAGAAACCGGCCGGCACGCCGGAGGCGGCTCCCACCACGAAACCCGCCCCGGTTACGCGACAGTTAGAGGGGGACACCACGCCGGGCAGAACGGCCGTCGAGAATGGCTGCCGGGTGGAAGGGTTGAGAACCGGTACGTTGTTCACCGACAGGGCAACCCGGAGCAGCCCAGCCGCCAGCGGTGTGAATGCGACGGTGTAAATTCCCGACGAGGGGTCCTGGGCGACGGTCGAGGCGAGCGGGGAAGATAACCCGGTCTGGCTGGAGACGGACGACAGCTGCAGGTTCGCCGTGCTAACCAGGTTGGTTAGGACCGGGTTAGAGAACTGGTCGAGGAGCTGAACCGTGAAGCTGCTAGCTGCGCCGGCCGTGAAGCTCGCCGGTAGGGAGACGGCCGTCAGCGCGGGCGCGGGCGCGGCCGGCTGAACGGACACGAACTGACTCCCATTCACGCCCGGGTAGAACTGCTGCCCAGAAACGTTGGCGCTCAGGTGATACGTCCCCGCGGCGGTGAGCACCAGCGCCGCCTGGTACGTACCGTCGCCCCGGTCGGTGGTAGGGAAGACGACCGGGGGATGGCCGTCCATTGCAGCCTGCAAGATTATGCTGAGGCCGCCGGTCCAAAGCTGGTTGTTGTTCGCATCCAGGGCGGTAAAAGAGACTGGGGAAGGCGCCCCGGCCGTCAAAGTGCCCGGGGGACTGACTTGGATGTTGGCGGGGCTAACAGGCCCCGGGAAAGTTGTCAGGGGCCGGTTGCTGATCACCGGGCCCGGGTCGGAACCTGACGTCAGCGCGACCGTCAGGAAGCTCCTCTGGTTGGAGGCGGCGACGCAAGGGTAGCTGAAGTTGTACTGCCCCGGGGCGGAAGGGGTCATCTGACCGGAAACGGAATCCGTTCCGGTCACGGTGACGGAGAAGCTGTCGGCGGTGCTGGTGGCCGGGTTGCCGAGGGCGTCGTAAGCCAGTACGGTGACGACACGTGTTCCTCCGGAGGAGCAGTTGGCTGTGGAGTCTGGGGACAGCTTGGAGGCGGCAGCGGAAGCGGAGCCCGGAAGGACGGTGACGGAATAGGGGCCGCCGCCGAAGGCTACGTTGGACCGGGAGATGGAGACCTGGGTTAAGAAGTACAAGTCAGTAGTTGCTAAAGAAGAGCACCAGGTGCGGCCTTGGTTGAAAATCTTCCTGAAGTTATCTCGATAAAGAGCGGCAGCAGAATGGGTATTAAGCTAGACGCTAAAAGTCTAGACGCTCTTTTACTGTAGAAACGATAGCCTCTGCAACCCGAAGTTGAAACGGAGGACAGCAAGTATAGATGAGTAGTAAGCAAGTGATGTGTAAAGCAGGGTTTCCAGGAAGTGTGAAAAGCTCAGCTTTAAATGAACATTAGAATCCTTATTTAGGTCTAAAGCAAAGAGGCACGACGCACAAACTAAAAAACGTAGCAATGAAGCACAGAATGGAGTCCTTTCACAAGGTCAGGAAATAAGAAAGAGTCTTCTTCACAAGATCGACCAACAAGCGGCCAGCAATCCACTCAACGGCACAACCTGCAGTCTTTGTATTCTCACCGTATAGTTGCCCGCTTTGACGGGGGTGTATCCAACTTCGTAGTGGTCCGTCACAAAGTTGACATAGTCACTGTTGAGCGCAGCTGGCTGTGACCCGTTCGAGGTTAGCTTAACCCGGAAGCTCATGCCGCTTTCAAGCACCGCGTTTCCGAAGAAGTCTTTGGGGAAGATGGAGAAGACGGACCGCACGCCGGCTTGCACGCTCTGAGGGGAGGACGGGGTTTCGATGCCAGGGCCGGAGGCAGAACTGTTGGCTGGCGAAACGGCACCTGCGCAGAAACGATTGGAAGGACGGTCAGAACTTCGCTCCAGATAACATCAACTATTCCTCTGAGATACCAAAGCAACATGCAGTCATTTGCCAGGCTCACCTAAGTTTTAAAAAAGCAACATTTAGGCACCAGCTTTTCATAAATTTCACTTGAACTACTCAAGCTGCTTTCAGCGATCGGTTCCAAGTTTCTGCTTCACACAATCAAGACAACGACAATCGTAACAGGCCAGAATCACATTCCTTTCTTAACGTGTCCTTCCTTGAGCTTCGGAGAAGAATTCATTGACAAGGTGTATCAGGAAAAAGGCAAAGTGATGACCAGGAAAAGCCAAAGCGTGCAAAAGCGTAGAAAGGAAACGGAAACGGTCTAAGGACTTGTTCAGGGGTTTTTGTTTCGTGGAGGTTCACCCCTTTGTCTACCGCCTTTTAATCGGCCGATCTTACGCAGCAGGGGCTCTGGTCTCGATGCGAGAGCAAAGCCCTTGAAAGCATTTTCCCTCGATTGTCACCGCATCCCGTTTTGAGAGAACGCGTTGCGACTCTCTTCTGCGACTGGCCATGTCGACGAGACCTGACAAACGTGCTTAACCTAGGTCTGCCTGCGTCAAAAACAAAGTGGGTACTAGATACCGAGATACTTGTGTAGATGTCGTACGAATTAACCCAAAAAAAATTTTAGTCACAGTGTGCAATGGATTTTCCAAAGCATTACCTGCTATCACCAGAGGGCCGGGGAAGCGCTGGGTCTTATTTGTGACGGTGAAGTCCAAGACGCTGTCCCCGCTTTGGACCGCCACGTAAGTGCCGTTGTAGATGTCGCCCAGGAGGGGATCAAGCGCGTAGTTCCAGGACACGGTTGCATTGGAGGTGGCGTTCTGAGACGCGCTGACGGCAGCCGTCGGAGGGTTGGCCTTCAGATCGCTAACGGAAACGCGGTTGCCCCCTGCACATTTCAAAGAAGCAATGAAGCTTTTGAGGCTTGCGTCTGCAACATAAGAAAAGAAAGCTGCAATTGTCACAACACTGCGTATGCTGCTCCTCGATGCTGCCTCTGACGTTTGAGAACGGCTTAGTCTCAGAAGTCAGTTTGAAAGTGTGCTTCAGACACGGTTAGATGATTTTGAGGGGATACTTCGCCAACTGGCTTTATGGACCTCTTACGATCCACTCTGCTGCTCACAGAGTATTGTAGGGAACCTATCACAAACTCGAAACAGTGCAATTGAAGTTCGTCTTTGAGATGCACCCGCACACACACACACTCGCTTACCAGAGGAAAAGCATATCCTTTCTCAATGGATCGCAGCCCAGAAAGACGACTGAATCGCTCACCGGTGTCCTTGAGCTCCACGCGCAGCTGCGCGGGAATCCCCGCACGGGCCAGGGTGACGCCTTGCATGCCGGCCAGGGCTTGCCAGTGCAGCTCCGTCTTGCTCGCGTCCGGCAACCCTGACGTCACGCCAAAAGCGCTGACGTAACCAGCCCCTCCGATTGTCGCCGCGCCTAGTTCCGGCCGGCTGGGGCTGCACATCAGCACCTGGGCTTTGTAAGCGCCCACTTGCAGGGGCGCGAAGCTGGCCGTAAAAGCGTTGGTCCCGTTGTGTTGGGTTAGGGTGGCGGTTAAGGTGACCGTGCTGCTGTCGGGGTGGGTTATGACAACGGAGAAGGCGTCAAGGCCCGCAATGAGGTAGTCCAGGGGGTTTGAATTCGCGTCCCGGGGAAGGATGCGGATGACTACGGGACCGGGCACGCGCTTTGCCGTCGCGGGGGAAATCTCAACGCGCGTCGTTAGGGGATCCGTTGCGCCGGAAGCCACCGCTGTCGTAAAGCCGTTGGGGTACGCCGCTAACGGCTGGCCGTTGACGGAAACGGTAACCGTAAAGGTTCCGCTCACGAGGGGCCTGAAGCTGGCGAAGTACTGGCCGTTGCGTGCGTCAGCGAAGCGGACGCCCGGTGCTGCGTCCGTGCCGTTCGCTGACGTCACCACGGTGGTCACGTTCGTGGCGGTTCCGTTCCTCAGCAGGATTCCGTTGGCGTCGACGAGCGTCAGCGTGAGGTTGCAGGCTTGTCCGGCCACGACGACGGAATTGATGCCGTCACCGGAAAGCGTGCTCTGGGCAGCACTCGCCAGTCCGATCCCCTGTTGGATTGCCACGTTGTACACCCCCCCTCCAGAAATGGACTGCCCGTCGAAAGTGACGGTTACCACCTGCTGACCGGCGCTTTTCGCGACGTACGAAAAGACGCAGCGCCCTTGAGCAGACGTGTCGAACTTGGGGGATGCACTCGCGAGCACATCCGAGGGAGTGGAAAAGGCGATGATGAAGCGCGCGCACAGGGCGGCAGCTGCTGTGGCGTCCTGAGACCCGTCCAGTACGGCGTTGCGGTTTGCGTCCCGGGGGGTCAGATAAACGGTGGCGTCTAGGCATTCCGAAAGGGAGGGGCACGAGAGGGCGCCCACCAGACCGGAACCGGAAGCGACGCAGTTGGCTGCTAAGGGATCCCCCGCTGTGACTGCCCCCGAGTACGGACTCCCCTGGAGCTGCACTCCATCCGGGAATCCAAGAGAGACGGCGACAATTCCGGCCTTAAAGGGGGTGAACGGAAGGATCAGCTGCCCCGGGTCCCCAACTTGAACCGGCGACACAGAGGCCGCATCCCCCCCGGAAAAGGTGACGAAGCTGCCGCTAGTGCCGGCTCGGACCTGGAGCGCTGACGTCAGATTGGCGGCCAGTGAGGTCAGGTCCTCCTCGATGGGATTGTCGAACTGGTCACGTGCCTGGATGACGAGACGGGAGGGGGCTCTTGCGCGGCAAGAAGCGCTGCCGAGACAATCTCCACTGGCAGTGAAAGCGGCGCGTTTGCGTCGGCCTGGGGGGATAACGAGCCCGGTGAAAGTAACCCCTGAACCCTGGCCGGTCCCGATCGCCACCCCGCTCATTCTCACGGTGACGTTGTACCGGCCTGCCTGGGTGGTAGTCAGCGTAAGCGCATATGTACCATCGTATTTGTTGACGACAGCGAACCGGGGCCCTGCCCCGGTGACGTTGCCCGGCGACACCCAGGGCACAGCCGTCCCGTCGATGCTGTAAAAGGTGCCCGGCACGTACTGCCCCGGGTTGCCGAATACGTCGGCTGTCGTCAGCACGAACGATGACGTCAGCCCGGAGGACGTCTCGCCGGTGCCGGCCGGGGTGATGACGGAGGAGGCGGGGTCGATCGGGCCGGGGAGAAGCGTAAAGAGGAAGGGGCTGCCGGAGATTGCGGAGGGGCCGACGGAGCTGGTGAGCAGAGTGACCGCCAGAGAGTAAGTGATGGGCGCCGAGGTAGAATTGCCGGCGGCGGCCACGGTCTTCTTGGCGCCGAAAGTGATGGTGTAGGTTCCTGGAAGGGAGGGAAGGGATGATTGGACATTGGACTGATTTCTCTGAAGGTAAGCAGAAACCGACTTTCGATTTGCTTTACACCCGCGTGATGTCCACTTCAATTGTCAAGAAGAGGGAAAAGAAAGGGCTTACTGGTACAGTGCCAGAAGAAGGGTAAAAGCAGGAAACTATCTCGTTTGCTCTAGCTTTGAAGATGCAGATCGGCAAGCGTTCTAAGATGCCACCGTTAGTCAGAATGTCGATCTCATGACGAAACTTGTCCTTGACCTCTCCAATAGAAACTTCCGTGTGCGTTTTTGGAAAGATTCTCACATAAGAGCTGAATTTCTTGGACCGAAACTCTGCTTTGAATCAATTTTGCGAAGTGTTCTTATACAAGAGCGGAAGCGACCAGATTCCAGGACCTTTGCATGATTGCAATCAGTGGAGTTGGTCATGAAGCAACCAATGCAGCTCGTTCAAGTTTCTATTAAAAATTACTTTCGACCGCCAGACGTTTGAAGACGTCGAAGTGCCAATCTCTGAAAAGAAAAGATTCCCGCTTACAAAGGCACACTGATGACAGCTCACCATCGTTGTTGCTGATAGCTTCGCTGCACACTGCGCCTGTGGCACTGTTGTCTGCCGCCGTTGGTGGGTCCAACGTCACCATGAAACTATCGTTCCGCCACGCCACCCCCCTCTGGTCCACCTGAGGGTTCCCGAAAACGTCGATTGTGCTCACAATCAGCTTGTTCTGTTGGCCCGCTGTAACGGTGAACACCATCCCCTTTGTTAACTGGGGACTTGAGAGGGATCCCCCGAGGCGGGCGTAGGAGTTGTCCGCACTGGTCGCCGCAGCAGTGAAGTTCACTAGGATGTTCTGACCGGAGGCGATCAGCACCGAGTTCACCCGCACGGCAACCTGGTAGGTACCGGCTGACGTCACGTAGTAGGAGGCCTTCAACGGCCCGTTTCCGCTTGGGTCACGGTGCCGGAGGTTTCTTTGCCGCTTACAACGTTTGTAACCGTGACTCCCACACCGTCCGGGGATGGGTTAGCGACTGAGTTACCCCAATCGTCCTTAACCGCGATCAAAAAGCTGGAAGGTCTTCCCGCTTGGCCCCCGAGGGTTACGCCCATACCGGACACAGTGGTTTGCGCAGCGGCCGGCAGCCCAGCTTGGATGGTGACAGGATCTGGGACCCCCGAAGTGAGGGTCACGTTTGGACCGCCGTACGAAGCAGAAGCGGTCATCTGGTAGCTGCCGGAAGTGTTCAGAAGCGCTACCGCCAGAAACTGTCCGCCAGCGTCCGTGCAGGGCGCCGTAACACTTGGCCCATCGAGTGAGGCGAGCGTTATCGCGCACGTCGCCCCATTGGCGGCGCTGATCTGGTTGCCGAAGTCGTCGAGAAGCGACACGCCGACTCTTTTTAGCGCCCCGGCCGAACCTTCGCCCAGATTCGAGCCCAAGACGAAGCTCTTGGTGACGCTGATAGGGCTCGGGGAAACGGTCACCGGGGACTTCCATCCGGCTATCGGTTGCTGGGCGAGAAGAACTTGGAGCGAATAGACGCCGCTTTTCGTGAGCTCCATCGACGGGCGGAAGGTCTGATCTGCCGAGGGGACAACCGGGACGTCTCGCAGAGTGTTTCCAGCCCCGTCAAGCAACCGGATGGAGAAGGCGTCCTTGCTCGGGGGATAGTCTGGTCCGTACACAACCGGGTTCCCATAAGCGTCTGACGGAACTATAAGCGCCTGGGCCGATTGGCCAGCGGTCAGGTTGGCCGCGAAGCCGGGAGGCGCTAGCGTTGTCGTACTGGGAGCGGTGGCCCCCGCAGTCACCGTTAGCTTTGTTCCGTTCAGGGCGGGGACCGGAATGGTTCCGTTGATCAGAAGGTTGGCGGTGTAACCACCCGCAACCTTGCCGGTATATACGACCAGGTACGTTCCGTCCTTGTTGTCCACAATGTTTGAGGTCGTGTTGGCGCTGGGGGCCAGAATCAGCTGGAAATCGACACCCCCCTGGATGAGCGGGATCGAGTTGGCGTCCATGGTCGTGATCTTGAAGGCGGCAGCCGTTCCGGCCGTCGTTCCGGCTAGCCCGACGCCGGAAACCAGGGTCTTGCTGACGTCGATCGGCCGGTTCGCGGTCGGGCTGAGGATCTCCAGCGTGAGGGGGCTGCTGACGCTGTTCGCAGTACCCACTGGCTGGCCGTCGAGCGTGACGGCCATATGGTAAGTGCCGTTGCTCGTAAAGTTGTAGGAGACGGTGTAGGTGCCATCAGCATTGTCGGTGACGTAAGCGGAGCACGTGGCCGGGGTGCATGAAGTGCCCAGGGGGCTGACCAGGAAATTGCTGCCGCCGGTTGTCTCGGCGTTGCCATAGACGTCGCTGGAGGAGAAAGCAGAGCGAAGCGACAGTTTCAGGTTGTGCCAAAGCATCAGGCAGGCGGCTCACATTATGTTTTATTCGACCAGCTTTGCGTCCTGCCTTGAGAATTGCACCAGCGATTGTGCACCAGAATTGACAGAGAAATTTGATCAATCTGCCAGCAGACCGACAAAAGAAAGAAAATGCATTTCGGAAAAGCAGATTATAACCAGGAAGAAAGCGACTACTCAAACAAGCGGGGCAACCAAACAAGGGTCTAGAAATCCACAAAGGATTGCGTCGTGTCCTGCTCCAAAGCTGCCGGTGCAAATGGGTCAATCGAGAAGCTGAAAGTGAATCTGCAACGACAGGTACAAGAGGCCGAACTAGAGGAATCGACGTGCAAAAAGTCACTGGATATGCTAAGGTCGCTGCTTTCAAGTGCATATTGAAGCATAACCAGGACGAAAATCTCAAAGTTCAGGTCGCTGCTTTCGAGCGCACTTTGAAGCACACTTCCTTTGTGAAAATCTCGAAGGCTATCAAACACTGACCGAAGAAGTCCTACATGACACCTTAAGGTTCGACTACGAAGGAACGCTTTGGCAGTAATCTCCAAGAGAATCAGCTATACAAGTGCTCTCTAAAGTGTCAAACAGGCGTTCTTAGCGGCAGTCTGGCCGTTCACTCACGCTGCCTGAATGGTGAAGCTGCTGGCCAGGGTCGCGATGCTCCCCGCCAGCCCGGCGCCTGTCAACCGGGAGCCGGCAGCGCTGACGGGACCGCTCTTCATGTTCCCGATGAAGGGGGACGCCTGGATTGGGATCCCGGCAGTGGACATAGAGATAGTCGATTTCCCCGCGACTGTGGTCATGAAGGATACCGTATACAGGGACTTGGCGAAGTCGAAGGTCGGGCCTCGGAAGGGCACTGCCACAGTCTGCTTCGTCGCGGCGCTGGTGACGGTGACGTTGACGACAAGCTGGTCGGCAGTGACGTCACCGCCTGTGCGGAGGTTGAAGAAGCTGCAAGAGGAACCAGAGTGGGGTTACAAGTGCATACTTTTCACGAGAAAGGGAAGAATATAGATTTTGTTGCTTGCGAAGGCCCTCAGCTCTGGGTGCAAGAGAGCAGATGCGGTGGCGACAACTTTGTCGTGGAAATTATCAAAAGCGTTTGGAAGTACTCGGATAGCAGAGCAGGCTTCAAACAGAAGTGTTTAGTAGCTCTTTTAAAACCCTCTTTCAACGTCAACTTGACGTCCGCGAAGAACCTGATGCGGAGCCGTCTCGCAGAACAAACGGTTTCAGGGGCAAGCTCATCACCATTCCTTAATTCCGTCACGAAACAGGAAAATACAAAGGCCGCAGTTTTCTCGAAGTCAGAGCGGCTGTTTCCTTGCTACCTGCCGCCTCACCTGTCCTGAAGTACGATCATAAACGTCTGATTCTGCCCAACAGTTCCGCCCCATAGCGACCCGGAGGCAGACCCGCTCGCGGGCGGTCCCGGCAGTACGACCGGTCCACTGGGAACATTGGGCACCTCCTTCGACTGGATCAGAATGTGGGCGGTATATGCCCGGGCGTAGGTCGTCTTGTAAGTAAATATGTACAGGCCCGGCTGGTCCGCACGCGCGGCGGCGACGACGAAAGAAGTCGAACCCTGCTGCAGTAGGAGTTTGGTGGAGCCATAGACCAGGTAGGTCCCGCTGAAAAGAGTGGTGGGGAGCGTCGTGGTTGTTGCCGGGTTGTTGAAAGCGTCCCTGTTTGAGAGCGAGGAAAGGATCTGCCGGTGAGAAGCAATGAAAATGGGAGAGGGACTGGAGAGGGAAGCCACCCGGAGGTGCGCGTCAACAAGCTGACCCCTAAGCAAAGAGCAAAACTCGTTTCTAGATGCTCCCTTTGAAAACTTGATACAGAAACTGGTTCTCCGCAAACTTTCACCCAGCACAACTCTCCCTCCAAAGTATCTGTTCAAGATGCCTGTTCCCTATATGGATCTGACAGACTTGACTATCAAGCAATACAGAGCATTACGAAAAAGGGAAGCAGATGCGACTGGGGATGACTGCAATGGCAAGAATTAATGGAGCAACAAGTTTAGCCTTGGTCAAGAAACAGCCTGCTTGTCAGCAATGATCCTTGAATCGAACTTAAGTCCTAGAGCAGAAACAAACGTCACAGAATAAAGCTGATAAAAAACGCGCCTTTGTTTCTGCTTGACTTCTCACCAAGATGAAGGCCATGAATGTCTTTGGTGCTCAGAGCCAATGAATTCAACGGACTTTGGCTAGATTGCCAACTATTCATTGACTGCCCACTTGAGCGACCAGCACGTCTGTACTGTTTCCTACGCAGCATCAGAGGGAATAGATTCCGCGCACTCATCCTTGCTTGCAACCAGCCGAGTACACAACCAAGAACAGACGACGCTTGATCAAACCTTTAATACCATCCTCATCAACTTTTATTAGAACCCTGATCCTGCGTCTTCCTCTGCATCGCGCAAAACATCTAGCAGTACTGCAGCGGCATGCTAGCGACACCTATGAACGAGAAGCAGAGCAAAAGGCAAGGCGCAGATTGCCGGCGCTTTCACCGGCCCACGCGCACTCACCGCAGCTGTACCGTGAAGGTCCCGGCCACCCCTGCCGTCGTACTGCCCATCCCGGCGACCAGCGAGTTGTCCAAAACATAGGGGCCCGCCGCCATGTTGACTGTTTTGCTGTAGATGCTGCTAAGGCTGCCGCTGTTGGGCCCCATGCTCACCGCCACCTCATACTGCCCCGCCGTCGTCACGTTAAACGGCGCCGTCAGCAAATGCGTCCCGTTCGCGCTCCACGTCAGCAGTTGGTTCACCTTCTCGTCACCCGCTAACCGGAGCGTTAACCCGACCGCCACGCCCGGGGCGTCGCTCGGGGTTAGAGCGTTCTGGTACGCGTCGTAGAGCGGCACCGAGAGTGAGAGCAGCGTGCCCACTGTTCCGTCCTGCAACGCGGTTCCGGTGAGCGCTTTGGCGGTGTTGGTCGGGTCGGGGCCCCCCGGAAGTACCGTGAATCTTGTCGTATTCAGCCCGACCGGCATGGCCGGCGCGTCCGACTTGGCCATGAAGGAGGCGGTGTACGTGCCCCGGGCAGTCAGAGGCTCGCTCGTGACCGTGAAGCGGGTGGCAACGTCAAAGGAGGTCGCCGGAAGGAACGAGAGCGGCGACGGAACGGGCTCGTTGGGCACAACGGTGACGCTCTTTGATGACCCCCCCGCGGCCACAATGAAAGCCGAGAGGGTCGCCCGGGCCGGGTTTCCGTACCGGTCCCTCAAGCTGGCGGAGAAGACCGCGCGCGCGCCCGCGGTGACCGGCCCGTTTTGGAGCGTGACGGGGGACAGGAGGTAAGACGGCGCTTCCGGTGCCAGGACAAATCTCGCCGGGCTGCCGCCGACCTGGGCGGAGCCGATCGCGGCGGACACGTTGTACGGCCCCGCCACAGTCAAGTTGAAGTTGAACCAGCACCGGGGGTCCCTTGGCGTGACGTCACGTCTGTGCACGGGTTGGGGCTGATCGGGCCGCTCGTGAGGACTGTAGTCCCCGTCGAGTCCAGCTGAATGTAGCTCAGGGCGAACGGGTTGACCGTGGTGTAGTTGGTGAAACGGGGAGCGATCACGAAAGGGACGGGCTGTCCGACGATGATCATGCCCGGGTTCCCCAAGACAAGGCTGCTGGCGTCAGCGGGGTTGGCGGCGACGTCGATGGTGCCGCTTGAGAAGGCCGTGTTGTCCTGCAGGTGAAAGAGACTGCCATGGATACAGTACGGTGTTGAAAGACTAGTAGAGTCGAGCCGTGTTGGCACCGGTGGATGTGGGAGAAAGAAGCTTCCGACTTTCTGACAGACTCGTTGCGCACTATTGTTAGATTCTCTGCTCGATAGCACAGCCTTGAAAAGTCGCTTAACAAGAAAACAGAGCAGACAAAACGCAAAGCCATTGGGCCAGGGCTTGCAAGGCAGAACTCCATTCTTTCATAAGCCCCAAACGCTAAAAGGCAAATAGCATGGATATTGACTCTGCTTTCCGAACTTCTTTCAGTGTAAGTTGATCCATCGATTTCTAGCCGAAGTCCATTTTACCCTCGCTTTAATTCACCGCTCGTCAAAGCAGATTTGTAAACGAGCAAAACGGGTCGGCGATGATAGCTCTACCGAGATGCGCTGGCAGAGTGAGGAGAGTCAAAAGAATCTCGTTCGCTCACCAGTGAGACGGTCACGACGTATTGCCCCACCATTGTGGGCACGAATTGCGCCGCGTATGACCCATCGAAATTGTCCACCACGGTCCCCGCGACGATCGCGCGGTCAGCAGTCACTTTGAAACGGCTCGCGTCGCGCGCCTGCCCTCTGATCACGGCGTTCGCATCCTTCGCCGTGATCTTAACACTACTGAGCGCGTTGGCCAGGATGCTGAAGGACCATTCGGTTTTGGTGGCAAAAGCACTGATCGCCCCCACGGGGAAGGCTTCCGTGAGGTCCAGGATCGACCGCGCGGACGCCTGCGTCTGGTTGTCCGCCGAGATGACGTCATAGCACGTGGGCTGGCCGCACAGGTACACCGACAGGTTGTACTGCCCGCCATAGCTCGTGGCGAGGCTCACGGTGTAGCCCCCGGGGAAGGCCCCCGGAACGGACCGGAACGCCACGGGCGGAATGGAGGTCTGCGCGCCGTTCCCCGGAGACAGCAGGAACAGGAACGCGAGGCCGGGCTTGAGGGTGCTGTTGTAGTCAGAGAAGCTGAAGCTCTGGTTGTAGACGGTAGGGGTCACCGTCCGGTTGAGCAGTCTGAACAGACCGAACCCGGTGATGTTGTACTGGCCAACAGGGGTGGGCGCAGGGGTGGGGGGCGGCGGAGGGGGAACGACAACCAGACTTTTGACGGGCTCCACGAGAGGCTGGCCGACTATCTTTGTCTGCACCTGGTACGTGGCGGCATCGGGGGGCGCTGTGACCGTGATGAGGTAGTTGCCGTTGCTGTAGTCGAGGGGAACCGACGCGAACGGCAGGTACGAGGGGCAGGCGTTGGTGGTGTTGGTCCTCTTGAGCAGCGAGCATAGGTAAACAGCGATTGAGCCGGTCTCCCCCCCAAACGTCAGAGCAACGCCGCCCGCGTTGCGGCCTTGCACCGAGTACGAGAACGGCGTGCCGGCACTGACATTCCCCCCCGCGGCCGTAAGCTGCGACCAGTCCGTGACGGACTTTGCGTTGATTGCGGCGGCGAGCGTAAAGGGCAGGGACGCGTTCAGCGGTACTCCGTGGGCCAGGACCGAGGCCTGGTAGCTGCCCCCGGGCTTCAGCATCCATACGGACGCGAGCAGAGCGAACACGCTAGGAGCACCAGGTACGGAGGTGTAGCTGGCGGCCACGACGTTTGCGTTGAGAAGAGTCCCGGTTGCCGGAGTGAACGCGAGGGCCAGGCTGAACATGTCATTGGAGACTTGGATGGCATTCCCGTACTTGTCTCGGGGAATCACGTAAACGCTGCAGAGGACAAAAAGGTGGCGGTTGAGGCCTTCGAAAAGGTTTTGTGAAGCTTAATTTTGTGTAGTGTGGTCATCGCAGCTGGTTGATGAAAGCTGTGAAGCGTGCTGTGCAAAGTCGTCCGCTTGTCTTTTGAGTCTAGAAAGAAGCTTGTCTAAACAAAAGCACCTAAGTGCTTTTGAAAACAAGTACGGAAAGTCAGCCAGTCAGTGATTGCCTATCTGAAGCCGCGTCGATTCCAGACTGCATTGCATACGGGACTACCGAGTATCAAACGGACAGTACTTCGCACGTTTCGATGAAGCAACAAGAGAAGCTCTCAATTCTAAGTTGAGTTGAGGAAAATGACCCATCAACCAATCAGGTCAAAGGAGAAGCCAATCACAATGACAGACAAGGTCTTTCATGGTGCGAAATAAGAGTACTTTTCAAAATTCAGCAAGAACATTCATATCCGTCAGGTGTGCTGCTCTTGAAGGGAATACATTGAAGCACAGGCATTCGGCAAGCTTCATTCAATGAAGCTCGCAGATGACTTCGACAGTGTCAATGCTGATTCACTGTCGGGGAACGACCTTCTTGAAGATCCAAAACTTACGGAAGTGCGTCAAAGCGAAAATAGAATTCATGAAAAGGACGGGCAAGCCCGCGGGCAAGGTTCTAAGTGCTTCTATATTCGAGATGCAGAAATCTGGTTCTCACCTGAGTTTTGGAGTACCAGAAGACGCATCGATACCTTGCATAACCGCAGAGGACATGTTTGCGTCGTTGAGCGTGCTCGTGGCGAGGCCCACGGTTTGAAGTCCGTCCATGACACGTGCCCCGTTATAGTCGAACACAACCAACCGGTAAGTGCCGACCAGGTGTGTGACGTAATTCAGGTCGTACGCGAGTAACTGGCTGTTCCAGGTGGCGTTTACCGTCAGATTCGTAACCGGGCAGAAGGTCGAGTTGGAGGTTTCGGAAAGCGGGCAGGCGACCACGGAGAATGGAACGGTCGTCTGCTTGTTGCCGTCTGTAATAAAAAGAATTGGGGCAGTCAGAACCTTGCAAAAAATCACAACAAACAGAAAGTGCCGCTGGAGAATGTAGCTTTCAAATCAAGGAGCCTGTCAAAGGCGCAACCGCATAACGAGATCCTCAGTATGAGCCGATGGGAAGCGCCGTGTGGCCATTTATGGGGCTCGCAGTTTTCTGCAATACGTCCTGTTATGAATACCCGTTCCAGTAAGACCAAAGATCTGGTCAAATGTTAGTAGGCTCACAGGTATCGACCGGAGTGAAGGCCGCTTTGACGACCCCGGAGGCGTCGATCGAGGCAATCCACAACGCCAGCACGCTTCTGACCGGGCTCATATCGATAGCGGGTACCACCATCACCGTCTGCAGGGGAGAAGAGAAGGAGGAAAAGCAGTGAGATCCTGTTTGAGCTGGAAGCTTTTGGCGCTGCTCGACGGTGACAACAGGAATAACGCTCAACTTTCGAGATTGAAACGCAGCCTGGAACAGCAGAGTTCTGAGTTGAGACCTTGCACAGTGAACAAGCGGAATCCGAGGCTTAAGCTTAGTGAATTTGCGCACGGCCAATCTTTGAACCACAAATCAGTACGGTCTTCGACTACATGTTCTACATCATTAGCACATGCTGCCCATGCAGATGAAGGATTTTCCGTTTCTGACAAGGAGGGAGCCCCAACCAGAACAGATGAAGGGGAAGAACCAACAGGACAGAAGGGAAATAACGCTCCGTTTCTCGGGCGCAGCTGGACAAAGTGCTGTCAGCACCAGAGCTTTGAGGGATCTTCGAGAGACGGATCTCTTTGCAAGCGGAACAAGAATAGTAAAGGCACGCCTGCCCTGTTGCACGCAGGCACGTGCAGGGGTTCAAGCTCTGCGGTATTGGGGTGTGCGAGCGGTACCAATACGCAGCCCTTGAGAGGTCCTCCTCACCTGAGTTAGTGGAGCTCTGATCGTTCCGGAGCCTTTTGCGGTGATCGCCACGACGTACGTCCCGACCGGCTGCGTCACGTTGTAGGTGAGCACTCCGGCAGCGAGCAGACCCGATGCGCCGGTGTTGATGACAGTGACGTTGGCCGGTAGGGGAATAAAGTTCAGTTGCACCAGCGTGAGGTGTGCGAAGCCCGCGCAGCTCGCGCCCCCTGCGGTTCCAAAATCGGCCTCGTACTTGGGACAGTCAACAGCCATTTGTACCGACATCTGCTGCCCGGCGTTCGTGACGAGCCCCCCGAGGTTGAGGCTGGCGGCAGTCGGGCCCCCGGGGGCAGCCTGGTAGTTCATGTCCGCCTGGGTGGCGGACGCCAGCACGTAGGGCATCATGTCGGAGGGGGGGACGTAGTCCTGGATCAGTTTGTACTCCATTGTCGCACCAGCCTGCGCTGTCCCGGTCGCGGCCTGGACTGTGAGAGTGACCGGCGTCACGCCGGTGCTGAGTCCCGTAAGAGACCACCCGGAAAAAACGGTCGACGTGTTTACGACGGGCGTCGCACTGATGTTGATTCGGAACACGTTGCTTGGGACCCTCACGGCGTACTCGTAGACGTTGCTCGCGAACGGCGGGCGGAGGAAGCCGACCGAGACGGTGAGGTTCGCCAGGGAGGTCGCATCCAGGGGCACCGCCATGGTGCCCGCGTACTGGTTGGTCGCCCTCCCGTCTTGCGCGGTGACGCGCACCGAGAAGCGGTTGGTCGTCCCGGCGACGAGGGGCATCGCGAAGGGCGCCGGCGACCAGGACACTCCGTCCGCAGAGTAAACCACGGTGGCGTCCGCATCGGTTGTGTTCGCCCCGGTGAAATTCGCTTTCAGCGCCCCGCCCGTCACGCCGCTCACCGCGATGCTCAGGGAATTGGGAGCCCAAGCGGCGGTCGCTGCGTAAGAATACAAGTACCCGGGGCTAAAGCCCTTCTTCCCCTGGACGGAGACTTGCATCGAGCTCAGGGTGGCGTCATGGCTGAAGTCCTGGATGACGGCGATGAGGAATACCTGCCGGGTGACGCCGTCCTCAGCAGTGGCGGTTATGATGAACAGAGTGGACGCTCCCGGCACTGCGAGCCGGTACGAGGCGGCGAAGTTGCACCAGTAACCTGGGGCGGTCAGGCTGGGGTTCGGCGAGTTCGGCGTAAAGGAAGCCCCGGTCACCATGGTGAATGTCGTCATGAGGTCGGTTGGCACCGCATAGAGGCCGACCGCGGTGATGCCCTTGCTTAAAGTTAGGGTGTACATCTGCATAAGCGGCATGGAAATGACGGTCAGACCCAGCTCCTGACACTTGTGACAATCATCAAATTAAGCAGCGGAGCGGAATTTACAGGTGATTTAAGCATTCACGCTTCTGATTCATCTGCAACCAAAATAAGCAATATGTAAACTATGACTTGGGAAACAAAGACGTGCAGCTCAGGTTGACATGAAAATTACCGTACTTTTTGTTACTGAAAGGACTACGCTGAAAAGTAATCGTTGCTGTGATTGATAGCTCTCGAACAAGAGGATGTTAAGTGCTTGGTAGAAAAGCGAGCGCAACTTTCATAAAGTCAAAGACTTGTGGTCAACATGTTTTCACAAGCTTCGATTGTAGAACGGTAGCATCTGGACAAGCGTGAGGCCAACTCGGACCTTGAATTCGTTTTGCAAATGGCCCATCCGTCCAGCAACCGTATTCCAAATTGTAAAACAGTACTGCTGACAGAACGGAAGGGCGAGCGCTCACCCTCTGGTTTCCGTTGGTGGTGAAGGATTGGAAGTTGAGCGGGACGGGCTGGCCATTCGCAAGGTAGTACCCGAACTGGCTGACGGAGGCATCGCTGCTCTTGGGCCTTTCCACCGTGAACGTGTAGTTGCTGGTCGCGGCCCCGGTTGATTGCACCTTCAGGGTCACGTTCAGTCGGCTTGGGGCCCCCGGGGTTCTCTCAAACGGGTACGTCCACTTCCAGTACCGGAGCATCGGGTCGTCTTGAGACTGGAGGTCGTAGCTGAGCAAGTTCAATGTGGCCGTGGAAGGGGTGAAGCTGTAAGAGCTCCATTGGCTGGGGTTCCGAAGCATCCAGTTGATCGTCAGACTGATGGATCCCCCAAGCGGGGTTACGATGGCAGGGTCCGCCGTAAGGACGCCGAAGCAGACAGTCGTCGAAAGGCTGAGCGGAACATTGATCGCGTAGTCGAAAGTCCCGGAGATCAACGGGGGATCCGCGAAGGTCATGCTGCCGTCCGTGCTCTGCATCAGGAACCGGGTGATGGAGGCGTCCTTGGGCGCCGGGCTCGGACGGTACAGGTTCAAGCCGTAATCAGCGCCCCACCCGAAAGTGGAGTCCAGCGAATTAAAGACCACTCCTTGATACCCGAAAGCAAGGTTCACAGCCCAAACGGTCATCCGAGAGACCCAGCCGTTGGCAGGCACGGTGTTGTTTGGCATCAGGGTGCTGTTGCTGAGTGGGAGAGCGGCGGATGTGTAGCGCGAGTCGGATACCGGCAGGTATGAGCAGCCGCTAAAGCAGGCGTATTTGTGGGGAGAGACCACGGTAGAGGCGTCCCACACGAAGAGAGTGGCGATGACGTAAGGGCTGGAGTCGCCAATAGTGACGTTGCTGACTTGGTCCCAATTGCCCAATTTGTCCTTCCAGCCTAGAAAGGGAGGCGACACCGGCCAGGACCTCAGGCCGTAGGGGGCGCTCGCGTTCTGCGCCCATGACGAGATGAAAACCTGCGCAAGCATTGCGCCTGGGACAACAATCGTCAGGATGTAACCTGTGGTTCTAACCCCGTCCCAACTCACCAGAAGAATCGTCAGATCGGGGGGTCGAACTGAAGGTAATTTAGTCACTAGGGTCACCGGGCTCTGCACGATGGTGATGCTGGAGGTTGAGATGTTAGGCTGAATGCCCAGGACTATCGGCTGGTAAGCCGAATAGGCTTTCATTGAGTACGCGAACATGGATTTGAAAGGGATCCAGACCGGTCCCAAAAGGTTATACCCGCCAGAGAGCACGGTGAGGTTGGCAATCCCGGGGGGTCCAGAGGGCGGCTTCCGAAAGACGTGGAAGTTGTAGGTCACCACCGTGTTGTTGCCGTCTACGGTCGTCCAGACGTAGAAGTGGCTGGTGCCGGCGCACGTGAGTGGGACGTTGGTAATAATGTCGTAGCCGTAGCTTGACTTCCAGTTGCGTGGAGTTGGGAAGCACGCGTCGCAAAGAGTCCCCGGGCCGGCAGCTGGAACCGGGACTGACGTGGAGAGGTTGGCGCACATGGGCAGCGGCGTGTAACCGGGCGGCGCCTGCAGGGTGACCATTGAGCCCGGGCTGGTGGGGTACAGCGGGGGCATCCCGCTGGCGTTCACGGCGGCCGGCGACGCGACGAAATAGGCCCCTCTGTCCGGAATGTTGGTCCTGACTTCGAAATGGAGATTCACCGTTGCCACGTCCACCGTCAAGCTGTAGTCGTAGACGTTGGACGCGAAGGCCGGCGTCAGCGTGGGTACCCAGTAATTTCCCACTTCTGGAACCGCCCTGACGGAGATCGACGTGGCCACCGGGAGGACGGAGGAGGACGCCGTGAGCGTGTATTTCCGCATGACGACGCCGTTCGGTGCTACGACGTGGAACTTGAGGTCGCGCGGCCCGTACCACAGGTTGGCGCTGAGGCTGTACACGGGAGTGGCGTCGCTGGAGGTGCTCACAACGCCGACGTTGTCTTTGATGGAGTCTTGCGTGAAGCTTGCGATGGTGGCCCCCGGCCGGTCAGCGGAGGCGCCGAACGAGAACGCCAGGGTCGACTGGTTGTTGCCGGTTGCCTTGTAAGCGAACGTGGTGCTGTTGACGTCGGGCGTTATGGTGCCCCCCGCGAGAGTAAGGTTCCCCAAGTAGGCGCCCATGCTCGTGTTATCCGTCCGGTACTGGAGGCGGAAGGCTGGATTGTAGGGCGCGGTGACGGCCAATTGGGGGGGAGCGCGGGTAGCGAACAGATAGCCAACCCCGGGGTACCAGAGCCCAAGGTCAGGGCTAGGAATCGGGGCAGAAGCGTTTGCGCCCGGCGCAGGAGCCTGAAAGTTCAGCTGTTGCACTTGGATTGGCGGCGAAAACCCGTCGAGGGTGAAGGTGAGGGCCTTGGAACCTCAGGGTAGATCACGAGGAACCCGGTAGGGTAGATCACGCAGCGCACGGAGCCGAACGTGTAGTTCTGGTCCGGAGGGAAGACTGCAGCGGGCCAGCCGACTTGGTCCATGATGCACCTGGCCCGATTGGCCAGCTGGTCGAAGGCGGTGAAATTGGCGGGGAAGATGCTGGTGGTGAAGGGGATGATGGCCTCGAAGCTCTGGAAGGAGTTGATGACGGTGGGGGCGTTGACCACTCTCGGCGTTTGAGGCATGCCTGCAAGAGATGTTCTGGGATCTGGATCGAGACGCACGTAACTGCAAAATCTATTGAGTGGGGGATTGTCGGACTCACAAGAACCTGTAGCGGTCGCTTCTGCTGTTATAGAGTTTAAACACCTGGTTCTGATGGGAAAGGATTGAGATCAGGAGCTTTTCGCTCATCATTGGGTAGATTGGACGCTCGGAGGCAATTGGCGGCGTTCGAATCAACTCGACAGAAGAGGACACCACAAAGAAGTGAGCTGGAAAGATTCTGAATGAGCTGATGATGGAATTGTAGCTCCAGCACCCACTTGGACAATGGTCGAAACAAAAGTGTAAAAGAATGCTGCGAGGAGGAGGCAAATACCAGCTTGGTGCAGCCAAAATGTTTATCCTTCTGCCAATCTGGCTGTTTGATATGCACTTATCGTGCACTGACTTTTGAGGCACTCAGGATCCAAAGAATGTGGAGCAACTTCGGAGCCACCGATCAAGGAGGTAGCTGCTGGTATATAGCGTGTCAGCTCTTGAATGCCGTTAACCCTGCATTTGCAGAAATTCTGGCTACCGCGTATCTAAGAATCATGACCTCCGAGGTTAGGCAAGCGTGTCACCAGTGCAACCGGGATCCCGGGAACTTCGAGTGACATCAGCGCCGCTTCCATTCTTAAAAACCTGGTCAATAATCGCTGATTTGACGTTGCACACCATTTGATCAGCAGATCCAAAAGATAATGTATCTGATTACCCTAACAGATGGCAAACCAACATTGTTTGATGGATGTTCTTGATGACCTACACTTCGCGTCGACTTGCGTTTTACTTGACCTACCATAGTAGGTGAAGTCAAAGCTCGCTGACGTGAAGTTGTTCCCGTCGAGGCTCAACCTGAAGGGCACCGTCTGTGGCGTTCCTTTGAGGGGGACCAGACAAGACACGCGCGCTTGGCTTGGGTAGTACTCTACAAAAGATGCCAACTGTTTGTATTGGCCGAAGCTGCACATAAAGGGCTTTACTTCTATTCCCTGGCCGCTTGGGAAGGGGACCTGGTAGGAGATCATCACGGTGATGGTAGGGTTCTGTCCTACCAGCGCGAAGGTGTTAGAGACGGACTGCACGTAGACGTCCACGATAGGGACAGGGGGGGGGTATTGAGGCACTGCAAAAATCAAAGCTAAGCGCGAGTGAGAGATGCAAGACGAGCCAAGGTCGAGAACCCAACCAAATGCAAGTAGCGATTTAGAGCAGAAACAGAAGAAGCAACAACGACGGTACGGCTAGGCTTCTAGTGAGTTTTGAGGTTCTGTCAGAGCTGGCGACGACGTTGCAGCAGCGTTCGCTTCGCCTCAAATTTGGATGTGAGATTGTCGACGCGAAAGACTTGAGTGAGGATCCCGTCGCTGGCGCTGACCGCCCCGAGAAGCGCACAACGATCAGATGTTTCCGAGTCTTGCGAGCGCGAAAGTCTCTGATCACCAAGCTGTGAAACACCTCTACAGGGCGGGTTCGCAATCTGGATAAGCATACGTCTGTGCATGAAGCAAACAAAATCGAGACGCCTGAGCAACCATGTCTGCCTCCTTCGCGAGTCACGACGACAGGTTGCTGCAAAACACCAAAGGCTCAACCTAAAGCATAGATGCAAACGTCGAGTCGATTGATGTCTGGTAAAGACAAGAAAACCGAGCTTTGGCTGGAGCCGTTACTTATCAAATGGGACGCAACCTAAACAGTTCGAGCAGGGTCGCGTCACTTACTCGGCCCAGCCAAAGGGTCGTAGTAGTAGAACTTTGTAGGCGTCTGCACCGTCTCATTGTACAAATAGCCCGATCCTTGGTCTGAAGATACAGCATACAGAAATTCATGAGTGCTTTGGAAACCTCGTCAGCTCGATGATACGTCTTCAGACCCTGCAAATGCTTTGACCAGGTGCAACTTGATCAGAACTGGTAAAGGGACCTCCTACCTTTTGGTCATCGTTTTCAGCTGCAACTTTAGAATGCATATCTCGGTCTGCTCATCAGATCGCACTTGATAAAGGACTATTGTAGCCATCAAAAAGAAGCTTACAAAGGGCTTCACAAGGAAGGATTTTGAGAGTAGTCAAAGACCTACGACAGGTGTTTCACGACGTGCAGCATCAGATTGAAAGAGTAGTGTATTTTTACATTTGAAAATGACCTTAAACGGAACTCTCTCTTTTGCAAAGCCGGAGCAGTCGCACAAACTGGAATCGTCAAACAACGTTTGGGCAGCTTTAATTCATTCACCAGAGCTTTTCTCTCACCTCTTCAAAATCGTTCATATTGTTATCCTTCACTCTGGAAGACTTAAGACGCGACGTTCAGTCATCGCTTGCTTACTTCCTTCCTGTGTCGTGAACTACAAAGGACCAGAAACCGAACAGACTGGTTGTCCTGTGCGCTCCAACACTTCGTTCCTTTCCGTCACACGCCCTCTTGATACTGTTCCAGTCCGAGAGTTGGCGGGCACGAACTGAAGGAGCCCCGAACAGATTGATAGGCACTGTCGAAGCAGAGATCGGACCGCAACGCCTGCGAACTTCCACCGAGCTTTGCAAACGATCGAAGGACCGAGTCTGATTCAACCCGCAAAGAACCTGCCAGAGAAAGTTTGTGCCAAACGCGGCTGCAGATTGAAAGCTGCTTTGATCATTGGACAAAGAACTCTCACTTTCAGCGACGCCGTAGAATGCGTTGTAGAAGTGGCTGACGGTCCCGTTGGAGTCCGTTTGGGAGTCAATCCACGACGTAAACGCCTCCGGGTCGTTGCCCCCCTGGTACTCTGCAATCGCCGCGACCGTCAGCTGGCTGGAGTTTACGTACGTATACGTTCCCGGCAGGACCGACCACTCCTGGCCGTTCAGGGACACGGTCAAGTTGACCGGACCCGCAGTCCTAGGCGGGGTCTTGCAGCGAACATAGGCCCAGGGGAAGTCCGCGGATGATCGGTGGAAGCTCCCGGGCACGGTGACGTTCTGGAAGGTACAAGCGGGATCGAGCAGGAGCTTGATGTCGTTGCCGGTGAGCTGGCTCGGCAGCGGGTTCCGGTTACGCAGGGTGACGTAAATGTGGTGATAACCGGCGACGGGCCCAGCCGCGGGCTCCACCGACTGGATCATCAGGGGCTCTGCAAGAATGAAGCAGGGGCTGAGATGCTGGAAGACTAGCTTTACCATTACTTTTTTTTACCCTATCCTGATTGCGTGTTGATAAGATGCGGAGCAGGGAATCTGTCGAATGGGACGCAGTATCTTCAAGCACAGACGGAGAGTTTGAATTTTGATCGAAGCAGAGTATGGTCGTTTTCCCCTGCCTGGCATCAGCTACGACGCTGCTTTGCCAGAGTTCGTGAAAATCGGTTGGAAGTACTCCGTGACGAAAACTGTCCGTTACTGGCTCGCTCTCTTTGGTGCATGTGAAGGATCAAAGCAAGAGCCACCAACTCGAAGTTCCTTACAGGTCAAAAGAATACAGGTCTTTCTACCGACGGCTGATAACAACTTGGATTGTAAAAAATGCGTGTTGATCTCGCAGAAAAGACCCATGCACGAGGGGCTAACCTGCCAGCATAATTGAGATCGCTGCAAGCTTGTCCAAGCTCGGTGATGCGGGATTCTAATAGAATCTGGATTGGAGCCGGCCCCAACACTCACCGTGGTAGATGAATCTTCCAAAGATCTCGAAGGTGGTTCTATTCGCACTGAACGCCACATCCACCTCCGCCTTGCCGCTCAGAGAAGCTGGGGCAAGGAACGTGACAGTCGGGCCTGCAGTTGCATTTGCGTCGTAGCCTGCGCTGAAGATAATCGTTGACCCAAAACGGCAGTACACCCAGCCGTTTGTCTGCGTGACGTTGAGAGGGTTCTCGAGAACGATAGAAAGCTGGGTGCCACCTGCAAAGATAAGGCAGCTTAGACAGTGCCGAGGTCTTTACCTTCCAGCTCTGCTTGGACGAGTTGATACAGATGGAGCTTCCTCAAGTCAGGCTCTCTATGGTAGTTCTGCGCAAAGCTTAGGTTGCTGCCACCGCACAATCCGCCTGTAGGTCAAGCTCATCAAAAGAGCATCGTTCAGAGGGGCTTTGCCTTTATAAAAGTCGATGCAAGCTTTTGATCCTTGACTCCCGGACCCCTTCAATATGTTTGTCATCCTGATATGCTACATCGCATGGTCTGCTACTTGCTAAATACGCTCATCTTCCACAACTTTGCCTTTCCACAGCCGTGCCTCTCCAATCAAGTGTGATTTCTCATTGAAAGCTACCGAAAAATGTACGCTTCTTGCTATGTCGACATGTTGAAGTGGCATTGGTTCTGACAGGAGCGCTATCTTACCTGCGTAAGAGCCAACAGCCGGCCAGTAGCTGCTGATAAGTGCAGCTGCAAAGAGTCGGGGCAGTGCATGAGACATCAAAAAATGCCACCTCAGCAGAGCTCCGCCTCCATGCTGACCACTTTTCCCACTCCTGAGCAATGTTCCCTTCTGTTCCATTTTGTCAATTCCGCATAGAAAATTTGGCCAGGCGCCATCAGCTTCTTTTTCTATTCCCTGGTCTCTGCCAGCAGGAAAGGCGCACACCCAAGAACTTGCCTCTCTGCTCCAAAAACAACTTGGTGACACATTTAAAGGGCCTGCTATCAGTTGACAAAAGATCACTGAGCAATACAAAACATACTTCCTTACTCAGAGCTTAAAGATGAACAGCTTTCTCAAAAGCTGTGGTTGATGAGGACAACTATGAGGCCACACAGCGTTGCATCTCACTGCCTGTTATTCCAAGGGCACCTCAGTTATTCTGCCAATGCTGGCCTAAGAGCTGCTCCTCGCTTGCAACCTCTCAAAGTTCTGACGGGGGGTAATAGCACCTTGTCCTGGCCACTGAAGTGTCCTGATGCAGTCTACAAGTTGGTCCATATGTACGAAGAGAGTGAATGTCGATCTGACCTACCTCCGATCGCAGGCAACATATTCAGCAGCCCCGCCAACAGGAGCAGTGCCACCGCCGTTCTTGGCACCTTCAGTCCTGACATTATCAGGCCCTGCAGAAGTACGAACAACAGGCACGTCTGATATGAAGGGGAGCTAAACTACTGATGTTACTAACTGATAGAAGGTCAGTACCGAAGGGGGGAAGCTGCAGCAAACTGACTACTGGCTGAGGCACGCAGTTTAAAAGGAAGCAGACCACAGCATCAGGGAGAAAATCAGATTGACCGGTGAAAACTCCCAGAAAGCTCCATCCTAATATTTATCGAAAGGAGCTTTGAAATGTAGACCACCACCAATCTGCTAGAGATTCTAACCCTCACGTTTCCATCGACACCTTGAACATTCTGTCTAGGTGAGTAGCGTTCCAAAAGTATAGCTTTCCATAACTTCTGGAATCAATGCACACTAGTGCTGAAATCTGGATCATGATACAATCTGATGACAGTGCATTCTACTTATGGTTCAATCAGTGAATCAGCAGCTAACTTAAAGGTTCTAGTTCTACATCAATTCCAGTAAGGATTGAAAAACCCTTGCTGAACTTTACACCAGGAAGTATCATCGGACATGACCAATTGCGACGACCATTTGACGAGCTAGGTGATCAAGGGTGAGGAGTGCTCTCTATGCAATTGCATACAGCAGTGCTTCCGCTTCGGATATCATGTGACGGAGGACCATTCTCCAGTCAGTAACCTGGTGAGGACCCCTGATCTACAATCATCATTCATTTTCACAAGCTCTGAGGTCCATTGCCCTTACACTGCGCTTGCAGAGTTGCGCAACATTGACTCCGATCAAAACAGTGTAAGTGGATTCTTCAGTACCACTCTTCCAGTAAGCAAACCAAAGTCTCATAACTGACAATTAGCAGTACTTACCATGAGTTTACACCAGTCTAACTCCACCACAACGATGCGACAGGCCTAGAAAACTTCCACTCTTCACAGCTTCCCCATTTGCATGAATGAGGAAACCCGATCCTCCTTGATCCTGTAACCTTTCCTCAGCCCTGGAATGCCTGCAACATGATACATCTACTGAAATCCTTCCTCAGCTCAGCACATGCAAGCATGAACCATTCAAAGCAAACTCAGCAAATGCTGCCACCTAGCGAGATGACACAGACGGTACTGACTGCTGCTCCCACTTTTGGGGTCATTTGGTGAACTTCGAAGTTCTACCTTGAGCACTTTTTCCTGAGAGTCGTTCATGAGCTCTTGATACTGTCCTCGACTCCTCCAGGCCATGCTAGCCAGCTGACGGCGTGCTCAGCAAAGTTGCCTGCATAGTGCACATCAATGGCATTGCACAGATCAGCCATCAAGCATGTGCACTATGCGGTACCTAGCAGTGGGTCACTTCACGTGGGCAGGCTGGCCATGCAACTGAATTTTGATCGAACTCGATCCTGGATGGAAGGTCCCCCGCTGCCTTGCCCGCCGTAGATTGCCCGTGCAACGTCCACGTGGATGTCAAATGTCAGACCGTCAGTCGTGCGACATGATTGGGGCTCAACTGTTGTCCGCACATGTGAATTTGAAAGCCAGCGCCTTCTCCACGGGATGGTACAGCAGGCTTTGACCAATAAATCTATGATAAATTCTACTGTCCGAGAACATTTTGAATTTTGAAATCCTGCTCTAGAAAAGTTCCATTTGACGGCGCGAAAAAGCAGGACCATTACTGCATGATCGATTAATTTTGAGGCCTATCATTCAAATGTGCTGCTTGGACCATTTCCGGGAGGTCTTGGGGCTTGCCCATGCAATTGAACAAAGGTGGGAGGGCCCACTTGCAATCCTCACTTAATAGACAACGTCCGCAATCGATGAAACTGCAGGTTTGAGGAACTTGTCATTCACTCACATAACACCATGATGCATCCAATGTCCACCAATGGGTGCATGGCCCGAGGTTGACAATTGGGATTCTGGCACTTCTATCTCCAGAGAAGATAGTAATTTGACAAACTGACATTGTGAATCTCTTACAGCATGTGTATAGTCCACCTTTTGATGCTACAAGCAGGCTCCGCTCTTTCTCTCTTTTCTCTCAATGATGCTTGTGGCGCCACAATCACGAAAGAGCACCTGCTGGGCGGCAGAAAAGTAAGCGTCAATCCAGCATTTACTGTTGCTCTCCTCTTGCAATCTGGGGCCCTTGACAAGATGACAGATCATAATGTCAGCATCTCCAGCAAATTGGGCGACGAAGAATCAATAATATGGTAGCGCAACAGCTGCCAAGCAACAAAACGCCTCCATCCCGGTTAATGGGTGACGAAACACAGTCCTATGTACAGAAACCCCTTGATTGCAAGGCGTACCAGGTCGAAGTGGCAAGTAACGTATTGCGGCAAAATGTGGACAACATTAGTATGAACGCGGATGAATGACACCTTCCTGAAGCCCTTCACCGCGTCTTTAGAAACAAACACTTTCCTCTCTTGGAAAACAGGGGCACACTCCTTACCTCTCGGTGCGTGTAGATGAAGCACTTCCTGCAACATCGTTCACCAACTGCTCCTGCTATTCCGCCGTCCTCAACAAGATGGTCAGTACCTCCCTTCCTCACACGAGGTCCTCTTCTCATTAGCGCTTGCCGTCCTCAACCCACCAAAGGGGTCCGCCTTGCATTTCAAAGGGGTCTTTGCTTTGAACCCATACAGCAGACGAGGCAACCCGGAACCTTGCCGCTGTCCCGCAGTCAGACCACTCTCTGCCGCACCTCTCCCCACTGCCAAGACAGAACCTTTTACAACGAACCGCAGCTGGCCGCAGCAAGTCGTGCAATCCCACCTCTCCTTTCGGTCTCTCATCAAAAAAGCAGTGGGCATTAGCACCAGCAACGAGAATCCTGTTTGGCTCCGTGGTTTTGACATGCCCCTCTCTTGTTAGCCCATCGTCTCCTCTCTTTCCAAGACTACCTTGCGCCACTCTATATCGGCCAGGCTCATGCACGGCTACTGAACTGGGGACCCTTCAAGAAGAGGATTCGAAAGGGGCCTAAGTCGAGTAGCGTCGAGGGCGTAGCGATGGGAGGCGTGGGCGCTAATGGCGCAAAGCGGCAAATCTACTGCATCTACTTGCTCCTCCACTTCCAACTCCCGCGGCTTGCTCTCCGAATTTGACTCGGCTGCATTGCCCCTTCATTCCTTGATCACTGGCTGCGCATCGAGCCGCAAGAAGTTCTAACGGTCCCCGGAACTTCAGCCAACCCGCTTCTCAGGAAGTCGGTTGATGGAGCCGTATGCCGCACCATCTGGCACACCTGGAAGGTAGCGGAAGAGGATTAATCGCCTGAGAATGCCGGAAAAGACAGAGCCGTAACTGCCCTCCTGAGTATCAGCAATCAAAGCTACGAAGTGTCAAAAGAACCCCGCAACAGCAAACGCTCTGCACAACCAATGTAGGAGGTTGAGAGGCTGTTGTTGTTTTCCGACGGATCAAGAATCATAGTAAACCGCGATGGATTGACGACATGATGAACTTTTGTGCACTATCAACAGGTTAAGTTTTGCGCAGAAGCCGCGGGTCTTTTGTCTCCTTTATCGAAAATGTTTTTATACATGTCCAAGTGGCCATGCCGCCTTACCAGCCGCCATCGCCTGCTGGAACGCCGCTTCCGACAGCCCGCTCATTCCGTAGCCCTGCGCCGCCCACTGAGCCGCCACCCCATTCTCCGCCCCAGACGGTTCCGGAGTCGACACCCCCAACCCAAGCCCAGACGCCCCACCAAAAGACAACCCTTCCCTCCCGCTCCCCACCCCAAGCCCCAGGCTCTGCTGCTCTGCAATGGCAGAGCGCAGGCCAAGCCCTAAGCCCCCCCCTTCGTCAGGGGGCCGCCCTGGGCTTCCGTATATTCCCCTACCAAGGCTCTCGGTTGACATTCTCCTCCGTCCCGGGCTGTCTAGACTGTTCATCCGGGCATCGAGTCCGCCGTGCCCACTAGGACTCCCAAATACTCCCCCCCCTCTTGAGCCCCCACCCTCAAAACCGCCCCGCTTCGACGCCTCCAGATTTGTTCTTCCGGGGCTCTCGTATGCCGACCTCAGCCCCGAATCCGCCCTCTGGGGGCTCGGGGGAGGCTTCCCCGGGCTGTCTAGCTGCGCGGCCCCCAGACCAAAGCTCCCCCGACTTGGTCCAGAAGACCCCCCGGTTCCCAGCCTCCCCCCCAGCGAAGAACCTGTGCTCGTTAGATTGCAGGGGGCCCCTTGGCTATACACCGTGCTGCTGCCAAACGCCCCCCCTCCCGCGCTCAGATTTGAGGGGCCCAGTGAGAATGAGCCGAGGTCGGCAGGGGGGTACCCGTTTCCCTGCTGCCACCCGCCCCCGGCGGGCTTCCGCTGCGGGGAGAGCTGCTGCGCCAAAAAGGCCTGCTGCAGAACCTGCTGCTGCTGCAACTGCAGGGCTGCCGCATCCGCTCCCCCCCCCTCGGCCCCCAACCAATGCTCACCCCCCCGAAGCATCTGTGGGGCGTTGCCATTGTGCCAGCTAGCTTGGCTTTCCTTGCTGCCGTAGTCCAGGCGCGGGCGCTGCGTAGGTGACAGTGCGTCCTGGTATGTAGTGCCCCGCCGCCGCTGCTGGGGGGAGAACTGGGGGCTAGCACCCCCGAACCCTGATCCAAACCCCTTCTGCTGTTGAGTATCGAACCCTTGGGTGAAGCCCGGTTGTCGCGCCCCGTAGTACGGGGTGCTGCCACCATACACCGTACTCTGTTGCCCGCCCCCTTGATACCAGGCATCATTTGCGGAAGCCCCGAGCGGGGCCGATGATCCCATGTTGTGTTGAGGATTCCGAAACAGCGCATCCGCCCGAAGCCCTCCCCCATTGTACCCAAAACTCCCCCCTAGGTTTTGTCCCGGACCCCCAGGTCCTGGCCCCAGCCTCGCCCCCCCGCTCCCCATACTTGACGTAGGGGTGTTCCCGACCGGCGCTGTTTCTTCTTCTAGTAGAAGCTGCTCAGCATAGAAGGGGTCCCAGTCCCCAGGGTCTGGAGGTGGGGACATATTTTCCTCCCCCTCCGAGGCCGTTTCCACTCCCGACATCCCGCTTCCAGTCCCGGATAGGCCCCACTGAGGAGCAGCCGCCGGGGTCGCCTGCGCGCGCAATCCGGAGGCCCCATATTCATCGTAGGTGGCGCTGCTCGGCAAAGACGCGGTGCGATTGTGTCGTCGAACAGGGCCCGCGCCCCCGCTCAAGGGGGATCCTCCTGCCTCCGAGCTCTGCAGCCGCTGCCACTGGAGCCCGCTCTGGGGGAGCTCGTACGAGCCCGAACCGCGCGCCCGTCGCTTGTTCAGGGAGTAAGCTTGCCCCCCTGCCCCCTTGGGTCGGTTCAGGGGGGCAGCGCCGTAGCCGTCCATGCTAGCATACCTGGCCCCCACTGGAGAGGTTTGTGGCGAGAGGCCGTACTGGGAGGGGCTCGAGGGGAGGTATTGAATGGTGGGCGGTGTGAATTGCCCCGGGCTCATTCCCAGGGACATTGGCCGCATGTAGGGGCCGGAGGGGCTCAAGGGCAGGTGCGTACGGGGGGAGGCGCCGGGGGCCTGAAGTGCCACGGGGAAGAGTGTCAGCTTAATGGCAGTATGGCAGAAAAGTACCTTTTCCATCTCTATATGGAGGCTACTGATTGCAGCCATTGCTCTACTGCGGCAAAAGCATATAACAATGCTGATCTCGTGTTGACCCATTCAAGAATAAGGGAAAGTTGCGCCAGCTTCAGGAGGCGTCTGAACCAGAAAGCTGACGTGCCTCTACAGGTCAACAGGTAACCGCGAAAGCTGTACCAAACTCACCTCGCTTCAAAAATCCTCAACAAGCCCACTCACACGCATACAGCACCTTCAGCGTATCGCCGTCCCTCACCTGGGGTATATGCATGAAGCGCCTCTCAGGCGACATTCCGAGGTTGCTCGGCTGCGCCATGGCAGCGGCCCCGAGGCCCCCCTCCCCATAGCTGCCGTAGCTGCTGCCGAGCGCCTGGCCGTCGCCCAGATTGCTCCCGTAGCTCGTCCCGTAGCTGCTGTAGCTGTTAGGCACGCCGAAGTGCTGGCCGCCCCCCAGGCTGCTGCCATACTGGGGGCTCATAGGGTACTGCCCAGGAACCAGGTTGTTGACCTGCGTAAAGAGGGGACATAACATTGAGAAACGTCCAGGCGTATTTGCGCACTTGTACCTCGCAAAAGATTTTGAGGCAGATCGCAAGAGAGCAGTCCCGTGAAGTCCAAGGGCTCGAGTGAGTGGTTCGCAATGCAAAGCTGCGGGCGGGAAGCCGACCTCGATGGACCGCAGAGGCCTTGTAAAAGCAGGAACGAGAAGCTTTTCGATAGAGCGATCAACCATGCGCCTGGGAGCAATCAAAGGGAACCGAATGGAGGAAAGAACTTCCCTTCAAAGCGTCACGTGTCTAAGAAGGGTCGTGATCCATCCGGGTCGCAAAGCAAATCCTCTGCAAACTTACTTGGACAGACACAAAGACCAATTCTGGAACTTCACACAGCAACCAAAAAGGTACGTGCTCAACCGACCCACTACGACGAGTCAAGCGGCTCACCTGCGGGGAAAGGCCTGCTGCGGACCAGTGGCCTTTGGAGGGGTGGTGCGGCACCTGGATCCCCTGCGATAGCGGCGTGCGGGGGGTCTCCGGAGGGGGCCGGAAGGAGCCCTCGAACGGCTCCTCCGTGATGAAGGGGTGCAAGCACGCCTGCACAACAGCAACGCGAACTTTAGCAGGCTGTGAGAGTTCGTGAGTGACTTTTTGGCTTGGACAGATAGAGGCGGTCGCAGAAGGCTGCCAGCTCCTTGCCACCAATGCTTCCATCACTGGTGAAAACCTTCTACGGACAATGACACGGAACACTCAAACTTTCAAGAAGAGCAAAGGCTCTATGTACGAACTCGTGGCTCACGAATATTCCACGCCTGTCAAAGTGGCCTTTTCTTCCAGACGATCCATTTCCCAGCTCCTGATCCATGTCCAACGGTCCAAACACTTCGAAGGCAGGAGAAAAGGAAAAAGCTGAAGAGAGTGAGCTCTTGCGCAAGTGCTGCAGGCGCGCGCACCTGCTGCGGCGTCCAGCGCTTGACGGGGTCAAACTCCATGAGCCCCCGCAGAAAGTCCACAAACACGATCCTCGTCAGCGTCTCCTTCTTGCGCTCCTCGTCGGTCGTGCCCCGCATGATGGAGTAGTGGATGATGATGTCATCCAGCGTCGTGTGCTTGAAGTAGCGCTTCCCCGCCGCCGGCTTCTGTCCGTCTCGTGCCTCGACTTCTTCCTCGCTCAGCAGCACGTACTGCGACGGGCCGCCCTCGTAGCCCTCGTCCGCGGCGGCGGCGCCGGTGCGCTTGAAGAACTTGTGCGTCTGCTTGGCGGTGCGCAGCAGGTGGTCGGGGGGCTGAGCGCTGCAGGGGACGGCGATACAACAGGTTAGTGAACGCGTCGCTGAGTGCGGCACTTGGCAATCAAGTGTACATGACTGCTGACCTTGGAGTCTCATAAGTCCTTCTAAGGCTGAAAGGAATACGAACAGATGGCTTAGGTCCTGGCATGGTTCCCATCTGAAGGAAGGCGTGCTCGTAAATCCCAGGGCTTCTCTTCATGACCCTCGAGAGATCACAATACTTGCTTTTGGGACAAGAACAGCTACTGATGTTTCAAAAGGGTCGAATCAAAGGCTTTGGTAAGCGTGAAAGTCTGATGGACCACATTACGAAGAGCTGAAGGCGTAACTGCCTTCTCCCTTTTCAAGGGCAAGGGCGGTCGCAACTCGGAACAACCTGAAACATCCAAACGTTATTGCATGCTACGTGTGCAACGCCCACTCTTTGCTACGTCTCCTTCTATGCATCGACGGGCCAATCCATTATATCCACCCAAACAGGCCTCGCTGTAAGTGGAATGCTCTCACATCCATACGAACAGACGGCAGACATCGACATGACAAAGGCGATGACACTAGCAGTCAGACTCAAACTACAGTCGTTCCTCGCACATCAGAACAAAGTCTTAGCCAGGCGGAAACAGGCTCAGTCCCCTTACCCAAGCGTTTTAATCATGCGGTACAACAGGTTGTACTCGGACGCGCCCGGGAAGAGTGGCAGGCCCAGGAACAGCTCCGCGGCGACGCAACCGAGGGACCACATGTCGATAGCGCACGTGTACTGGTGCCCGAGCAGGACCTCGGGCGACCGGTAGAAGCGGCTCTGGATGTAGCTGTACACGGTGCGATTCTCCATGCACGCCGAGCCGAAGTCAATCAGCTTGATCTCGCCCGACTGCAGGCTGCGAGGGACGAGAAGGGCTGGGTCAGCGAGATGCTCATGCTAGCTGGGAAGCAGTCCGAGGAGCAAAGGGACGAATGCAACCGCCCAAGAAAAGTTTGAAACCGCCCACGGTGGACAAGAGAGAAGATGGATCCGCTTCGACTTTTGCCAGTTCTAGAGCTGTGACGCCAAAACTTCGGTTTCGAGAGGGGAGTGAAACTGGAAAACAAGCACCCGAGAGGGCGGGCTAGTTCAGATGCCAAGGCGCAGCTTCCTCGTGAAAGCTCCACGCTTCGCTTGTCCAGTCCGCCATCTGACTCTGCCAGAAAACTTGCGACTGTACAAATCATACTGGCACAAAGCTCTTGCCATCCCAACGGTCTCAAAGACCACCTTGTTAACAAGGTGGAAAGAGGGTGTCCCGATGAGGATGGGCTCACCTCTTGAGCAGGATGTTCTCAGGCTTGAGGTCGCAGTGGATGACGCTGCCATCCCGCAGGATGGTCAGCGAGTCCAGAATCTGCTTACAGAACAGGCGCACCAGATTCATCGACAGGCCCCGGAACTGGTTCTGCTTGATCAGCTCGAACCTACACGAGGAGCGTTCACTTCAGCCCCCTGCCACGGAATCCTTCAAAGTCGCCACTGCTGTCTGAGTTACAAGATTGTGCAACTGAGGCACAGCAGGGGGACCCAAATGAGCAGCGAACAATCCTGACACAGGTTCCCCAGTGGAGTCTCAACTCACTTTGCAAACCATCCCTGTCTGCCAGCAGTCGGAAAGCTCGACTTTAAGGAAGATGCAATGCCCAAGCGCCTCGCAGGGGCAGTACATGAGCGGCAAAGTCCTTTTCATGACTTTAGTCAACACGAAATGAGATGGTCGAGTTTGAGCAGCGCCAAACGGTTTCCTGATGCCCACGAGCTGGGCCAAGAATTAAAGACCAGGCCAAGCGCAAAAGGGGCTCACAGGTTGTACGTGAGGAGCTCAAAGACGAGGCAGAGGTGCTTCTGGTGCACAAAGTGGTCCAGCAGCCGCACAATGTGGTGCCCATCGTCAGGGTCGTACTGCTGGTTCAGCTGCACAAGTGGGGCCTTGCCAATCTCAGAACAAAGCGCAGCAAACCATCAAACGGCGTACACCAACGAGCATGCTGACTCACCTAAGTTAAGGAATAGAGTTGAGTAATCTAGAAAGGACAAAGAGGACGAGGCTGCTGCAGACGAAGGGGGCAATTTATGCAAAAACTCTTTGCCGATGGACTCAGTCATGGACTTTACATTGGCCAAGGGGCACCATAACATCAGCACCGCTTGCTTAGAGCCAATTGAAAGCAGTAGGTTTCTCCAGTCCACGAGATCACGAAAGTAAGAGCGCACCATCTTGAGGACGCTAATCTCGACAAACGCCTGGTGGTAGTAGGCCGGCTGGTTCTTGATGACCTTGACGGCGACATACTCCTCTGTGTCCTCCTTCCAGCACTTGGCAACCTGGCCAAACGTGCCCTGACCCAACATGTCCTTAACGATGTAGCGGCAGCTGCAAAGAAACACAGATGGAGGTGCTTCTAAGCTTGTGATGCCCCAAGCCTGGGGTGCCTATTTGAACAGCATTTTGAAAAGAATGCAAGCTCGTTCTTTAGTGTGTTTCCACGTTGCCCCAACGTGGCTGTTAGTTTAAAAAACCAGATGTCTGGGCCATTGATCACACTTAAAAGCTGCAACTTTCCAGCAACCACATGTGTAATCAACTTAGAACGACGATCGTGACCGGCCACTCGGCTTGAGCCGTCTGACCGCAGAAAATTGCAGGTAACATTAAAGAACCGAACAATGTTGCCTAACAAGATTTTCGCAAAGGGTGTCGACCAAAGAGGCTGTCCAAACCCTCCCTGTCGGGCTGTCCTACAGTTTTTGTGACTCTGAGAATTGCGTGCATCATGAGACAGACGTCCTCTACCTGTTGGCCTCCAGATTGATGAGCACAGTGTTGACCCCCAGGATGAGATCTGAATTGGAGTTGTCAAACCCATCATTGGAGACGCCAACCGAGGGGCGTGTGAGGATGCGCTTCGGGTTGAAGCTGTCCGAGTAGGCAAACGTGGGGTTGCACGTGCTGAACGTCTCCTTGATGTACACTGTGAGCTTGGCTACCAGCTGCAAGAAAGGGCGCCGTGTCAGAACTATCTCTCTCCATCCTAGTTTGCCCCTTTCCTGAGCTACTTGCACTTGCGTGCGGTCAACATGTTTCAATATTGCAATAAGAGGTCCCAACACCAAAGGCTCAATTAAAGTTAAGCTGCTTAAAGCAGTTGAGGGCTACATGACGGGAACTTCTGTGAATGCTGAGTTTTATGTGCCCAACATCATTTGCCCCTTCGCAGCAGCATGTGTCATTGGCCTAAGAAAAGGTGGTCACCAACAGCTACAAGCAGCATCTAAGTGAAGCACTGTTGCAGTACGTCATTTTGATGCAATACAGAGACATCAGTTTGTCTTCCAATAGTGACAAACTTCTGAGAAAAGAGAAAAGTGAATGAGAACCACCTCTGGATCACTTACGCAAATTGTTCATCAAGAAACCAGGGAAGCAACCACTAAAGAGACATGCATTGTAGTGGCAATCTGACCATCTATGACCCTTCCGCTATGTCCAAGCCACTGCCTTCCGACTGTAAAGAACATTTGGAGGCTGCGACTACCAGTAATTGCACAATTCCAAGTCTCCGCTTTACGAAGCACTCTGACCGGGATCTCACGGTCACAAACGAGCATTTTGCCATGGCAAAAGATCCACCGTTCATAAAACTATGAACAGCAGGACGTCAAAGATTCTTCATCTTCTCGCACGTAAGCTTTCTTTGCGCACTTACGCGGTCATTCTTATCACGGATCGTGTGGTGTGCCAAGTAGGATAAGTGCCGTGTCAAGCAGGCAACAAAGATGATGAGTGGAGGGGCCCTAATCTTTGCAAACACAGTGCCCTGAAAATTGCTAGCTAGGGTCAGAAGTTTGAAAAGCGGTCCCCGGAACTGCTCTGAAGTAACTGGTTCGATGTACGATGTCCTAGCAAACTTAAAAGCTAGGGGTTCAAAGCAACCTGCAGCGCATTTTTGACACCAGCCAGGCTTGAGCACAAAACATTTTCAAGAAAACAAGGTGCCAAATGCTGGACAGCACTGCCTCTTTCAACAGCTGAACCAGAAGCTTGCAAAAACTAAATAGCAGAGTGCCGCTGCTCGCAGAAAAGCATCCCCAAAGCCGCGATTGTACTAGAACCCAGCACACCAAGTCCTGGTGTGTGAGAGATGTGAAGTAATCGACCAAAAAGAACGTCTGGTATAATGCAGAGCGGCGTAATGCATGGCACCAGGCAACAGAATGCTAAGAGGAAAAGACAGAAGAAAGTAGTGAAGGGACACCCGGGCAGACATCTCTGCGCCCTAGAGTAATCTTCGAACGCTGCCCCAACGTTTTGAAAACAAATGCAAGACCTGGCTTATGATCACAGGAGCCAGGCCCCCGACGACGATGGACACACCATTCATATCTACATAAAACTCGTCCAGATAGCAAATAGTGAACCAGAAGAACATTGAAAGGCCTGTCGTCACCAAGAGCGAGCACTTGGTCAGCTCTCTGCACAAGAACAACCACGTACCGAAATATCCTTCTGTCGCTTCTGTGCAGGCTTCATGGCCTCCGCTCCTAAGCTGTGCTGATCTAAGGGCTGGAATGCTGCAGCAAGGGGCACATATGAAGAGGGCATAGGGACTGAGAGGTCGTCCGGCGCGACCATGCACCCCTCTTCGCTTGACAACTCTCTCTCGAGGTCCTCAGACTGGACGCTTGCATCAGCATCTTGGGTGCCAGCATCTGGGTCACCCTCTGCCATAGCAGAGCTCCTCAAAACCTAGATGCATAAAGGAGACAGTGCAGGACATAAAACCCCAAATGCTGGTGGCGATGCTCTTTCCTTCTCGCCAAAATTGGCGTCCAGATCGGGGCTACAAGGCAGGTGGAAAGCGCGTCTCCATGCTGGTGTTCAGCTAGGATCATGCAATGACGGCGGCTGGAGTTCGCCCCCCCTTGCAACTTCAACTTCAAGCTCTAGTACGCAGTAGCTTGAGTTCTCGTTTCGTCACCCTTGTGTGCTTGCCCTGCGTCGTCTTCGCCCTCGCATGACGGGGTCACGCGTCTCAGCTTGTCATGATGACGCCCTCGTCACCTACTCTTGTGGTGTCAATCGGGCATGCTTCCGTCAAGCCTTGAAACCTCCCGAGAACCTTGGCACTTATTGTTGCATTTAATTAGAAATTGCGGGAAATGTCCGAGTAGAATCTGGCTCGGGATCGGAGAATGTACGGACACGTGTCAATGCGAGTTTCTATTGGTTTGTCATTTGCCAGGATTATGACTCCTGCATGAGGCTTGAAGTTGAGCACCTCTCTAGGATAGGACTAGTCATAGCTTGGAAGTTGCAGCAGGTACCTACCTACCCGCTCTGCTAGCAGCAGGTGCTGAAACATGGACAATTTTGAGGAAAAGCGCACGGCTAGCGCTGCCAACCGGAACTGAAGTCCGAGGTGCCACAAGATGACCGTCGGTTGCAGTCACTACAAACGCTCTACCAATGCGCCATGCGGCCTTAATGGCTTTAAGAATTATTTGTGGCATACAATGAGGTTTGAGTCGAATGCCCAATCGCAGAAAACGAAGTTCGGTTGACTGGCATGACACATCCATCAGAATACGTACAATCCTACTCCTCGCAGCTGAAAAGCCTGTGAATACCCACGTGATAATTCATCCGAAGCAACCCGGTGCGTCAGAGCCATGTCGACTTTTTGACCATACAACCTCAAGCCAAACTTTAGCACCATGATCAGACTGGCCTTGTGGCCTGGCGCTTCACTTGCTACCGATTGCTCAAGAACATCCGCAATGTAACCTTTGAAAGCAATGAGGGAACCACTATGAGAATCTCCATGTTCCCAACGAGGAACAGACTTTACTAATAACGTACATCGGCCCTGCCCATGGATTGCGACTCAAAACTAAGCTTCGTTACTTCTAAAAATTCTCCAAATGCTTCGTACGGGGCCTGACCACCAGCATCTGAAATATTCTCCTCAAACCTATCTAAAGCTCATCCTTCTTGACGTTTTCCGTTGCTGTTGGCTCTTCGATTCCCTCCTCCTTTTTCTTCTCCTTCTTTTTCAACTCGAACGGAATCTTGGCGTTCTCCTTGATGTAATCTGTGAACGCCTTCACCGTCCTGTCCTTAACCTCGACGTTCAACTGCAAAGGGAGACGTCCGATCCTCAAAAGTTGATTCCTTCTCACCGGTTGGATAAACCTTGTCAACTCGTACCTTGGGAGAACTATTAGAAACTCAGAAAGACCCTTGAAAACTCAATCTTCATGCCCAGAACGTACGACAAGAAGGACACTCTCGTGCAAAAGTGGAAAGATCCAAACTCGACCAGGGCCTCAGAAGACCAGCATAGACTTGCTAAGCGACGCCGCACTCACCGGACTCCCCTTCGACCCCGCGGGATAGAAGAGCAGCGTGGGGAACCCGCGCACGTTGACCTTCTCGTGCTCGTTGGTGGTGCCGTCCATCTTTGCGACGACGACGCTGTCCACGCTGCGGAAGCGCTTGCCCAGCTTCTCCCAGGTGGGGGCCAGCGCCTTGCAGTGTCCGCACCACGGCGCATACACCTCCAGCAGGACGTCCTTGGTTTCGTCCAAAACCACGGACTCGAAATTGTTCCCGACGACCACAGTGACGCCGTCCTCGCTCTCCTAGAAGACAGCAACGAAATTGTTCCGATGATGCTTGATTCGAAACGGAACGAGCCCGAGCACAGGAGGAGAAACGGCGTCAGAGGGAGTATGGCACCTACTAGCATTGATTGCATGCCTCCTACTGCTCGGCAAATACTGTCCAACCTCGTAAGCAGAGGTTCCGATGCAATCAGCTGACACACTGTAAATGAGTATCTTGACACAGACGCAAAGCAAAGCCATCGGAACGTGCAATCGAGCTTGCAGCAAAGTGTTACCCTTGTTGAACAGACAGGCAAACCGAGGAACTGATCGGCACAAAGACGTAGGCTGGATGTTTCAAGGATGACCCACCTTGTCCGGAATCGGATCGGACTTGTAGAAAGGCTTCAGAGTGTCCTTGACAAACCCTGTCGCAAATGTCTGCAACCGCACAGTTGGCAAATCGTCAACACTTGGGGCAAAGAACGACTCTTGACATCAAGCAAAACTTCTCACCCTGTGCTTCAGACCAACTCGTACCAGGCGGAAATGTCGAGCTGATAGATGAACATGCTTTTAATTGCTTACCTTATAATGAGTTACAAAAGTAGCGGAGGCATACAAACAGTCCACAGTCCATCTGACGGCCGAGCATAGTCAAATCAGGCGCAAAACGTACCTTCAGCGCCGCCTTGCTAAACTTATCCTCCAGCTGATACTTCTTCGTTGCAACAGAATCGTAACCGACCACCTGCAAACGGAGGTTGTGCAGGATGAAGATGAGTTCAGCAAAAGCCGGATCTCTGAAGGGAGGAACACGGTACCCAAACGAAGGTCTTGCAAGCAACTTGTTAACTTCAACTCAAGCGGCACCAAACTTCCACGGGTTAAAATTGCCGACGAACCAGCTTCACGTCTGTCTCAAGGTGTCAGGTCCACACGAAGGGCACCAGAAGGGACTAGATTACTTACGAAAGGGTACGTCTGGCCCTTGGCACCGAAATACTCAACGAGCTGGCCGGTCTCCTGGCTGTTGACGTCCACAGAAACGAAGGTAACCTGCGAGCATCCAAAGAAAGAACGTTGAGTCATCCACCCGGCCCGAAGGACCTCGTCGAACGGGACGAAAAGGCCATTTTTGACAGTATCTAAACCGCAAGAAGGTGCTATTAATAGGTATTCTAGCTAGTATAGCAGCGACAAACCAGAAAGCTGCCACTGCTGATAAGATGTAGTCTTGGAACGTGGAACAAGCACACATGGCGACTTACCTGTCCCTTGAAATCCTTTGCCACCGCCTGAGCGTCCTTCATCGACTTTTCGCCGGCTCCCTCGGCGAAAATGAAGGCCTGTCCAGCAGGAGGAAAGCGTTGCTCAGTCTCTTGTGCCCGTGAGGCATGCATACAACCGTTCAAGCTGAGGTGGGCAGTGCCTCAGGAAATGTTATCGCCGCGTCAGCTAAAGAATGCCTAACAGTAGAAGGAGCAGCGGAAACTGCCGATTCACAAACCACTGGGACTGCCGCCATCTTGCTCCTTTGATTGAAGCAGCTTCAAGCAATAGATTCACTGGTTCAATCGAAAGAATCAAGCGTCTGTTACACACCATCTTCTTGACAGGGCTCTGGAAGATAGCAGGCCCGGTCGCCTGAGAGAAGGCCACGATCAAGGGGAGCTTGTTCTTGGAAACGAAGTCCTTGAGATCCGCATCCTTGAACTTGCCATCTGCAAAGGTCCAACTTTTGCCGTCAGAATACCGGTCTGTACAGGTCCCTTTAGAACGCAAAATCGATCTTTGCAGCTCGAGTCAGGAGCTGTGCTGCCTTTGAGCCTTTCAGCCCTCTCCACTCCACAGCAAACACATCAGAACTTTGCCACCTTGGAACATCTGTACCTGAACTTTGCCACCTTGGAACATCCGTGCCTGAAACTGTCAATTTGATGCAATTCTGGCAGGCGCCGGTATAACATCGAACCTGAGTTCCTCAGCCAGTAGCATTCCAGATCAGTCTGCAATCCAAGCAACGGACTTTGCTCAGTTATCTCCTTATTGGCGGAGAAGGGAAGATATCAATCGATGGCCTGAAGATGCGCTGACCGTCAGAAGCTGTTGAAGCCCTCACCAAACTGCAAGAGCTTTTCCTCCTCGTCCTTGAGCAGGACAACGGCAGGCGCAGAGCCCTTAATGGCTGCCTCGTCCGCAACCACCTTCTCAGTAGTCTGGACAAAGGCAACATCGTCGATGGACCTGGCTGCAGCCTGGAAGGCCTCCCACTCAGCGCCCTGGCAGAAACAAAAAATGGCTGTAAGTGTCAAGCTAAAAAGTCCCTGTAGCAGATCCGCCAACAGCACAGCATGCTAGAGGAGGACCGCTGATTGCGGAACTTTCGCACTTTGTTACATAAGCTTGCTCACTTCAACGAACAGCAAGCTACCCAGTGTGCCTAGTGGGTACCATGCACAGTTCTGCTCAAAAAGTTCGAGTAAGTGACCAAAAAGCCCCTCTATCCTTTCATTTCCTTTGAGCACGCTGTCTTTTTAGAAGGTCACAAGAGACTCTGCTCGGCTTGTGAATGTTGCGGATACGTTCAAGTCTAGGAAGTGGACTTACCTCAAGCTTGTCAAAGTAGCCAACAACCACAGCGGTCTCCACCTCAAGGATGTCAATCAGCTCCTTCTTGGAGGTCAGGGTGGTTGCCGGGGGGCCGGTCTTCTTCTTGATCCAGGACACAATCTCCCCACTGCAACAGCACAACCCTCATCTGAATCTGATGCTTTGGCAACAACAATAGCCAAACCTTTGAAGTCTTCAATTTGCTTCGCCGACTTTCAAACCGTGAATGCCAGCGCTTGCTCTGCAGCACGCCTTCAGGCGATCAGTTGACAGCCCACACTCCATGCTTTGCAACCCAAACAGGCTGCCATGAATCTGGAATGCACTCCGCATACATAGTACTCAACCCTAACAGGGGAGGATCAACCAGAGAAGATATCTTGCAGCCCGACGTACGCAAAGATGGCTTTGGAGGTGCCACCTACTTACCTAGTCCTCCCACCCTTGTAATCAGTCTTCTCCCCATCCACAAACCAGAAGATGGTAGGGAAACCGCTGACGCCATACTTTTCCGCAAGGCTCTTCTCCTCGGTGGCATCAATCTTGGCCAGGACAACGTCCTCCTCATACCCCTTCAAAATGGTGGCAGCCTCAGCGTACTCCGGCGTCAACTTCTTGCAGTGCCCGCACCAGGGGGCGTAGAATTCTGCCAGCACATACTTGTGGCCTTGGACAGTCTGCGAAAGAAATATCAGGGGCTTGAAGAGGATCTGAAGGCTTGAAACCCAAGGGAGCGCACTCTGGTGTAATTGGCCGGAACTGTCACAAAAGTGCCAGCCAAGCTCTCAATTGTGGGACACACTGTATTAGTAATCTGTCGGCAATCTCCTTAAGAGTAGGTAATACTAAAGTAAATATGCGGGAAAGAACAACGTGGTGAATGTGGACAAGTCTTAAAAGCACAGCATTAAGTTGCGGAACAATCCAAAGGATCTCCATGGAAGAAGATTCTCATCTGAGGCAGATGTAAGTAGATAGACTGCCACAACGATTCTCAGCAAACCCCATTGGCAATATGCTCCTGAACAAACATGATACAACTTAAGGTAGCAGAATCAAGGAGCTTACGAAGAAAATTCACCACCATAATACAAGGCGAGCTAACCTATGTACAGTCATGTCTTCCTTTGCCACCCTTTTGAAGATGAATGGGGATGCAATTTAGAACAATGACCAGCTTAAGAATAATGACTAGCCTAAGACTGGACCATATGGAAAACAGCACCCCTTATTGCTCATTGTCTTCGGCAGAACTTGCTTAGACCGCTACATTGAGCACTTCACAGGATTGCTCTCACAAACCTTGCGCTTGGGAGCCGCTTCCAAGGGCATACATCAACGAAGGATTGCTCTGGGAGACCCTGAGCTTGAGTATATGCCTTCCATCTCAACAAAGGCGGATTGCCACGATGCTCTTTTTCCCTTTTTGCCAGGGGTTTCGCAGCTGCTGACAATTGACCTCGCTGGAGCATCAGGATTATCCATATCGCTCGACGAGAGAGATAGATACATCCATGTTTTGACTAAGCAAAGTGAATGAGCAAAGACCTATTTTTTAGGCTCAGGGGTTCCATCACCTTGTCGAAATTGCTCTCAGTCAACACGAGCACATTCTGCTCGGAGTTTTCCACAGCAGCGGGTTCAGCTGCGGCCTGTGGCACCTCATCATCTTCGTACTCGCCCGCATCGTCATCGCCAGCAGCCTCCTCGGCATATGCCAATTGGAGGCACTGCTGCGAAAGGAGAAGGAACCCAAAGAGGCACAGAAGCCAGCTCCTAGAAAGGGCCATTGCGCCAGAATCTACAGTCGCTCGTCTTGTGCAAATCAGGACTTCGCAAATGGAAACAAGAGAAAGGAAGTGATCACCTCAACTTAATTCAGAATCAAGGCTCGCGAAGACGAGCAAAGGGACAATTGGAATCTGCGACATGGGCTGTGGTCTAGCACGTCATTTCTGCGAGTGAACCAATCAAACTTCTACAATCAGTTGGGGCAGCCAATCAGGTGCCAGACATCCGCGAAAACCAAGGGCAGAGACACCTGAGATGCGCGAGGTCACGCGCAACGGCCGCTGGTCTGAAATTTATGGAAGCTCTTCCGCGCTAGTCCAGACTGAGGCATCGCGCAGCAGCAAATTGCAATAATGGTGCAATCAAGTTGTCAAGTCAAGGAACTTCAAGTCTCGGCAGTTCAACAAACTGAAAAGTCAAACGTGTGACGTCACTTCGAATCTGCAGAATCTAATGTGGGTTCGCGTAATTAGCGCGCGCATAATACAACTTTGCTACAACTAGCGAGCAAAATTTAGCTAAGCTAAAACCAAAAATCGAAACGGATGCCCAAAAAATGCTGATATGTAGGATACTCATGACTTCAAAATAAATGGCAAGTTGGCAACGCCCGGCGTGCATGTGAAAGTTCCGCTGATTTGAGGCTTTCTTGTTTTCCACCATATACAGTATCATATATTGTTGTGGCTTTCTCTATCTAGCCGGTTTGTATTGTGACGCACTGAGAAGTTTCACGCGCTGAAGCGCCATTGGTGTACGTGTTTTTGCATTTGTCCACTTAATTGCAAACTCTAGCATAGCATGCATGGTCGATGCACGCTGACGGCTGTTCTCAAAGAAGCGTTATAGTATGTATGATGGCCAATCTGTATACTTGAAGCCTATACTTGAACACGAACATTTGGGATAGGTACTAGCTACGGTAACGACTGAGGGTGCACCACCTAGAACCTCAATCATGATTCTTCCGCACAATACGCAGGAACAGGTCGGGCATGGAACATGTATTGGGGTCATGGCAGCTGATCAGCGGATTGTCAGAGAATGACACGTACGTTTGAAAACTGTGGCACCAATGACCTGCCCGTTATTCGTGCCAGCAATGCTTGAAGCGCCTCTCAAGTCACCAAAGCTACACACACACGACGGAAGCACTGCATGTCAATCACACCCAAAGCTTTTCTGGCACTGTACAACTAGAGCGACTCGAGTTCATATCCGAGGATAGCGCTTGCTCAATCCAATTGAGCGCTAATCATGTACGAAGTGATCTCTTTCACGTTGTCGATCGATCTTCAAGCAACGAAGCGCTCCGTCCATGTACAAGGGCGCCTCGACCCAGTCCGGTGGTCCTGACTCATTTGCGACGCTCGACCGTCATTTGTAGACCATATTTCATGGTCAGGACAATGGTCGTCCTGTAAAAGACGACATGACCTGGGACAACGGAGAACTTGAACCGCCGGAGGAGAGAAGCGGCGACCACTTTCATCTGGAGATACGCCATGTCCTTGCCCAGGCAGATCCGCGGCCCCGCCTACAAAAAGGGAAGGAGAGGAAGCGCATCGTAAACCTGGGATGTTGGCTGTTCGAAAAAAGCTCGTCAGCAGTTGCACGACCAGAAGACGATGAGACTGGGCCAGCACAGCAGACGGCATTGGAAAGCAGTCACCAGAATACCATAATAAACTGATTTGAAAATGATGCAGCTTCGACCGCATCGGAATGCTGATATCTACTTTGACGACTGCGGGTCTGGTCAATGAACCAGAGCCATCGAATCTGCGTGACTAGGAAAGCCCGATAGTCCGCAAATCTTGCTTTTCCAGCTCTTGGAGAGGCAATACTGGATCAATCATTCCTAGTCAAAGTGGACAAACACAAACAGCAAACGGACCATGGTCCTGTTCTTCAATGCAGGCGGCGTTTTATGACCCCGAACAAGTTTTGTCCCCGACCCCTTCTATCAGAGTCCGTAATTTCAAACCTACCATCTTGGCTCCATCATTATTTTGAGCCTCGCACCCGCATTAGCAAGCCGAGAGTGAAAGGAACCACCTTCGTAATTGGATGCCTGAGATAAACGCTTGAGCACACGGACCTGGAACGAGGGGAATTTGTACGGCGAATGTTGGATGTAGTGTCCCTCCGCATCGATCCACCGCTCAGGCTTGAACCCCAGCGCGTCCGCGCCCCATATCTTTACAATGCGGCCCTGGGAGTACGGGTGGTACGCCACCCTGACGAGATGAGACGAGATTACGATAAGCCAACGGTGAGCGGGATAGTACGTGGAGTGATCGAAGGCGTTAGAAGCAGCTGAAGGCATATGATACGTTGACCTTCATAAAAGCGGAGACGACCAAGTGCTTTCGCACCGGTGCCCTTCCAACCTCCCCGTCGTCGCAGAACAGCATGTGACTCTCTGCCGACGTGACGTCACACGAACCGACGTGATCAGAATCTCTTGGTTGCATCTCTACGGAAGGGTCTATACCCTCTGCGCCAGCGGGCAGATAATCAGGTAACTCTGTCTAAGAATGCCCCTCAGAAAGTGGTCATGCATGAGTTGTCCGTACCGGTAGCCTGCTTTTACAGTCGCGCCGCTTGGCATGACGTCATCCGCGACGGCGTACTTGACGTCAGACGGCACGGCTGGGTACAGGCGCAGCGTCTCGGAGAGAGCGGCCTGGAGGTACGTCATGGAGCGGAGGTCCTCGAAGTCGAACGCGCCTGGCAAGAAGTGAGGTGCGGCAGATGAGAATAAGGACGCATTTGGCGAGAAAGGATGAGCGGCTCTTATTGACGGCTCTTATTGACCAGAAGTGCTTGTAGAAGGCTTGGCCGGATGGAAGCATGAAAGCGGAAACAGAGGTGGTATGAAGATCCTGGGACCCAGAAACAGGTCAAAGTTGGGAACGGAAAAGGTTGCTGAAGCCCTCGCAAACCGGATGTCAACCAGGCAACTCGCTTGATATTCAAGAGTTAGGGACGTCGAATTGCTGGTGTTGACCCGCACTGAGAATATACAGGATGCACCACATTGCAAACCGCTTCAAAGAAAAGCCTTGGTAGTGAAATGATGTTCGAACCACTTATCTGAAACTCTCACAACTGCAACCCGTAACTCTTCCAGGCACAACAGCGTCCATTCAGAAAGCTTTCCCTTGAAGAAGCGTTTCTTTTAAACGCGAGTCTTCAGATATGCAATTAGCATAAAGCTCTCCAACGTTCTCATACAACCAACTGAGCTGTTTCATTTCAAGCTCAATGCACAGCTTTGAGAGACTCCAGCTCACCTGCCCACCCCGGCCCTTTGCCCGCAGCTATCTTCTCGACCTCGTCCAAAACCTTCTGCTCCACGTCGCGCCGCTGAGTCAGCACCCAGAAGAACCACGTCAGCGTCACGGCCGTCGTGTCCCGTCCCGCAAGGATGAAGTTGAGAATGATGTCCCGGAGGAACCTGTCGGATGTGCTTGGGGCTCCCTCTCTTCCGTGCTCCGTAGTGCCCGGGGCGTCCTCCCGGTCAACCACAGCCATAAACCGCGACAGCAGGTCCTCGCGCTCTGGGGGGGACGGCCCTGCCAGCTCCTCCCTGCACATGACGTCAGCAGAGCGTCAGGATAAGCTGCGAGCTTTCCTCCATTGCGAACCTCGAAAAGATGTATGCTTTCTTGGGCGCACTTTTCACGGCATTTGTCAAAGCCCACACTTCCGCACACTGAACCAGCTCACAAAAGGAATTGACAAGGCCACGCCACCATCCAAACGGTTGGATGGGGTTCGATCAATTCTCTAAAGGTCAATGAGCCCCTGCACCTCCCGTCGGTGTCTGTGTGAGCAATACCATGACCCTTTCTAAGCAGTGCACAGGGCTCTACTTTTGCCACATACAGCAGTGCCAACTACCAGGCTGACGAGACTGGTAGGGCGGGACTTTAAGTTTTTTCCTTTCCGTGCAACTCACCTTCGTTGCCGGATGACCCCGTATGCGAATTCATTGATCTTCTTGACCCCCTCCGCAAGCAGCCGCTCGGTGCCAATCCCCAGGAACCGCTTCACCTTGTACACCACTTGGGGCATCATGAAGCGGCGCGAGTGTGCTTCTTGGGCATCGTCGAAGGCCCGGGCGAAGGGGATGGCCGGGAGATCGGGAGCAATGCACCCGGGGTCTACCCCAAAGCCCATGGAGCAGATGGTGTCAAACGTGTAGCGCTGAAAAATTTCCTGCAAACAAAAAACACAGATTGTAGATACTAGGGAATTGCTGGACCACGTGAATAGGAAAGGGTTGATTGTAAAAATGCACCTTAACCATGGCTTTGTATTCAGAAACAGATAGGCCCATAACAGATTGGGGAGAAATCAACGCAAGTCTTGGACCATGATTGAGTTGCCCACTTTCTTGTGCTTCTCCTTTCGGCAAAACACCTGATCCTCTATGCAACCAAAACCGATTCTTACAGCATCTTGACAGTCTAACGGTACAATACTCGCACTTAATACTTGACAGTCTCCTTCCCTACCTGTAGGTCAAAAGGCACCCCCTTCTCCGCAAAGGCCCCAATAAGCGGCAGCAGCGCTCCGTTGACCTTGTTGTTGAAGGTGGTGAGCATGAGCTCCTTGAGCGAGCGCGTGGAGAACTCGTGGCTGGCCGCCTTGCGCTGCATGCGCCACGAATCCCCGTCCGCGTTGAAGATGCCGTCGCCCAGCAACTCTCCCAGAAGGCCGTGGAACTCGGGGCCCTGTTAGGGAACACATGAGAGTGTGAGAACTCTCAGAGCAGAGCATTGAGGGAACGCATGAGAGTGAGAGTAAGACGTTTTCCAGAGCAGGGCAAAGCCTAGAAAAAGAGGAGGTGACAGAGTAGAAGTGAGGGTACAGAGTACTGTACAAGGACTTTGCCTCTTCTGGATAGCAGTCACTGGGTCGCACCGCTAGGCAATCCTGCTTGCATGCGCAATTGGACAGGCATGAGCTAAGCTTGTCTCGATTGCATTGAACCACCTGTTCAGGATTCGTTTCATCTACAAGTAGTGAGCTCAGCGTAGGCACTTCTGACATCTGAGATAGATCCAAAAATGGTGCATAATTGGTCCTGCTTCTTTGGGAGAACATGTCGACTGCCGTCAGCATTGTTTGTGGAAAACGGCCTTCGGTTACTCTTCAAGCAATGGTAACCGAGGAATGCTTGACTAATTTTGCTCATCCCAATAAGTATCTTGGGCAGTCCAGATGACCAACACAAGGACTCCTCTGTCAGCAGGTGACCACAGTTGAACAACCCCACCCTGACGGTGGTGCCAAGCAGAAGCTTAGACATCCTCAGTCCAGTTTGCATGCGTCCAGATAGGATGTGGATGGTTCATGCTGGCAAGCAATTCAACAACAGTCCTTGCTCCAATGCTCCTGAAGGAAAGTATGACCCTTCTGATGAGTGGGACTAGGAAGAATCGTCCAAATGCAGTGTTCTGTGAAGAATCAAGAAAATTTGTCTCGTTACAGGATTGTCAAGCAATCACACCCCGGAAAATGGAAAAGGGATACTCCCCATCTCAACAAGACTCCTCAAAAGCGCGACCAATGGCACCACCCAGTGAAGTTTCCTTCATGCCGAAGTTTGGCCCCACAGCATTTCATTACATCACACAGCAAAGTTGCTTTTACATCCATTAGGCAACTTTCACAATCTTGCGATGAAAGTTCACAACATCAATTAGATCAAAGCCCGTCCGATGTACGCTGCTGCGAATTGAGGTATGAAGGTGGTGCATGATTGATTACAAGGTCTTACTTTGGGATAGTTTGCAAAGTTGGTCTTGAGCACATGCTCCAGGTCCCGGGGGTCTGTCACAACAACCGCATTTGCCCCTGGAAACGACAGACGGATCCACGACGAGTCCTCCTTCTGCAGCGTTTCCATGATCCAGTCCACGTTCCTGTCAATGTTCCTTATTGTCTCAAACATGTTGCCCACCAGGGGGTACCGCCGTGGGCCCGGATCCCTCTGCTTGCGCCCCCCCGAAAAGTTTCTCACGACGGCATTGTAGAGCAAGTAGAGCAGGGGAACAAGTCCGATGGCTAAAGTGACCAGAAGAGTGGGCAGGCCGATAGCCGCAAATAGGTTTGGCTGCCTCGTTTGCTTTGGCATGAAGAGCGATTGAACTCTAAGGGACTCGAGCATGTCGCCTAGGGAGAAGCCCAGGGTTGTGAAGATGCTAGTAGCGGCGACCGAGCCTTCCAGCCAGCTGCGCGCATCCTCCAGGACGTGCCGCACTCCTTCCATGGTTCCCCCTCTCCGACCCGCCTGTCTATAAACAGAACCTGATGTGACGAACAGAAGAAGCGATTTTAGCGCCTCTAGGCTCTGACCGTCTCAAAGTATTTCAGAACTGCTGTGGACTGTAGAAGCGCTGCATAATGCGACCACCACTTCCAGAATCACAAAATACTAGCCAAATTCTGCAATTGCCATTGCCGCCTATTAGTACGTACGCTCTCGCAATGATGCCGCCCCATCTCCAGCTGAAACCCTAAAAGCCTAAAATCCCCTCGAAGGCCTTGCGCTGCGTCCATGTACTCGCGACGCAGGCCAATTTGAAGCGTCTCCTTCCAGTAGCAAGGCCCCAGCTGCACTACATTTGAAGCTAGAAATGGGCCAGCTCTTTTGCATGCACTCTGCACTGTGCGATTTTGCTGGGGATTTTCTCCAAACCGTCCTGATCGTATCCACAATCAAGGTGCAAACTTGACTCAAACTAGTTTCAGAAAATTCGCATAATTTGTGTAAACTTTGCACCTTGATTGTGGAAAAATCCTCTAAAAGATCTCTTAGAGGGATGTTCTGCGTACAATTCGATGATATCCCCTAGTCCCCTATGAACATAATAGCATGTATGTGTGAGTCTCACTGGTTTTGCTCAAAAAATAAGTTAAAGGGTTATGAGCTACAGGCATGTATACGTATCCTATTGAGTCTCAAAACGTCATGTTTTGAGCTGGCACACAGTAGCTATACGGCAGGCGCTAATTCCTTTCTCCCGTGTAGGGGCTCAAAAGACAGCATTTTCCATATGCCCATCCCAACGCAAGAAACAGAGCTTAAAATCATGACGGCATGCCCGACTTACGGACGAAGACCTCCTCGAAGGCGTTCAGCGCGCGCCCGCGGGCCAATTTAGGACAGTTTGCAACCTTAACACGTTTACCCTTTGAATGATCGATCGAGCATGCTGGTAGTGACCATGCTTAGAAAGCTCGTCCGTAATTTGGTGTGCTGGGAGAGTCACGTGCTGAGGGCTCGGGCTCGCCGGTAATCCTCAAGAAGTTGTTGGATGAGGCTGGATTTGTACTGAGACAGAAAACTCTACTCCTTGAGATTATTCACGGTTACGACTTCAAGGTTACAAAGCGAATGTATGTCGTGAACAGCCAACAAAGGGACGGCTTCGATTGTCATAGTTGTGACCCTTTGATTGCTTGTTACGCTGTCCAAACCGGGCCCCCCTCTAGATGGACGACTTCCCGTGCAAATCACACGGGCTGATGGATCGAGCATCGAAATCGAAACTCCGCTGCAAGATTGCTTTCAACAAAAACCCCTTGATTCGCAATGCACTGCCTACGTCAGCCCTACACTACGCTCGCACCATGCCACTAACAACCAGCCAGGTCTATCTGCATATCCAATCTACTATAGCGTTTGGTACCTGCCCATCGGCTATCCTAGTACTCCTTATCTGCGCGCACATACGGTTCGAAGAGTGTCTTCACAGGGTCCGGATCGTTGCGCAGGATCTTGACGGCTCTGTGGAATTCGTCGCGCAACACCTGCACCCAAACGGGGACCGTTATTGCGCGAAAGCATGACACCTCAGTAGGCGCCATCCGGAATGTAAGGGAAGGACGCAAACGACGCTTGAGACATAGCTCCTCGGACAACTTGGCGGCTTCTTGATCTTCCGTAATTCTCTGCAACAGCTCAACATCTTAACTTCTCGCAAAAAGAGCTAAAGCTGGAATCTGGTGACTGCAAAGTGACGATCGAAGTGGCGACGATGCGCCAGCGACGGCGTCAGGGAACAAAACTCGACCTTCCGCTTTCGTAAGAATCAAGCCTGCTTTCAAGTTGTGGAGACAACAGGATTTGGTCCCCAATCGCGTTTACGAAGACTGCTGCGGTTCTTACCCGGATGGAGTGGCGGTCCACGACGCGACCGAGGTCGTGGCTGGTCTCGAATGGGTCCTCGATGCAAATGAGGTGGCGCTCGTTGCCTATTCTGCGGGTCCAGTCCTTCTCCTCCTTCCTGCGGAGCAAATGCGGCAACCCAGTCAAAAACGATCGTGACGATGAGATAAAAGGTCTTATACGGACGAGGATGCAATTGGGGACAAAGTGAGAATCGCGACGCGAAGTACATAAACACCAGTATCGCCAAGTAAACATCCTACTCAACGACCTTCCCGGCTCCCCGCAGAAACGGCACTTACGAGACGGTCCTGCCGAGGCGCACGCAGATGACGTCATGGTTGTAGTTGTGCGTGAAAGCCCAGTACTCGAAGAAGCCCGCGAGCAGCTCGCCCAGCGTCTCCTTGTTGGCCGCGCCGAAGCCGCGGAAGATCTCGACCTGGTCGTTGTACGCGCACTCCACGCCGCCAAACTCGTAGCGGTACGTGATTGGGCGCGCCTCCTGCATAGAAAGGGCCGCCGCAGGCTGGGCTGAGTACATAAAGAGATTGCACCTGTCCCCTTTAAAGTGGGCGTAGGACGTGCACGTCCTCTAAATCTGAGCGACGGTGCAGGGAGCCCAGATCGGCCGAACTTCCGATCCGGTCCGTCCAAAAAAGACTCAGACTCACTGAGTGTGCATTTCCTGAGCTTTGAAACCGGACGCCCACTTTAACAGCACGAGACCCCGATCCAAAGCAGGATTGGTACTGCGAAACCAGCACGAGACCCCGATCCAAAGCAGGATTGGTAGCTAATCCTAGGAAATAAAAGATTGTTCCCGAGAATATCAGGCTGTGCGAAGTTTCAGAAAAAAGCGGCAAGAAACCATCCCCTATGTTCCTTGAGTCCGTTCAGTACGCACCCCAGGTAAAAGCTTGCCCGATGAACAATGGACCTCGAATCACGGCTCAGAAGACAGCCTGACCCCACGGGCTGCAGCGTTCAAAACAACGAAGGTCTGCCAGCTCTCAAAACAGAAAGGGTCATGTGACATAAGAAGGAGAAAGAAGTCAAGAAACAACAGCAATAATCGAGAAGGGTTTATGAACAGGAAAACAGACATGAAAGTAAAGTAGCGCAAGCATCCCCTCACCTGGAGGACGGGCAGGATCGGGGGCGCACGGCCCTGCATGTAGTGGATGCACATGAGGACGTACGCGTAGCTGGACAGCGTGCCGCGGTAGGTCTCGTTGACCTGCCGGCGCTTGGCCCAGTGCTTGACCGCAAACGCCAGCTGGCGCAGGCGGCCGTCGATCTGGGCGTACGTGAAGAGCAGGCTTGTGTTGGCGACCGCGAGCATGTTGTTCACGCACACGTCGCACGCGATGCCGCTCACGTGGTCGCGGAACTTGACGATCGGCACGCGCGCGTGCGTCAGCGCCTGCACCTCCAGCATGCCGTCTGGGGATGACAAAAGATGGGGAGGTTAGCGTGAGGTTCAGAATATCGAACCCTCAAAGTTGGTGTCGCAACTGACGATGCTTTGAGTGCGGGCGATTCGCGGAGCAAGGAAGATACCTGGAACGTGGGGTTCCGAAAGGGAGCCAGACGTGTCATAAGGGAGGCTCGAATCGGATCTTGAATGTCCCGACCTTGACTCGTCAACCCCTTATGAAAAAGTTGCTTCAGGAGAGATGATCTTGAGCTCTTGGGCACGAAAAGTACGAGGCAAAAGTCGACATGATGAGATCGAGCACTGGAAGGCGGGCTTCAAGAAGCAAAGTCATCAGGGTCCCAGCATGCAACCCGGTGCAGATGCGCAGTAACGAGAAGCTTTGTGATAGGGAACGAGCTTGTGTAAGTGATGGGTGTGGACCGGGTTCAGCATGCAAGGCGCCAACAGCGCAACCGTAGCGCATGCTGGTCCTATACGGGGCTAGAGAATGATACCGCAGTAACAATATTCGACGAAAAAGATGAATCGTACGGTGTGACCCGATCGGACCGCAGGATATAAGCAGGCCGATAGCAAAACGAGTACAGCAGCGAAGTACCCACTTTTTGATGTATGGAAGTACCCGCTTTATGTTATATCTAAAAGTTTCCGCTTGTGATAAAGTGCTGAGAACCTCGAAAGTCGACTTTCGGTGTCGTTCTGTCATGAGTGACTCGCCCAGAATCAGTCCGCTTCCTAAAATGGAGAAATGCAACTCCGGCCCATGGTTCTTCAGCAAGCTTCAAATCAAATCCACAAGCATCTTCAGAATAAAGGCAAAAACAAGCGAGGAGCGTGCGCCTCACTCTTGTTGAGGATGCCCGCCATTCTCTCGACGACGTCCGACTTGGTGGTGCCGTCGGGCATGCCCACCCCGAGGCACATGTCCACGTCGCTGTTGCGCACGCCAAACGAGTTGGCGCACGAGCCAAACAGGTACAGCTGGGTGCCTGCAAGAGCCGGGTTTGAAAGTGAGACTTGTACATGCTGACGCACGCAGATTTGAAACGCTTCTAAAGAAACTTTCGAAGGTCTTCAATACCGTCGTCACTGACTGACGAGTCTGCCAACAAGTGGCGCCTCCCCAAAAGCACGCACAGTCTTCGCTTCGCTGGAGATGGCGCTTTTGCGTCAGAAACGAATGGTACTCACCTTCTGCCCGTCTTACAAGCCAGATACGGTCTTGAGAATCTAGCACACACATTGTTCAACCGAAATACCGCCTTGAAAATCTAGCACACATATTGTTCAACCAAAACACCGCCTGACAGCACGGGTCTAGAACCTCCAAAACGGCCTCGTCTCTGGACCACCCACCTGGCCACTCCTTCTCAAAGAGGCTCTTGAGGCGGCCCACAAACGAAAGCTTCTGGTTGTCCTCCTCCTCTGTGGGGATCAGGCCCGCCACCAGGCCGAGCAGCTCTTCGTTGATCTGCACCCGAAGAATAATTTGCCCTTAGAAAGAGTCCATGAAAGAAGCGGTTCTCGGCCGTTTCGGCCTCAAAATGCACCATTTTGAGACGGCCCGAGGAAAACGTCAGCGCATCTCTCGAACTGACCAATAGCGTCAGCCCGCGCCAAAAACGGCCGTTTTGAAAGCAATGTACTTCTGGTTCGTCGTTCGCTGCTGGGCTGCTCACTGAAGCGAGCTGTCCCACCGTAAGACCCAAGCAATTGGTGCCCTTACCCAAGCTAAGCTGGACGGAGCGAAAGGTTAAGGGCGCAAGAAGGGGGCAATGAAGAACTCGAAGAAATAAGACAATGTTGCTGTCAGAACGTAGCGACTGACCACAGCTGCTCCTTGAACAATCGCACCCACCTGTGGCATGTCCGGCCTGTGCCGGGCATCCCGCACGCTCCGCAGGCCCTGCCCATTGTCCTCCTTCCACACCACCTCTTCCCGTTTCTCCTCCCCTGCCTCCTTCGCCTCGCCCCCCAGACCCTCTAGGCTTCCCTCCACCAGGTGCTTGAAGCTCAGCTGTGGCTCCAGCCGCTGCAGCACTTTCTTCTCCTCACCCCCCTCTACGATTTGCTGCTGACTGCCGAACCCGCGCTGAAGGCTCCCGAATCCTGGCGGGGGGGTCAGGCTCCTCGCCTGGGACTCTTTCGCTTGCGCCCGCGCCTCCGCATTTGCGCGTGCCTGTGCGCGTGCCTGTTCCCCAGCCATTGCAATCGGGCTGTGCAGCAGGAATTCGGTTGGCGTTCCTGCACGCTCCTCACCGCTTGGCATGTCTTGATGCTGCTCCAGAATTTCTGAGCCCTCCTGCAAGAGATGCGCATGGATGGTTAGCTCATAAGAAAAGACCGTTAAGCCAGTTCTCTACTGAGTGTCGAAGACGTTCAATGGTCTATTCAAAGGGAAAAGACCGTGAAGCCAGTTCTCCAATGAGTATCGAATACGTCAATGGTCTGTTCAAAGGTAAAGGGCCAGGAACGGAACGGATCATGATTAGCTTCACACCCTCATCCGCCGGATTGTGCATCAACGCTAAACGAGCAAGAAAAAGACCAGGAAAGGAAAGGAGTACAAGCAAGTTGTGGGAAAAGACCAAGCACCTGGCGGTACGGAGAAAGACAAAGAGCATCAAAAGGAGGAGGTTACATCCTTTCAAGCTCTGAAAGACGGGATGCAACGTAAGTAGAAGGCAGGAGCACGACAGGGGAAAGGGGAGCGAAAAGATTGAGAGAGGAATGGAAGAGTAGGAACAAGCGCCTACAAAGCTGCTGAACATCACCTCTGTTAGCATACGAGCAAAACCCATGTCAACAAAGTCTCGACTTCGTTTCTAAGGACCCACCTGAAGTGGCGGCCGCTCGCGCATGTCTTGTTGCAGTTCCGCCAGAGACAGCTGGCGCACCAGCGCATGCAGGAACTCGGTGTCTGTCTTCCCCTCCTCCGGCTCGCCCTTGCTGACGTCAGCGTCAGCCACGGCCCGCTCCGGCGACTGCGCACGGGGCGTCGGGCCCTGCGGAGTCACCCCCTCGGGGGGCGTCGGGCCATCTTCTTTTGGGGGGGTGGGAGACTTCTGCCGCCACTCCATGTGGCTCTTGGGCTTCTGCGGCTCCCTCTCGCCTCGCCGCCCGCGCCCCCCTTCTTTGCCTTCCTCCTTCCCGTCCCGCCCCTTCAGCGGCGACTTGCTGTCCCCCCGCCTGCTGCGGAGCGGTGACCCGGTCGGCGTCCCTTTGGGCGTTCCCTTGGGGGTGCGGTTCTTGGGGGTCTTGCGCCCCCCCTTGGGGTGGTGGCCTCCCTCGCCACTCCCCCCCGAATTGTCCGAATGCTGCAACCGCTGCCCCCCGTTCGGATCCCCCGTCACAGGAAAACTGAAGCTGCCAAACCCGTCGGGGCCCTCCATTCTTGCACCCCCGTAGTTCGCCTTTGCCAGATGCTGCCCGAGGCCTAACCCTGGGTTTACGCCCGGGTCGCCGACCTTAACCCACTGCTGCATTGGACCCGCCCCCGGCTTCTCGTGGAAGTGCCCCTGAGGCCCCTGCCCGTGCATTCCCTTGAAGGGCCCCCGAGGACCATGTTGCGACTGCCAATACAGCGGGTCGTCGTACCCGAGGCCCTGTCCTGGCTTGAGCGGCAGGTCATACTGGGAGAACCCGCCTGGCGGTGTGTCGTACTCGGGCCAGCGGGGCCCTTTGCCACGGGGTTGCCGGAGGGGGGATTTGCTGTTGCTGCGAGAGCTACGGCCGGAACCAGGCGCGGAGCGGTTCGGGGCGCCACCCTGCTGCTGATAAAAGAGCTCCATCTGCGCCTGCGCGAGGCGCCGCTGTTGCGCGTAAAAGTACTCGCTCTGGGCCTGCATCGCGACCTGCTCCGCTGCAAGCAAGGTGAGAGGAGGGTCAGCAAAGACACATTTTACAGTCAAAAAATTGGTGTCTCAACCTGGAAGTACAGTCGCCAGTTGAATCACAGAACGTGCTGGAAGGGAAGCATCAAGTGCATCCAACTTCGTCAAGATTTCAACCATATGACTTGTTGAGGTCAACAAGAGCCAACACAGCAATGACATTTGGAAGATAACTTTTTCAGAATTTAGAAGTTGCAGTAGGTGTCTCATCAAGGGCCTCTTTGGATCAATGTGCCACCTGGCTGCTTGCTTCCACAGCTGGCACAGGTGGCAGGATATCCACAGTGGCAATCTTGAGTTTTAACCAGTTTCTGGCACCAAACGTGATTCCTAGCTCAGTTGCCCTCGCAGACGGCAACATGGACACAGGAAAGGCCACACAAATGCCGGTCCTTACCATAACGCGCATACTGCTCGTCAAACGAGCTCCGCTGCCCCCCCATCGGGCGCTCTTCCACAGTCCCCAGCGGACCCCCCGGTCCCAGGCCCCCCCTGCGCGCCAGATCCTCCTCGAAGCTCGTCCGCTGGCTGGGGACTCGCCTCGCAGCGGCCTGTGGCGACGGCACCCTCTCCCCCGGAAGCGGGTCGTTGTCCAGCACGGAAGCGGCCACCGATTGCCAGCGCCCAAAGGACAGGCTCTGCTGAAACGGGGGGGTGGACTTTTCCTGCTGGGCACCGGGGATGCTGACCCCCCCACCCTTGCCCCACTCCTTGCTCTCTTTCTCCGTCGCAGCCCAGATGTCTCCCAGGACCTCGGGCGGGGGGTTTGACCGCGGCCCGATGGGCTCGGGCGCGGGGTGGTGGAACTGCCCCCGGGGCAGACCCCCGGGCTGGTAGACGGCGTCATCGGAGGATGGGCCGCTCGACTTTGGAGCCGGCCTGGGAGGTGCGTGAGTTGCGGATGCTGCATCTTGGTTGCCCTGGGTGGATTAGGGGTTTGTCAGAGATCGTTCAGAAATGGTGGTATATTTAACAGGTGGTACGTTTGACATTTATGCTAAAGCTGATGCGTTTCGGTCCCTGGACGCATAACCCACAAGAGAGGGGACGGGAGAGAGAGGTGAACAAAGGTCACCCTGAGAACGTTGTACAGGCAGGCAGCTCCATTACAGATCACTAGAATGCTACCAAGTAACAGGAACATTGACGCCGGACAAATAAGCAGTTCATACATCTTCCAGCAGCTTGCCAAATGACAACATGTAAAAGCAGACCATGCGTAAGAACGCCTAGAATGAGCGCCAAAGGAGCAAAGATCCCTCACCTGCAGCATTCTGAGCAAGTCTCCGCTCCCATCCTCAAAGATATCCGACGGCAGTCGCTGCAATGTGTCCAGCCTCTGCAGCACTGCCTGCGACCTCCCACTCGCCACCAACCCATCCCCCCCATTCCAATGCTCGCCTCGCAGGGGGTGCATGCCAGCTGACCAGGGACCCCCCCCCTCAAAGCTCTGCCGACGTGCATCCGGGGGGCCCTGCCAGGTCTGCTGGCTGCCATTCGCGTTCTCGGAGGGCCGGTGTGCACCCCCCATGAACGGCTGGTACGACGGCCGGCTCGGCCCAATGGCGGCAACCGCGGGGTCCGGTTGGCCAAACCATGGACCCGGGGACTTGCGCTGCTCGGCCGAGGTCAGATAGTCGAGGTCAGAGTACCTCTGCTGCGCAGCGGCAGTCTTGACTGCATCTTCTTGGCCGAGGGTCTCCCCCCTCCGCAGGAGTCGCAGGAGCGTCGCCCCGCTGTCCCCAGAGATGCCGCTCGGGTTACCATAACCTGGCCCCTGGCCATAGGCGGAACCGGGCTGATAGGAGGCATTGCCTCCAGCGCCATTGGGAATGCCACCATCAAGCTGGCCTGCTTGTTGGGGGGAAGTCAGGCGCCTGCCCTGATAACCATAGGACGGGTACCCATCCCCAGGGTACTGATTCATTGCTTGAAAGTCTCTCTAAACCCGCCCCGCTCGATCATTGCCCTGATGGAGCTGCAATGCAAAGAGACCTAACCGCTTCTTCTGCGACGCCGAAAGCTGGGTTCAACAAACAGCTCAGAGCCCACAAGCGCTTCTCACAACCCGTGTAACTACTTCAAACCTCCGTCCTTGAGGCGCTGTGTACAAGCTTCTTGCTTCCGAAACGAGCTCAAATGCGCCATGATGCAGCCCGAGAAGTTGTGTGTGCATGCACCATGAAAGTTGGAACCTGTCCTTGTTGACTTTCCCGAGCAGCGACTTTTTGATTCGAGCACTTTTGAGCAGCGTTACCTTTTCTCTCGACCAATCGGGACGCGCACATGACGGAAGCTCGGAGTCACGTACCCCGGTTAGCACTTCACCAACAGCCGGACCACATCTACCGGGTCCCCTTTTGGGGACTGACCATAGGGCAGCGCAGTGTAACGTTTGCGCCGCAATCTGGAAGAAATCCAGATTTGGCAGAACCACAGCTATTTGCAGAGCTAGCTAGCCTCTGCTACAAATTCAATTCCAAACGTGGCCACTCGTCTGTTCAGAAATCTTGACCACCCTGCATGGGTTCCATCAGAAGTGCTCTCATTTGTCATCAACTTGGGCGCTCTCTGTTCATCGAATTGGTTAAGCTGCCAGCTTCTGCGCACAGGGCGAGCTTGTTGCTGCTTTTCCATTTGAAAGTTCTTTTTTTGCACACCAATATGTGAATAAAGTGCGGCAGACTTCCAAGCGCCGTTTCAAATCGGAAATGTGGGCTGTCGCTTAGGATCTGGAGGAGTATTGACAGGCTCCTTCGTTGGTGCTCTTCTCCTTTTGTCATACTTCTGACAACTTACATTTGTGTGGTGGTTCTTCCAACTTGGTCGCCAAACATTCAAAAGCGTCCACATTGGCGCCCCCTTACTTGTGAGTTGGCATTGCTTTTGATACACTGGATGGAGACCTCAGCTGCAGCCTTGCACTATGGCCGTCTCTCCGCTGCATTCAGTGGTGCAGCCGCAGGCGATTGTAGGCGCTGTCAAAGAAGCATTCGTGATAGACTGCTTCCTGCAACCCCGTTCGCAAGCCCCCTCAGTGAGTCATTCCAAACGCACACCACTGTAGCAGACCACAAACGAGGTCTTTCTAGCAGCCAGAAGTTCGGGACCGCCAGGAGGCGATCCGTCGGTGGCAAAGCACGGGCACAGTTGGAGGCGTTTGGTGATGAAGGTGGGACAACTTTTTTGTCTGCCAGCAGTGATGCAGTGGGACTTCAGATGGTGATATTCTTTCATGCTCCAAAGTTCCACCAATGACTGGCGGACCGACGGGTCAGCTCTGTGTTTCGTGACATCCTTCGCCACAAAAGAGCGGTTCGTTAACGTCCGAGCAAAGGGGTAAAAGTCAATGCAGGAAACAGAACGATCACTGCGAATACGAATGCTGGAAACAGACCGATCACTGGTATCACCAGTTCTACCTGGGAAGAGGACGTGCTATAAAAGTTTCTTAGTGGCACACATGTGGAAAGTTTGCAGTGGCCCCACAGCCGCTGATGTGGTTTTAGATTATTTGCAATCACAAGGAAACCCTTTGAGAAAGCAGTTGAGTCCCTTTCAGACTCGATGTTTTGGGGCCAGCCAAAAGAATCCTAGAAACAATTGAAATCATTGTTTTGACATATAGAAGATGGTGTCTACTAAGAAATGGTTGCAGTCACTCCCCTCACCATCTTATGCTTGTTTGCAATATTGACTTGGCTTTGCGTTTGAAAGTCAGCTTCTTGTCCTTCTGCTCGCAGTTGGGCCGAATGTTGTGCCTGCCCCTCCCCCGACAACCGGCCGTGTTGAGATCCGCATCAACAATGAAATCATGCAGATTCTGGACCTCACTCCTGCTGATGAAGTCTTGAAGCCGTTCTTGGGTGGGCCTGGTGAGCACTACGTTTTGTCCTTCTGCGCTGCGATTGAAATTCTTCGAAGTTTGCATTTGGGAGAGCTACTATCCACATTCAGAGCAGGAAAGTTTCGGACAGTTTGATGAATCTTGGAACTGAAGGCACAACTCAACGGGATTGTCTCAAGGATGGTACATGAAAAGCAACAATCGGCCTCTCTGGACCAGAATACTAGATTGCTGATGTCTCAGGACGACTCCTCTGGGTGAGGAGTTTGGCCAACTTGCCTACACGATTCTGACGATGTCTGCAGCACCCATTCCCTTTGTTCCGTGACGGTCAGAACTACTGCCAATCATTGTCTTGTCTTGTTGACTCCATACTTGACACCATCAATGTCCACGTGCAAAACACTCTTCTGCAAGAAAGCCAGAGCGGGATCGCTTGATCACCAAACCTGGCCCTCAGTGTGCATCATTTGCAGACACATGCCGGCCAGGTTGTTGAAGACGAGACAACAGATTCTTGTAAAAGATAGGTTTTAAATAAGAGCTTGAATCACTGTTCGTCATGAAAAATCATGGATCCGTCTACACCTTTGCAGGCGGGCCCTCAGAAGGGGTCGAGGAACTGATGAAGCGAACCGTGGGTTTCCAAATAGACTACCAGCCAGCGAACCCTCTAGACCCTCGCGAATTGTCTGAGTACCCCGACATCCGGCTGTGGTTCGTTCGGCTAGATGCAGAGTACCCCTGGCTACCGGTGGTCCTAGATTGGAAGGTAAGCGCTCTCCATGACCCTTGAGAGCTTCTCCTGCCCTCCCCGTGCACCCGATGTGTTGAGGAAAAAGCCTCTTGAACTTGGAGGGAGAAAAGGACCCAAAAAAGGTTTTCTTTTGAGCCATGCCTGAAGATGGGTTGTGGTGACGGAGTGCACGACAAAAATAACAAAAGCGGTGTATTCTACAAGCTGCATGCATCTGTTGTGCTGCTTTCTGTATCCACGAGCAGGCAGATTGCGTATCTGCCCTGTGCTCGGAAGAAGCTTCTTGTAACATCCAATCTGCTTCCTTGCAGGCTGGAGAATGGGCTCGGTACGCAGCCATGCTTGTCCCTCATCAGATGACGAAACGGGAGGGCCTCGTCTTCAACCCCGAGGCGTTGGAGCTTTTTGTGATGAACAAGATGTTCCATGGTTACAAGTGGATGAAGGACAACGGCCTCAGCCGACCAGATCTGAAGTGTCGAGACATGCTGAAAATGCTGGGATTCAAGGTTGAGTCGCTCATGTTTGACATTCTCGAGGGGACTGCAGACCCGAAAGTCTTGGCAGAACGTAGAAAAGACGACGATTTGCAAGTAGGAGGCGGATCGGACTTCCCCCCACCCCCTCCTCCTCCAAGGGGTTCGAGTGGTGACTATGTTCCGTTCTAGCTCGAAATATTTGAAAATTTTGAAGTCTTGTCGCTTGCGCACGAGGCTTATATGGATCTCCGTTGGCGTTTAGATCTCCTCAGAGCAATTAAGGTAGACTCTTGGACCTGGGCCTGATTGCAGTAGAGCATGTAAGACTCTAGCTCGAAGAAATGGTGTACGTATGGCGCGCGGCCATGCAAACGAGTCCAGACGGCCATGAGAACATCTTAGGTGCCGCGTGACCAGGGGCGCAGTCCACCTCAGTGTATCGCGATTTTGCAGCATTGCATCGATTGCCATGCGATCGCCACTACATCTTTACACGTGAGAATATATCTTGAAACAGCGTCCGATGCATCATGTGTACGGCCGATATCGATCCGGATCATCGAACAAGTTAATTTGGGACATATACACCGCACAGCGCTTGTGCGGCGATGCGCATGTAAGGTCCGGCGCCAGTACCGTATACGTGGCCGCCAGATCGAGCTGCAAGCTAGCTAGGCCATGGCATGTACTGCCGGCCCGGCCATGTCATGCAACGGCCGCGACGACTTGAGGATTATTTGCAGAATCTGATGAAGTTTCGCGCCGAACTTAGCATGAATCTCCTGACGTCAATGCCGCAAAGCCTACGTCCATGTAGACATGCTATGTACGAAGCTACGATGCATTGGGGTCACATTAGATCTCTGAGCATTGAACGTACAATTATGCTCTATTTAGAATCGCTTCCGAAGTTCCAGTGGCTCAGTTGGTGATTCGACTCAACTCAGTTATTATTGAAACCTGATGCGGTGAATGATTGGATCGCCTTGGCCCGGATAAGCTGATTGAAAATTCCCGATTGCAAAGCAGGGTCTTGAAATGGCCAGCACGACATGTGTACTCTCGCACATGTACGTGCCTAGGCGAACGCATTTGAAGCTGGCCCATTAATCATGCAAACAAAACTTGTCATTCAACCTGGATGCTGACGCTCTAGAGCAGAAAGATCGTTACGGTCTTGAGGGTTTTGACAACGAACCTGACGCCTCCCTGTTTGTACCATCTGTCTGCGCCCCTATTCTGTTCTCGAAAATATCATCGTCATCTCCAAAAACAGGATCATCCCGAGGCTGAGCGGAGGGCGAGGCAGCTGCGGAAGAGGCTTCAAACGAAGCCGTTCTCCGAGTCTCTTTTGGTGCCCCACCAGAGCTGCCGCTCGCCTCGCTCGTACTGGGGGCTGGTAAATCCCCATATAACCCCTTCGACAAGCTAAGATACTGTTTCAACTTATCCGACACAGCAGGGGGCTGCTTCGGAGATGCGACACTCCTCTTTGGCAACGGCTCGATTACCGTCTCTACAAGTGAAGCGTACTTCCCGGTTAGTGCCTGGCCCTCGGGGACGCCTACTGGCCCGACACGGTCCACGTCAGCACCGTCAGATACGCCCACGACTTGGGCGAGAGCCCCTCCGTACTGATCGCTAAACGAAACTCTGCTTCGCATCCTTTGCCGCTTGGTCGGGCGGCCGTCCGTCGTTTCGTCCGGAGCTGGTCCGTCATCCGGACGCTCGTCGCTGGACGGCCCCTTGTCGGGCGGCTCTCTTTCAGGGAGCCTTTCGGCGTTCAAGGGAGAATCGTACCCGTGCCTTCAGCAAGTGTGAACGAAGGTAAGTCGAAGGTTGAAGAGGAACGCGGGGCTGATTTTGAAGGTCGGGATTGTTGTTAAAGCAGTGGACGTTGTCTCGAAGCTGAACCCTTGGTCAGCAGCCCTCTTAAACGGACCGGGCTCAAACACAGTTGGGAAACTAGGCTTCAATGTTTCGTATACCACCGGTCTCGCTCGTGCTTTGATTACAGTGACAGAGTACTTCATTGAACAAAAAAGAGTCCGTTCCGCACACTCTCGCTCCAACAGTTCCGCCAGCCACCAGAACGGCACGGTTTCGGGCAGGACTTGTCCAAGGCAGATGTGACGAGCTGTCAGTGCAGGGCTGCCAGACAATGTCTGATCAGAGTTTCAGATAAGGCACCGGAATCAGGTACCAACCTCCGATTTCTATCAATAAGAAAGGACAAGGAGTCGAACAGTCTAAAATGAAGTCGATCGAGAAGTAATAGTCTGCCCTTACCTGTTCACGAGAGTATGGTATGCAACAACGGCTTCTGTGTCTGCAGGATCGGGCGGAGATGGCATTTCGACGGGAGGCGTTGCCGAGTCGCGTAGCCGGGGCCCCCCGCCTTCAGCATCCGGCTTGGCTTTCCGGAGCATGTACAACCGAGTCGAGGCTGCGAACGTGACCGATTGGCCAGGCTCGATCTCAACAGGGCTGTCTTTTCGCAGGCGCTCGTTGGAGACAAATGTCCCGTGCGCGGAGCCCATGTCGACCACGTAGAAACTAGAGTGGGAAGGACAGGGAGTTACTAGACAAGAATAAACCACTTCCCATGTTCTTCATAATCTTGGATTAAGCGAGTTTGGGCCACTAACTGCTATATGTACAAACTGGAGTCCAAAATGATAGGTTCGGGTATACTAAAACGAATAATGAAAGGGGAATAGAGAGAGGGGCACGGTTCGACGTGCCGCTTCTGGGCAGATAGGCTATGGGTTATCCGTGGCGACAGAAGCTTCCAGAGCGTTGAGAAATATTAACCTTAAAAGCTAAGGTTTTTGCCAAGAGACTGCCGGTTGTTCTGATCCAGACATGCTGGAGGAGTGATACGCATAGTTTGAGAGGAAGACATGTCCTTGAGACAGGTTGAGGACTTCATGCACTTGTCCACAAACTTTAAAGAGGATGGCAAGAGCAGCCTAGAAGAGCGTCCGATCCCCACAGCTATCGTGAAGAGTCAATTCGTCTATCGTGCATAGGTTTGGAACGCTTGCTTGGAAGTGGGGGACATGAACTTTCCAAGATCAGGCAGCAAGACAGGTCGTGCTGCTTCCAGTGGAACCAAGGATAGCAGGGACTGCGCTCTCCGTACCTGCCATTCTTATGGTACACGAGCGCCGCGTGTTGTCTCGACACGGACGGGTGGTCCAAAACGTAGTGGCACAGCGGCGCCTGCCGGCCGAAGACGGTCGCTCTCCGGTCCAGAGGCAGCTGGTCGATGCCCACCCCGTCTTTCATCACCTCCAGGAAAAACGCTCCCGGACGTGGTTCGGTTGCCCAGTCGGGAGACTCAAAAGTGGTGGCGCCTCCCCCAACGGTGGTACTAGTGGAGCCAGTGACTGCACGCAAGCACGTTGATCAATGCCTTTTCCAAATGAACGCTTACCAGGGACTGATTCGCGGGGTGCAGGGAGGCAGCAAGTAGAGTGACTCGCCAACTTATCAAAGAAAAGTAATCAATGAGTTCCTAAAGCGGAAGGAGCTTGAAAGCTGTTGCCCACGATCCCTGTTATCAGAACACTGTGACGCACGGAGGATACCAACACTTTCTGCTCTGTGAATTCAAGCGACTGTGCGTCATATCCATGACCAAGGTGGAAGGGACCAAGTGCATTATGTCGATTCTGCTTCTTCCGACCGGTCTGCTCCAGACTCGGGCAATGCTGCTATATACTATTGCCAATGACCCCTGACTGGTGGCCACAAAATTTTCTCGACTTACCTGTCTGAGGCCCGTTCGTTGCCCCATGTTCACGACCTGCTACAACTCCTAGCTTTCCATCATTTTGTCCTTCAACTTGGCGTGCCGTCTGTTGTGGATCAGTTGCCAGCCCAGTATTGGAGGCCTTTGGTTTCAAGACTTTCAGCGACTCCACAGCAAAAGGATCAGCCTCAGCTGCCTTCTGGAACCTTTGAAACCTGTTCATGTTGACTTCATCGGAGGTATCATGATGGCTCTCCTCCTCAGCTGTAAAAGAGCAGCTCAGAACGCTTCCACACATGCGCCAAATTTGCCCCCCCTTATCTCTGCTGCTGAGCATCAGGATTGGGTATGTTTTGAGACCCTCGAACTCTGAGCATGCGGTAGTCGCCCTACTATCAAAGTTTCAGACGGATCAGACGCGCAAAGCGAAGCGTTACCTCGGACGTCCGAGGTAACGCTTCGCTTTGCGCGGGGCTCACCATCTGATGAACAGCATAATTTTTACGGCCCAGATTCCTCGCGCGTGCCAAGCGGCGTATCGACGGCCTTGATAGCGGCCGGCACGTCTCTCCGGAGGCGAGAACCGTCAATGTGCCGGTATGTTGGCCCATGTACCGTAGAGGAATTTCGGGCCGGGACCCCCCTGCTGGGTGTGTAGCGCGGAAGTGATTCGGCCGGGCGCCGAGCGGTGTCGATATAGGGCCCGGCCGGCGTGGGAGGTTAACATGGTCTCATTTC